TTACCATTGTGTTCTCTCGACGTAATAGATGCGTGACGTATAACGTCTGATACACGCTGGATATGTCACGTGCGCGTTTTTGAAAGGCTCGAAGTTATGGGCGAAGTGAGTTTCTGGCGTGGACATCTCATTAGCTAAACGCGACGCATGAATCATCAGCGTATGTATTTGAGCCTGTTTGAAAAGAATGCATTTCATCACTGATTTCTTAGCATAATTAAATTTCAGAGGCGCACCGCCGAGGAAAAGAACTGCCTGTATCCTATGGAAATAGCACTGTCTAAAAATTATGTGCAGTGCACGGTGCATTTTATGGCTGATTTCTTTGCTTAATTAATTTTCACTCGCGCACCGCCGAGGCAAAGAACTCCTTGTATCCTACCCGCGAGCGAGGAGAGCGTGGGCCCCCGTTCCTGGCCTCTTGACTTGCGTTTTTCCTGCGACTGGTGCAAAAAAGACGAGAAAATAAAAGAATTAGAACCACCACGGGAAAGCTTAATTTATTCATCTTAATGGAAAACAAATGTTTAAGTACAATTAAGGCGTGTCAAAATGCATGCACCAATGATAGCTAACCATTATCACAACATGCAACATAAGTATGGACGTGTAAACGTGTAAACGTGTAAACGTGTAATCATTTGATCAGATCTCATCGCCTGACAAATCCGACGTCTAACAGTGCGTCACGATTTGTAATTCACAGTTTGATTCTATAATTAATGATAACTATAAACTGTAAGAAAAACGATTTACTTTCATTTGCCGAGTTTATCCTTTTCGGTCTCAAAAAGTCCGTGTTCAAATGTGAGCGTCGGCTGTACGAAGGATAACTATTTAGAAAGGTCAAGCCCTGGGCTAAATCTGACCATAATAATCATGGCTATAGCCCAAATTTGCGCAACATGGAAAGAGCTCTTGACGGGAACAACAACAAAATTTGATATATTTGATTACTTTGTTTGTCATGTAAAATAAGGTACTAAGTCACGAGAAAAACCTTGTGACCTCTGTCTGCTTATATTCGAATGCCACGGGCATTAGTCATAAGATTAAAATATCGTTTGTTCCCGAATACAAAGCAGGCAGCTTTCACTTCATCCCATCCCGTTTCTCTTTAGGCGGTGTTCTCTGCTGTGTATATCAAGTATGTGACTCGTTACCAAGACTCAGGGATTTCTTCAGTTTCGAACGACTTCGGACTCTTAATTGTAAAGGTGAGTGGATACATTCCCTTTTGTTGCCTGTTACTTGCCCAATCAGAACATTAAATTGATATACCGACTATTTTCCCTCGCTCGCCATGCGGCGTATTCAGCTGAAATATTGTGAGTTAATTAGGAGATGCACCTAAATATCAGCGACCTGAGAGACAAAGAGAAGTATTCCTTCACATCTTAGGCCAAAGAAAAAAGCTAGTCGTTAACTGTTATTAGAAGCCGCCAGACGATTCACTTCTATCTTGAAGGGGGGTTGAGGTATTTCCTAAAATGACTCAGATGGGGAGGCTCCGCCCATTTGACGGACCTTTTCCAGGCTTCAGATTTTTTTAAGGATCGTAATCTGTCAGTTTGATATCAAAAGTAGGCTTAAAAGGGCAAACATGTTTTGTGGAAAGTGTGCGAAAATGATACCTTTTCTACAGTTGTAAAAGTGAGTAAGGGGTCGAATCTCAACAGGAACTATCTCATCTAGAACTTCTTAGAGCATCCCCCGGTTTTGATACCGCCGAGAGCAGTATCCTGGCGGTATTGCATCCTAACCACTTTTTTCCTCAAACATTTTACATTGTCGTTGTAGCCAGACACTGCGGAAGTTGTCACACAAGAGAAGAATTAATTCTCGCTGCCGATCTTTCACTTCGACAAAAGCGAGAGAAGGTAAGTAAATTTCTGCGTTTTATCAGGATCACATGTTTGTTGAGTCAGTGCTGTCCAAAAATATAAAACGTTTGATAACTATTGGACCTCAAAGTGGAGTTTACCCGTATAGAACGTTTATTTTGTTAGTAACCTACCCCTTCCCTCGATTGTCGATGCCATAAGTAGCCTTTACTCAGGGGCCGCGCAGCAAGTTTTCGAGTGGGGGGGCTAAAGAAGAATGCGTGAAGGAAAATTTTTTTGTTAAATTATTTTTTGTTTAATTTATTTTTATTCTTGCAAAAAAGTGGGGGGGGGGGGGCTAAAGCTCCTCCAGCCCCTCCCTCTGCGCGGTCCCTGTTACTGAGCCTAAGCCTAACCAAATTTTGCTTCTAACACTAATACGCTGTTGTTTCACTCCTTCGTAGTGGAAGCTTTTGTAAACGAGAGGGGAAGTTCACTTCGATTCAGACAAGAAAAGGTGAGACATCTCTGCGCTTTATTTGGACAACATATGTGTACGTTTGTGGGATATTACTCAGTAAAAAATGCTGTCGGAAATTAATAGCATTTCAGAAGCAAATGAGTCGACGGTACGCCCGAATGTAGCGGAAGCAGCTCGAAAAAAAACCTTAAGTGCCGCTCTCGCTAAGAGTGGTCCTCTCGTCTTCACGTCAAAAAAAATTTTCTTTTATTTTTTGCACATGAAAATGGTCTAAGACGCATGTTTCAAATATAGTTAAGTTGTTTTCCAATTCTCGAAGTTTATCGGAATTTTAATTTGTAAGTCGGATTACAAGGGTGATGTATTTTCAATTTCTCGGGCGTCATGGCGATTATTTCACTAAAAATTGATTCGTAATGAGACTACTTGGGCTATCTGCAACAGCAGTCAAAACCAGAATTCTCTTTATAAATTCAAAGGAAAAATTTTGTCTCGATTTTTGCATCCGCTTAAAACATTTCAAAGCTGTCAAAGTTTGTCAGCGTTTGAACTGAACTCATTCTCCAGTTACCAAGATTCATCGTATGTCGTTTTAAAGTTTTAAAATCTTGGAGAAAAATCATTTGATTACGTATTAATAACATACATGAAGAATAAAATTGTGCGTTCGGTCAAAACAACCGCGTACGATCAAAACAATAATATACAATGATATTTTCACATCTTTAAGGCGCAAGAAAGTTCAAAGTCCGGCTAAACAGTTTAAGGAATTGTTCAGTCTGGTTTGTTACTTCTTTGCACTGAATTAACCCTCTTCTGAAAACTGCATTTATCTTAACCAATCAGAACTGAGTTATTCTTTTCATGTATCTTATTATGTAGATAATACTGTAATGTATTTTAACTTGTTTGTGTGTCTTTTTAAGCAGCGCGATATGTCTGTAATGATCAGAGTGCCAGATTTTTTTCTTTAATTTTTGATCTTCTCCACACTGTGCGTAGTTCATGACCTGATATTTCAACGACAATTATCGAGAAGGCGCCTTCCGATCATATTTATTTACTTTGTATGTCACGGAAGCGCGCAAGCGTTACGACCGATCACGTTTACGCAACGTTTTAGGACAAGCCGGCAACTATTCTCAATTCAGTTGATATGAAAACCTTAAATACTCAATGTAGAACATAAACTAACGAAGTTTGAACGGTTAAAAGGAGATCTTGGTCAATTTTTAGAATTATGCAAATGTCCACGAGCACAATATTGGTGGATGAAGGTTAAAGATATACCCGCTGGTTTGAGGCAACCTTCTCATCTAGAACTTCTTGGAGCACCCCCTGCTTTTGATACCGCCGAGAGCAGTTTCCTGGCGGTATTGCATCCTTACCACTTTTTTCCTCAAACATTTTACATTGTCGTTGTAGCCAGACTCTGCGGAAGTTGTCTTACACAAGAGAAGAATTCATTCTCGCTGCCGATCTTTCACTTCGATATAGGCGAGAGAAGGTAAGTTATTTCTGCGTTTTATCTAGATCACACGTTTGTTGAGTCAATGCTGTCCAAAACTATGAAACGTTTAAAAACCGTTGGACCTCAAAGTGGAGTTTACCCGTATAGAACGTTTACTTCGTTAGTAACCTACCCCTTCCCTCGGTTGTCGATGCCGTAAGTGGCCTTTACTGAGCCTAAGTTTTAGCAAATTTTGCTTCTTACACAAATACGCTTTTGTTTCACTCCTTCGTAGTGGAAGCTATTGTAAACGAGAAGGGAAGTTCACTCCGATTCAGACAAGAAAAGGTGAGACATCTTTGCGCTTTATTTGGACAACCAATGTGCACGTTCGTCGGATATTACTTTAAAAAATGCTGTCGGAAATTAATAGCATTTGAGAAGCGAAGGAGTCGACGGTTCGCTCGAAAGAAGTGGAAGCAGCTTGAACAAAAACCTTTAGTGCCGCTCTCGGTAAGAGCGGTCCTCTGGACTTCTCGTTGGAAAAAAAATTTTCTTTAATGATTTTACGCTATTATGGGTCACAACAGTTTTGAGCGACAGACTCAAGATTTCAAGGAGACAGTAAGCTCTCTGTTTCCAAGAGGAGCACCACAGGCTAATTTTTTTAGGGTAATTTAGTATTATCGACTGAGTTGATAACGTAAATTGGCCACCGGAAAGAGTTTAAAGGTTATGTTTCGAGAATTAGCCAATCGCTCCAACTAAGGCTTAACGCTCGAAACGTCAGCTTTTAAACACTTTGAGGTGACCAATTTACGTTATCAACTCAGTTAATAGTGCTAAATTACCCTGATATACTCTCCCACCGATGCAGCACCAGAGTTTCTTTTGAAAATAGCCCCCTTAGTTTTTTTATCGTTGTTCTCTTATGTAGGGGTCACGTTAAGGGCTGAGAAAATTTACAGTGATACTAGAATTAGGATTGCTTTCAATCGCTGAGTAATTACTTTACCATTAGCGGTGAAAGACGTTCTCCTTCCTAAACTCAGAGCCATCCTCGATTAAATCTTTTCAGGTATCTCTAAAAAACTCCATTTTATAACTGGCTTCGCTGCAACCCCCAGTGTACCAAAGTTTAGTGAGGAAGTCCCTTTCTCAATTAGAACTGTTTTATTACAGACCCCAGGGAAATCTCTCCGAATGTACTGAGATCATCGTTGCTCGTCATAACAAGGTAACAGTAATGACTCTACAGCCGTTTACAAACGAACAGTTAAATTACTTCAAGTTCGCTTCTGTCGTGATTAATGAATTTCCAAAGATATTACGTCAAGCCTTCAAAACTAGGTGGGACAACACCTTTGGACATCTTCCTGGTTTCCAGCCCTGGGATGACTCCCTTGCTGTGCGGAATCTGTTCCTCGCCACAGAGGGTGGATCAACTAAAGTCCCTACTAATCTTCCGTATGATGACTGGGATTGTACTGCCTTGTTCCAAGCCACCATCTTCGCAAAGTCCTTTTCTATGCCAGACGACAGAGGACATCAGACAACACTCAGCTACTTGTTCGTGAGACCCCATGGACTCCCTCCCGGAGGTTTCCATGCTTCTGTGATCAGCTCAACTGGGAACGATGCTGAGTCATTTACTTTGGCGATCGATCAACTGCGACTTTTACGAAATGCGTTCTGCCACTCACCGAGCTCCGAGATCTCAAAAGCAAAATTCGACATGTACATCCAACTAACCAAAGACGCGTTCCAAGCCCTTGGTGTCTCATCCAGCTCTGTGAATACAATTGGAAGTTTAACTGAGGTAGATTTCCCAATAGAAAAAGTCCACAAGCTCGAGGATGAGATAAAAAAAAAGGGTCAGGCTGAATATGCGTTTCTCAAAGACCAAGTAAAAAATGAGCTGATGGACATGCGGTCTGATTACGCAGAAGCAAACCAGGAGCGGCGGGATGAGGCAGAACGGATAGTGACAGAGATGAAAGAAGGGTTCCGACAGGTGAAAATGCAAAATGAAGAACAGAAAGAACAAATTTTGGAGTCAGTGGAAAGAGCTATCAGGTCTCATTATGCGCAATCGAAGCGAGCAAGAGAAGAACAAACAGCACACGTAGCCAAAGAGAGGAAGGAGGACATTCAGCTGTTGGAGAACCAGTTGCAAAGGCACAATGAGGAAATGAGAAAGGAGGCGTTGGAGCTTAAAGAAACTATCAGGTCTAAAATCGATCAATCAAACCAGGCAAGAGAGAAAGATGCAGCATCAGCAGCTCAAGAAAGAAAAGAAGAGATTCAGGAGTCGAGGAAACAGTTGAAGTTGGCAACATCATCTGTACCCCAACAAGAAATGGGTCAGAAACTTGCTGAATTGAACCAAAAGATTGATGACATCACCACAAAGACCACGAAACAAGGTAATAGGCCTGCTATTGTTTGTCTTAAAGACTACTTCTTTTCGCAGGAACAACAAGATAATGTTTTTTTGCGATTGTTATCTATTAAGGGGAGAACTACCAGATAGTCTTCAATAAAGCAGTCAGAAACTTTGAAGGCCACTCTTCCAATAACAATAAGTTTTGTTAATTAATGAAGCCAAACTTCTCACATTAATTCTGAAATTATATTCAGAGGAGAATTTGTTTAGAAGTATTACGATACTAACCGCCGTAGAATACTGTACTTTGCATTTGCACATATGTTCATCTTCCGAACTAAAGTCTGTCATTTTTTCGCAGAGTTTAAGCCCACTCTACCAAAATCAAATCTTCCCTCAATGGTTCCTCACTTCACTGGGCGCAAGGAGGAACGCAACGACGTCATTGCTCACGTGACCAACGAAGCCACTCGCCTCGTTTCCATATGGGGCTCGCCAGGGTTCGGAAAAACGTCGACTGCAATCGCCATAGGACATCGCCTCCAAGCGCAAGGCCTGCCGGTATACTTTATTTCATTACGTGGCCTAAGGTTAAAGAGTGATCTAACGTCGAGATTTCTTGGACTGTTTACGCATTCTGCGACAGCATCCCAGCATTTGACAGCAGATGACGAACTTTGCTCAATTTTGGCTCAAATTGCAAATCCCTTCGTTTTCATCCTTGATAATGCCGATGATCTTTTTGAAAGTGGCCTTCCGAACGTCAAAGAGGAAGTTGTTGATTTAATTGGAGAAATTCTCAATTGCAGCCATAAGGTAACGTTTCTTCTCACCACAAGGGAATCTTGTCAATTCTTAAATCTGCGCTTCAAAGGACACAATGCTTTAAGAATTAGAGAGCTGGATGAGCAATCCTCTTCAAAACTTGTTCAAGAACTGCTTCCAGGAGCGAGTAAGTCTGATTGTATAAAAGTTAGGCAGGCTTGCGGGAGTGTACCATTGGCCATGAAGTTGTTGTGTTCCTCCATTTCGGGGTCTGTTGACAAGTTCTTGAGTACCACAAATAACATTCTGGAAATGTTGGACAACCCAGACTATCCCAACAATCAGAGGTTGAAGTATCTTTTTGACGCCTCTTTTCAGAGACTTTCCGTAAAGGAAAGAGAAGCACTGATCTCACTTTGCATTCTTCCCAACCATTTTGACCTACATGTCGCATCAGCTGTGTTAGGAATGAAAACAATCCAGCAGGCTGCCAGAATGCTGCAGATACTCCAGCGAAAATCCTTCATTGATTCTAGTTCCAAGGCCGAGAAATATTCCATCCATAAGCTGTTATTGTCATTTATACAGGAAAAAGGGGAAAACGAAATGAAAGAAATGGTTCTCAACGCTAAAGTGCGTTTTTTTGAACTGCATATTTCCCTCTTCGAGACGCTAACAGAAAAGTTCCTCACAGGACATTCCATGTCGGCTTTCCTTGAGTATTTTCAGAATGAGGAAAGTTTCGTTCAAAGTCTAATTGACGGCTGTCTGGAGGAAAGAACAGTCAGTAAAGTTTGCGAGGTTTTGATTAAAGCTGAAATATATCTCTGCTTTCTTTACTGGCAAGATTACGCTATGATTGACATCATTTACGAAACAGCAATAAAGGCAGCCAATGATCACAATTGGCTTAACTCTGTCCACAAACGACTGCTTCTGTTGAAAACGTATGGGAGCTTGGTTATGGGCGCAACTGAAGAGACGAAGAGGCTGCTGTCGGTGAATAAGCAAGTTCAGTTGTCTACTGTCATCCAAGACACACAATTGCAAGGAGAATTCTTGACTTACCAAGGATTGTACAAAATGTTTATCGGGAGAGTTGAAGAAGGAGTGAGACATTTAGAAGAAGCGCTTTCGTTAATGGAGACAACTCCAAAGCACAGAATCGTAAAGCTCATTATTCTTCAAGTTCTTGCTCTTTATCAAAGTTCCAAAAAGAACCCATTAAAGTCACTTGACCTTTACAAAAAAGCAGTCGATGAATGCAAAGCAGTGGGAGACACGGGCTTAGTAGTAATTCCGGAAATCGATGAAACCAGGAGAGAAGAAGACAGGATACATCTAAACAAAACCAGACTGACCCATAATCAGCCACTTCAAACCGAAGTTGTCATTCTGGTGAGTCAAGTAGTAAAGAACATCTCCACTGGTGAAACCAAGCAGTTCTTTTATAATTTACTGCAGCAAATACTAGTGGAATCTGACTCTGCCATACCAACTGGTGCAACGGGTCGGTTCCATTTTAATTCATCTGGAGTAAGATTGCTCATCAAATTAAAAGGGAAAATGAACCGTGCAATTTATAAAGAAGATATAGTAAATTTTCATCCCAAAAAGATCCAAACAAAACCTGAGAAAAACATTAGTGCAACTTCCTCAAATAACAGCGAACGCACGACAGCCAACAACGTAGAAGCCTTGGAATCAGAGAAGCGTGCACTGTATATCAGGTTAAAAGTCCTGGGTAAAGAACATCCACAAACCGCTCTCTGCTATCATTCATTAGGAGTTACTCAACATTCACTTGGAGACTTTGTGTCAGCCCTTGAGTCTGCCAAGCGTGCACTGAATATCAGCTTAAACGTCCTGGGTGAAGAACATTCACAAACCGCTCTCAGCTATTATTTATTAGGAGTTACTCAACTTTCACTTGGAGACTTTGTGTCAGCCCTTGAGTCAAAGAAGCGTGCACTGAATATCCGCTTAAAAGTCCTGGGTGAAGAACATTCACAAACCGCCGACAGCTATCATTCGTTAGGAGTTACTCAACATTCACTTGGAGACTTTGTGTCAGCCCTTGAGTCAAAGAGGCGTGCACTGAATATCCGCTTAAAAGTCCTGGGTGAAGAACATTCACAAACCGCTTACAGCTATCATTCATTAGGAGCTACTCAACATTCACTTGGAGACTTTGTGTCAGCCCTTGAGTCAAAAAAGCGTGCACTGAATATCAGCTTAAACGTCCTGGGTGAAGAACATTCACAAACCGCTCTCTGCTATCATTCATTGGGAGTTACTCAACGCTCACTTGGAGACTTTGTGTCAGCCCTTGAGTCTGCCAAGTGTGCACTGAATATCAGCTTAAAAGTCCTGGGTGAAGAACATTCACAAACCGCTCACAGCTATCATTCATTAGGAGCTACTCAATATTCACTTGGAGACTTTGTGTCAGCCCTTGAGTCTGCCAAGCGTGCACTGAATATCAGCTTAAAAGTCCTGGGTGAAGAACATTCAGAGACCGCTGACAGCTATTATTCATTAGGAGTTACTCAACATTCACTTGGAGACTTTGTGTCAGCCCTTGAGTCAAAGAAGCGTGCACTGAATATCCGCTTAAAAGTCCTGGGTGAAGAACATTCACAAACCGCTCTCTGCTATCATTCATTAGGAGTTACTCAACATTCACTTGGAGACTTTGTGTCAGCCCTTGAGTCTGCCAAGTGTGCACTGAATATCAGCTTAAAAGTCCTGGGTGAAGAACATTCACAAACCGCTCTCTGCTATCATTCATTGGGAGTTACTCAACATTCACCTGGAGACTTTGTGTCAGCCCTTGAGTCTGCCAAGCTTGCACTGAATATCAGCTTAAAAGTCCTGGGTGAAGAACATTCAGCTGACAGCTATCATTCATTAGGAGTTACTCAACATTTACTTGGAGAGTTTGTGTCAGCCCTTGAGTCAAAGAGGCGTGCACTGAATATCCGCTTAAAAGTCCTGGGTGAAGAACATTCAAAAACAGCTGACCACTATCATTCATTAGGAGTTACTCAACATTCACTTGGAGACTTTGTGTCAGCCCTTGAGTCAAACAAGCGTGCACTGAATATCAGGTTAAAAGTCCTGGGTGAAGAACATTCAGAAACCGCTGACAGCTATCATTCATTAGGAGTTACTCAACATTCACTTGGAGACTTTGTGTCAGCCCTTGAGTCAAACAAGCGTGCACTGAATATCCGCTTAAAAGTCCTGGGTGAAGAACATTCACAAACCGCCCACAGCTATCATTCATTAGGAGTTACTCAACATTCACTTGGAGACTTTGTGTCAGCCCTTGAGTCAAAGAAGCGTGCTCTGAATATCCGCTTAAAAGTCCTGGGTGAAGAACATTCAAAAACCGCTGACAGCTATCATTCATTAGGAGTTACTCAACATTCACTTGGAGACTTTGTGTCAGCCCTTGAGTCAAAGAAGCGTGCACTGAATATCCGCTTAAAAGTCCTGGGTGAAGAACATTCACAAACCGCTGACAGCTATCATTCGTTAGGAGTTACTCAACATTCACTTGGAGACTTTGTGTCAGCCCTTGAATCAAAGAAGCGTGCACTGAATATCCGCTTAAAAGTCCTGGGTGAAGAACATTCACAAACCGCTCACAGCTATCATTCATTAGGAGTTACTCAACATTCACTTGGAGACTTTGTGTCAGCCCTTGAGTCAGACAAGCGTGCACTGAATATCAGGTTAAAAGCCCTGGGTGAAGAACATTCTGAAACCGCTGACAGCTATCATTCATTAAGAGTTACTCAACATTCACTTGGAGACTTTGTATCAGCCCTTGAGTCAAACAAGCGTGCACTGAATATCAGGTTAAAAGTCCTGGGTGAAGAACATTCAGAAACCGCTGACAGCTATCATTCATTAGGAGTTACTCAACATTCACTTGGAGACTTTGTGTCAGCCCTTGAGTCAAACAAGCGTGCACTGAATATCCGCTTAAAAGTCCTGGGTGAAGAACATTCACAAACCGCCCACAGCTATCATTCATTAGGAGTTACTCAACATTCACTTGGAGACTTTGTGTCAGCCCTTGAGTCAAAGAAGCGTGCTCTGAATATCCGCTTAAAAGTCCTGGGTGAAGAACATTCAAAAACCGCTGACAGCTATCATTCATTAGGAGTTACTCAACATTCACTTGGAGACTTTGTGTCAGCCCTTGAGTCAAAGAAGCGTGCACTGAATATCCGCTTAAAAGTCCTGGGTGAAGAACATTCACAAACCGCCGACAGCTATCATTCGTTAGGAGTTACTCAACATTCACTTGGAGACTTTGTGTCAGCCCTTGAGTCAAAGAGGCGTGCGCTGAATATCCGCTTAAAAGTCCTGGGTGAAGAACATTCACAAACCGCTCACAGCTATCATTCATTAGGAGTTACTCAACATTCACTTGGAGACTTTGTGTCAGCCCTTGAGTCAGACAAGCGTGCACTGAATATCAGGTTAAAAGCCCTGGGTGAAGAACATTCTGAAACCGCTGACAGCTATCATTCATTAAGAGTTACTCAACATTCACTTGGAGACTTTGTGTCAGCCCTACAGTCAGCTAAGTGTGCACTTGACATCAGGATGAAGGTGCACGGTGAAGAGGATCCACGAACTGTTGACAGCCTGGTTAAGGTGAAGAAGTTAGAAAAGTTGTTGTGAAGGAATTCATGATGAAAGAAGAGAAAAGGGAACATTACAATTAAGTATTTTGATAAAAGTCATTTATATATTCACACTAATATCAAGAGATCCTAGAGAAGGTAATTTTTTCGAAGATGATAGTTGAAAATTTGTATTACGATGTAGCAAGACCTTAAAAAGTCTTTTTAGAAATAACCACAGGAAAGGATAGGACTCGTCATTTTCAAAACGCAGCATTGAAAAGTAAAGGAAGGGCACAAAGCTAAAACGTTATATTCATAATTAGGTTGTTATCATAGAAATTCTTTTACTTGCCCTTTTTTTTTCTTACTAGAGACTATTGGTATATTTTTTAGTTTTTAGGATTTTTTGCGAAAAGATATATTCATAGTAGATAATATAAATTTGCTCTGTTGTCTCACGACAAAGTCACTAGATGTAGATCGCGACATTTCGACTGCTTACTGCAAGTCTTTTTCAGGCGATGGGGTCGACTGGTTCTAGTGCAACATTATGTATCATGGTGGCCCGCTGCGATTGGTGCATTTCGATCCGGCTATTGTTTTCGTGTACCACGGTTTCCTCAAGCGTTCGCTAATTTGCCGTGCGTCGCTGGCTTTGATGTTTTCTAATTGGCAGCATCCACGCTTCCGGTATTTCGGCTTCGTTGTCCTTGTTTATGTTGTTTGGGTTATCTCTTGCCTCTTTCACTTTCCTTGTGTACCAATGGTTGTTTCGGTCAATAAACTTCATTTCGTTCCACAGCAGCTCGTGTCTGGTTCCGTTAGCGTGTTCTGAAACCGCGGAATTCTGAGTGCGTGCGAGTCGCATGTCCTTGTCGTGTTCTTTTTTCTTCTTTCTTTCATGGGTCGTCCCGTTTCTCCGATGTAGACTTTGCCGCATGCGCAAGAAGCGAATCTTTAAGTTGATTGTATACCTCAGACTCGAATTGAATGATTAAGTGAGTTTGTTAGTAGAGAGATTTCCTATCGGAATGAGTTTTCTAAAGAGACACAATTTATCTTTTAGCCTACCTTGACAAAGCTCTTCCTAACGACTTAAGTTAACAAACTTGATGATTTTATTTAACCAGACAAAAATAGTTTCGATGGGGATATACGTACCAAAACAGGATTTCCCGCTTGTGGTAAAATCATAACCAAAATTTGAGACATAGTCTTATTCTTTTTTTTCAATTTGAAATATATTTTTGTAGATGAATGGTCTTTGTAATTAGAAATTGCTGAGCCAGACACTTTTAATCTTTGTTCAATTAAACGCATTGTTATGGAAAACTTTTTATCCTTAATTTTCCTGGTTGTTTTGTTTGTAATTCGATGACTACGTCATAGATTTTCTATTTGCAACACGTGATCAAAGTGAGAGAGCCAATGAAATTGCCGTATTGTCCACAGTAGCTACCATAGCAACCAATAGAACTGCTTCCAAATTTGGCCGAGTTCACAAACTGTGAATGGGACGAGTACAAATACAATGACTTGAGATGCCCCGTGGCGTCGAAATCCTCGTGGGCAGCGGCCATTTGCCAAGATGCAGAATTTACCTTCGGGCCACTCTATAGAATGAACAATACGTGTGTTTCGTAAGGGACCGATCATCATTTCTCACGTAGGGGGACAGGTGGTGATACAGTTTGTGTCACGATAAAATTCATCTGATCCCTCGTAGAGCATACAGCTCTGTAGGATTGTTATAAACCGCCCATTGATTGGCAGCTAAGTGGTAGTCAATTTTTTTGTAGTCCCCCTCTTAGTACACTGTTTGTGAAGACTAACACTCCTGAGTTTCGCCTTAAAACTATGTGATTCTACCAAAATCCCCCACCCCTCCTCTCCGGCGATTGACTGGTCTCTGAAGCGTTCTCAGTTTCGAGAAAACGTGTGGTCCCGAATATTTTCAAACTATTGCGCAATAAAAAATTTTTTGGGGGGAGGGGTGGGAAGAGTGTCTATACAACTTTTTCCAAAGATTATACAATCAATTTGAACAACTTTCGTGAATATTTTGAGGAACAACTGAGTCTATGAAACAGAATAAATATATATTTACCCTCCTTGAGCGATGCACTTTCTTCTTGGGCATAACTTAAAGAAACTTTTAAAGTTTTAACCTCCTGTTCCAACTTTTCAATTTTCTCGGTGAGTTTTCTCTCCAAGTCTTCTATCTCATCTTGGGTTTGCCCTGTTTTCTCTTTTAGGCTTTTGAAATCTTTGCTAAATGTGATGGTTGTCTCTGACCATACTGCTGCCAGCTCGTTAATATGGCTAACTGTTTTATTCAACTTCTTTGTTACATTTTGAATCTTCTTGGTATGATTGGCGAACTTGTCAAATATTTGTTTAAACTCCTTCTCATAGCCTGTTCCTTTGACAACTGTAGAGACTTGGTTGCTGAGATTTTCTATGATTGCTGACTGGGCTTTGACCAGGCTCGTCACAGTTTCAAGATTGTTTGAAAGCGTGTTAATCTGATAAAGAATGTAATGTTGTGAGCGTTCATTAAACAATCTGCAACCCTGACCCTGGAGCCTGGATTCGGGGGACTTACGAAACGGAGGTAAAAATGGTGGATATTTACCCAGCTGTAAAGTGGGTAAGTAAATATCCACCACACACACTGTTTTACTACATAACACACAAGCTTAAAATTTTATATCTGACTCTGTACCGAAATTCGACCGAATATCAAACTAGTGAAAAATTTTCAGCGTGATCATCTACGTGGGCAAAAAAATATGGCAATTGGAGAAAACACCACACTCTATGACTGGACTCCAATAGTAGCAATACCCAATAAGAAATGTCAGTCCCTTTAGATTTCAGGTAAATAAAGGGCTGCGGAAACTTAAAATTAGCCACTTACTGTTTCCTTATCAGCCTCATTTTGGCCGCTTCCTTCGTTGCCGTAGAGAACAATAGCTGTTTGGGAAGAAAGCAACTGAGCAGGTTACTATTTTCAGCATTTATCATGGAACAGTTCGTTTAGAAAGTCTACTCAATTATTTACAGTGTCCCCGAATATTTTATCGCCTGAATAGGGTGAAACGTTTGAAAGAAATGCTATCGACAACCTCAACGTATTGACCTTGGTAACAAACACAAAAGAAACTACTGATAAGTCGGTGATACAGATTCAGAACGTAATTAACGTAAAAAATGTCTTTTGGCGAACCATGATAGTTTAGGTATGCTTAAGGTTTTCTCGGAGATCTAATTGCCTCTCGCCAAGCGACATCTGCGGTTCAGTCCGCTAAGACGTTCATTCATGGCGGCAACTTCACATGAGCTGCACAAGGTCAGTGTTTGAGTTGAGCGATTTCTGCGACTTGACTGAGGGGCTATGACACTAATACAAGGAACAGGGGTATTACGAATAATTACCTGATTGATGTGGTTTCGGATGATACATGATCAACTGTTTTTTCCCACCCTTCCTGTTCAGCGTTTCTCCTGAAATTTTAAATACAAACATCACCAACACCAGGACATTAATCACGCGAAAGTATGCCACATTCATCTCGGACTAATAACAGTTTGAATGCTTAAGCGGTGAGCAGGATTATAGAACCTTTCGCTCGAAACGAGTACATCTATATTTCCAAACAATTAAAGATTCGTTGAAGCGTGATGTACGTCAAATACCGTTTAAAATATCGGCAGGTAAGCAATTGAAGATTTGACGTGTGATTACATCCGTTTGAATCGTTCACACAAGCTGTTTCCTATCAGAGATCAGTAAGTACAACAAGTTTGGTGAAAAGCATCTACTGGAAGCTCTGTTACACCACTCTTTTCCAATTAATTTACCCCACGCGTAAAAAGGTGAAACGAAGAAATGTTAACCAAAAGGTGAAAATTAGGGATAGGCTCTCAGAAAAGTCACGGGTTAGGGCGGGATTTTCTGGAGCTGCAATTATTACAATTTTTCTTTTATAACAAGAGGGCATTTTTCCTTCTTTGTTATATATGGGGGAATTGCCTCCGTTTCCTACAACCTCCCCTTCCACCCCCTCTCTCTTTACCGTTGGTCCGTCCCTAAGGCCACCACATTTCTCAGAGCCTGTTACCCGCGTTAACCTTCAAACTCTCAAGATCTGATTGTTAATTTTCCCTCCAGCTGCTACACATTTCCTTGTAAATTGGGTATGAGAATTTGGTGCTAGATCAAGAACACGACTTCTACCTGATAAGTTTGAATATTCTCATTACCAATTTGCTGGATAATGTAAGGAAATTATAGGGAGAAGTTTCATGTTGATCACTTCTGAGAGTCAATGGGTAAAGTTGTTTTAAAACGAACAGGACGCTGTGTTAGCGCAGAGCAAAAAGCGACCCATCCCACGCCTCCCTCTTATTTTCCTTCTGTGTAACTAATGTGTTCCATTTTTACACGCCCGTTCACTTGCTGAACGCACGGGAAAGGTTGGTTTATAGATAGTTCCTCTCATGAATTATCATTCGCCAAATACAATTCCCGTTTGATTTTTAATTTTGCAAATGGGAGGTTCAGCAGTTCTCATTACAAAATAAACCTAATAATTGTAAGAATAATAAATTAAATAACAATGGCATTTGGTTGTGCATTTTCCAATAAGGGTTTCGAGGTTAGTGAGACACCAACACCGCTCGCTTTCAGCAAGAGGATCAGACGAACGCCACCTTTACGCTGGTATATTAACACCGTTAGTGAAAGTGGAAAAACACGAGAAATCGCTCCTTAAAAATAAATTAATTTTCTCCTGTTGAGGCCTTAATAAAGGTGTTTGATAAAGATATGCTGTAAATCCCTTTTATACCAACTCCCCCCCTCCCCTCCTTGGCAAATTACACCTACGTTTAAAGTTTCATGACGGACTACTAACAGCTGTGAGTAGTTAAGGGCAGAATATGGAAAACTTGTGATAGGAGTTGATACTAATCAGCTTCCCAACACTTTCATTGAAAGAATAACAAAATATTTAACCCTTTAACCCCTTAGTGTGACTGGCATCTAATTTTTCCTGACAACATCACCCCTGAAGAAAACATCAAGGTCATGAGAATAAGGGAAATGATCAATAACTAATAAAACAAGCTCTTGATTGTTAAACAAATTCTCTTTTTCAGAACCTAAAGAAATGTATAGAGAAAGTATGGAGAATATGCATACTGATGTTGGAGTGTAAGGGGTTACTATTTTCAAAATTTTTGATGTAAGCCTGACTACTTAAGTCCCCATGAAATGTTTAGAAAGTTGGATAAGTTAAGAGTTGAAATCCAGTATTTTAAAGTGAAGTGTTGACAGAACTTTGTTTTTCTCTTTGTATGGAATAGATCACCCTATTTTCTATCCATTTGCACAATCCTTATGACATTACTTCCATTCCTTTAATCTTGTCATGACAACACTTGAATTCTTCCTTTTAAGAGTTCTTCATCTTAATACCAAGATTTCATAATTGAAATCATTGAACACAGCACTGTTATTTAACGGATTATGAGGGAAGATTCCTTTCACAATACAGTATTTACAAGTAGGGTGGTTTATTTAACATGAGACATTCTGTACACTTTTACGCTCTTTGGGGAAAGGCATCAGCATTCCTTCTTGGCAATATTTCATTAGTGCTGCCTTCCAAGCCTAAAACACAAGAAAAAGTGCTTAAATGTCAGATTTCTTCTCAAAAAGTCTAACCTATTGGTATTAACTTCAGAAAGATATTCTTGCTATTCTTTGTTATATGAGGCACCCAGGAGAATTGCCTCTTCACTTTGCTGGGAGGCAAGGGTGTGGTTAGCAAGAGTGGTCAAAAGGTATATCAGACTCCCATTTCCATGCAAAAGTGATCATTAAAGGAATAAAACATCCTAACATGCCGATAAATGCCATACAGATATCAGAGTGCATTCTCCTGCCACCCTAGTGGTGAGTTCAAAATTGATACAAGACAGGTAACTGGCTTCCAACTACACTGCTGATGATGCTAGTTTTGGACCCAACCCCCAATCAGACAGACAGTTCAACACAAGTAATTACCAATCATTTTGTCAGTTTACCCTGAAAGTTAACTCTCTTGCAGAAACACAAATCAGTCAGTCAGTCAGTTAATCAGTCAGTCAATCAATGAATCATTTGAAGGCATTTCACTTAGACATGTTCTACACATCACAACCATTACATAAAAAATTATCATTCACTTACTTCATGTGTAGCAGTGAGCAAATTGTAACTTGAAGCTGAAAATTGTAAAGAAACAAAATAATACATCAAGTGAACACATTTGTAAAGTTTTGGCCATAGAGAGGAAGAATATAAATTATGATGTAGATCTGAAATTGTGCGCTCTTGAAAAGAAGTATGAAAAAAAAAGTAGCTAAAAGTTGACTAAGCCATAAAGTAACCTTACAATTACAATTGATCTCACTGGTCAAATACTACCTTTATATAAACCCCAGAATTTCAATTTTCGGTTGAAAGGACAAGACATTAAATGTGTGCTTGGTGCCCTGAATAACAATGAAGGCTGGAAAACATGGGTAGCTATACTAGGAGTGCAATCTGAAAATATATGTAGAATTCACTTTTCTATCTATCTAGGAGTGTAACAATCCACTTGGAATAGTGGTAGAACACTCACAAAGCTTGAAAATCATTTGCCTTAAGCTTGCAACTTGCAAACTCTTCTTGTAAGCTTTAAACATTCCAAGGGGATTTTTATACAGTTAAGCTTTCTAATCATGTTAGCAATCAAAATATTTCAATCACATCCAAAATAGATACAAGAGTTGAATTTAAGCACATTGTTTAATTGTCAAATAAATTGTAGTTTACTGAGCATTGTTCAGTGTTAAGTTCCAGGCCAGTCTTAATCACTTACTAACCCTTTAATTCCCAGAAATAATCAAACATGAAAAGTCTCCCTATAATATCCTTATATTATCCAGCAAACAGGTAATGAGAATATTAAAACTTATCATGCAGGTAGAAGTTGTTATCTTGACCTAACACTTAATTCTCATAACTACATGTAATTTACAACTGTGTAGCAGCTAGAAGGGAGAATTAACAATCAGATCTTTGGAGTTAAAGGTTTAATAAATAAGAAGGCTATTCTTTACCTTCTGAGATCATTTGCTCTCCAGAGAATACCCCTACTACATAGATTGGGAAATTTGTTTTCACTCCACTTTCTTGGATTACTCTGCAAACAATACATGTAGATCAATCAATTGCAACCATTAGTCTGCAACAATTTAATTAGTATTTAAACCAGAGACAAGGAAGCTCTTAGAAAACAGCTGAATTCAAACTTAGCCCTTAGCCCTTTGCAGTAACCTTTTTCAGTATACACATTCTCCATACTCCACTTATACATTTCTATGGAGCTGACAGGGAGAATTTGTTTTACAATCAAGAGCTGTTTTAATAGGTGTTCAATTCCTCTATTCTCATGACTTAAATGTTTGATTCAGCAGTTATATTGTAAGGAGAATTAGAATTCGTATCCCTCTTAGGGTTTAAAGAGTTTAACAACTGAGCTGGTCATCTGTCTCATGACAGTTTAAAAACACATTTCTGTGCATGTTGAGATATCATTGACCCTTACAAGTACAACCATTTTACAGAAAGATGTTTTTCATCAGGTCAGGAGTGTTGGACAAAGGAAAAAATTCTGAGTTCCCAAGAGGAATCCACACTCTGATGCTTTACCATTGAGCCACAGAGACTCCATGGTGAGCAAGGGCCCTTATGAAGTTCATATATGACACACTTCCTGTATACTGCTTGGATCAGCAATGTCAATCATGTTTGTTCATAGAATAAGAGAGATGTATTTTATTCTGTAATTACTTATAAGAGTTTAGATCCTCTCATTTTACCTTGCAACAGGCTTTTCTTTTCCCCCTGTTATAAAGATATTGGTCAGGACTATTTCTGCTGATGGGAAGTGAAGAATTTTATGAAGTTCCTCTCCTTGAAGCTGAGTAATGACAAAGTCATCTACAAATCTTCTTGCTTCAGCAGGTCCCTTAAATTCAAATAATTATTGTCAATAAAAAAATACTGAAATTTTCTACTGCAAACCAATCAGATAAGTGATACAATCAAACACAAATACACATTAACCTTGTTAATAATATATTACCTTTGTTAATTACAAAATAACCCATACACCTAACATCACTCACTAAAATTAATGGCTTTTTTTGTGAAATGAAATCACAGAGTTATATACCATAAACTACAGCAAAAAAAATAATTGCTGTTAGTACTTTGCGATATAGGTACCAGGGTACATGTATTTACCGTTGTTGATTGGAATGGAGATGAAGCAATGGACTCTCATGCAGTGAATTTGGGATAATTGCTAACTCCCAGAAGTGATTTACATGTAACTTCTCCTTACAATATCCATACACTATCCAACAAACAGGTAATGAGATTACTCAAACTTATCAGTTAAAGGTTGTTATCAAGATATAACACCAAATTCTCGTAACTGAATTACAAGGAAATGTGTAACAGCCAGTTGGGAGAATTAACAATCAGATCTTGGGAGTTAAAGGGTTAAAGACTTAAATGTGGGATGAAAAATATTTAGTTTACACTATAACCAGTAATTATAATATATTATTTATTTCTACATGTTAGTTTACCTGATCAATATAAATTGCTCCAATAAATGCGAAGAATGCATCACAAATGACATCCTCCTGTCTATAATCCAGATGTTTCTCTTTGTTAAGTTCATCTAAGTCATGCTGTGTAGCAAAGGAAAAAAAAGAAAAAAAATTAATGCAGAATGAAGTATCAAACATTCAATGTCATACAAGCTGAAAAATCATGAGGTTACACCAAGAGTGACACATATATGTATACAACAGTTTTGAGACAGGTTGCCAGAAAAAAAAAGTGTAAAAGTGCACAAGACAACCTGAAAAGATATTGTGGGTAGTTCTCAGATCACAGTTCCTTGACTGTAGGATTTCAGGGAAAACTTAGAACATGTCACAGCAAGGATATTGTGGGTTAGATTAATTTTTTAAATTTATTTCACTTATTAAAATTCATCAATTACTGGATACCAAGATTACTGCTTGAGATTGCTGTTTACACTTTTGCCTTGAAACAGCTATGCATACTGTACTTCAATTAAGCTTGATTAATAATTTTCCTTGCCGTCAGTAAGATAGAAGAAGATTAGAGGGAAACAATGTTCAAATTAATACAATTGAGGTTTTTAAGTAATTACAACAAACCTGAAAACAGGATATGAATCAAATCTCTAATATTAAATTTACCTCCATTCTGATCAGGTCTGCCAATGCTATGAGTTTTGATAACTTTACAATGGTACTTCTGCCCATGAGAAAATCATGAAGACATCTGTGTAAAGGAATGCAGTTTGATGTTAATAATTAGAGAGTTAATTTTGATGGTGTTTCTTGGGGGTTTGAAAAATTGCACAAAAACTAAGATTTTGGATCAAGGAAGAAAAAGAAATCACTTGAGAAAGGATATTATTGCAAAACTAAGTTTAGTTTCTATGATATTTAACCCTTTAACTTCCAGAAGTGATTAAGATAAAACTTCTCCCTTCAATATCCATACATTCTTCAGCAAACAGGTAATGAGAATATTCAAACTTATCAGGTAGAAGCTGCTATCTTGATCTAGCACCAAATTCTCATTACTAATTTACAAGGAAATGTGTAGCAGCTACAGGGGAGAATTAACAATCAGATCTTGGGAGTTAAAGGGTTAAAGCAAAAACACTTAATTTACATTCCATCAGTATGTTGGAGTTGTATTCACAAACACATGATATGGACAGTGCACTGGGAATGAAATGCTGTATTTTCATTTTCAATCTTGGGTGAATCAAAAATTTTGTTAAACAATTACTTATTATCTTATTATTGCCTTTTTCATCCTTTTCTTACTTCTAAAAATATTGGATAGTTCTACTGTATTAGTATCATAGGCAGGTTAACCTTGTAGTGTTGACTTGTGAGGTAATGGCCACATTTCAGTACAGTAACTATAAAGTTGCTTTGTGCTTCAGATTTTGGGTATAATATATGTCTCTGCAGCCTTAACCCTTTAACTCCCTGAAGTGATCAACAAGAAACTTCTCCCTCTAATATCTAGACATTATCCAGCAAACAGGTCATGAGAATATTCAAAATTATCAGGTAGAGGTTGTTATCTTGATCTAACACCAAATTCTTGTAACTTATTTACAAGGAAATGTGTAGCAGCTGGAGGGGAGAATTAACAATCAGATCTTAGGAGTTTAAAGGTTAACACAACACCATACATATCCCTGAGACATAGAGACTGTGTGCTCAAATCTCTTTAGCTGTGCCATAAATCAGTCTCACAAACGTAATACTATATACATCTGTACATGCATTTTGCATTGCTACTTTCAATGTCAAAATCAAACAGTGACACCACAGAATTTGTTTGTAAGATATTTACCTTACACCTAAGCAGGGTAGGGAGGGGTATGTGTTACACAAATGATCAACAATATATAATGAAGAAGCTGTGACTCCTAAAAAAGATATTAAAAAAAGAAATGATCAGTACCATGTAAAAGAAAAAAAAAATTTTTCATTTCTCTTGCAGACTACCTAAAATTGAATCATAACAGAGAGACATCCTATACAATTCTGATTGCAGGCACAAAATTTTCAAATACATAAACAATAGGGAAGGTGCAATTTTAGGCCCTGTAACTAACCAAGTTCAAGGTCTGTTCTATAAATTATAAATCAAGTTTTTTTTATTGGATTTATATTACTGGTGAAAAGCAACTGAGCCAAAAGTCAAGACAAAGAGGTCAGTAAGATATTTAATGCATATCTGGGATCAAAAAGGAGGGAAATATTTCATTTTGAACAAAACTTTAAATCTAGGGGGCTGTACAGTGAAACACAGCCTACTAAATTGAACAATCACAGCAAACAAAGTAACTGAGAGATATCACAGATCTATTTATCACAGATATAAACAGGTCCTGATTAAGAAAAAAAATATAGCCAAGATGTCAGAATTAAGAGTTAAAAAAAAATGGAAAACTACAAACCAATCAGTGACAGTTTTCCATTATTCTCCTGTGTGTGAACTGATCCTTTTCTACCGTTATGTTTGTAGGACTCGTGAGTCAAGGCCGTTCTAAGCGTGTTATCATCTTGAAAAGTTAAACCCAGTCTGTTCTTGAATGCAAACAACTCTCTTTCAAAGTTTCTTCTGAAAAATTTCTTTTTGTCAAAAACTCTGCAAAAAGGAAAAACAACATAAATTAATTTACTGAACTGATGCTTTCATTTACTTTCAATAACACTGCATCAGATCACCAGTAAATGCTTAACTTTGCTTAAGAAAATTGTGGTCTTGTTCAAAATAAAATTTCTATGGACTCTTTAAGGCAACTACTACTAATCACCATTTAAAGAATATTATAATCATCATTATTGTGGAATAGGGCTACCCCCCTCCCCATCCAAAAAAAAACAGGACAGTTTACACTGTAGGTGATGTCAAACCCTTGCATGGTTGCCGTGACTGCTTATACCCACCTGGATGGAACATCCCTGGTGCAAAGTTTACTAAGCTGTCACAACACTGCCATTGTTGGTTGGAGGTTTTGATACTTGTGTGGTAGCACCTCCAAACTTTAAAACTTATCTCAAAATACATTTAAAACCATAAATTTACCTTAGGTCAAAAGTTGGGGGTAATACAACCATGCTTTTTGGTGATGGAAATTCACTTTTAGGCAACGGAACAAGGAGACCACTTCAATCGTTATGGTGACACAATTCCTATTCACAGCCTAACAACTTAAAAAATACTCTTAAAATGATTATGACAAACTCACAGTGGCTGAATTCCTTCTCGCTCTTTAAGTTTTAGCCTTAAATTTCTCTCTCGTCTTCGTTTGTCTCTGTTACTTCCTCTAAAAAATCGCACACCTGTAGCATGAGGTAAACACATCAAATTGGCTATTATACTTCAAACAAGAAAACTGTAATAATTATTACTTCACAAGTCTGAAAAGTCCATTAAAATATTTTGTATTCTTTAAGCAAGCTTACACCAACTATTAGTCTGTAAGGAGTGATCAGAATGTAAATTCTACCAACAATTTTAATACCCTGTTAAGTATGTGGGTAACAAGAATTAAGGAAAGGAATGTGATCTTGATAGAATACCAGATTCCCAGGACAAGCCTAACAAAAAATTAGAGGAAAACACTAGGTAGAGAGATTAACATTAATATATTAGGAGTTGAATAGATAACATAATACTTCCTCTTCGAAACAAATTTAAGACCTTAAAATTATGTTCCAAAGGAAATATTTTCTAAGACTATACACATGTACAATTTCAGCATGTGCGGCTGAGCCACTGAACACTCATTTTGAACGCGAAAAAATATCTGGTTTGTTAGTGTAGAAAGTTCTTAAAAGCTGACTCCGAGTATTTATACGAAACACACTGAAACCGTGACATGGGAGTTAGGAGGGACATACGCAGCACATTTGTTCCCCTGGCGCACCTTGATACACGTGTAATATAGAGTTTACATCTTTGACGAGTTACATTACATCACTAACACGACAAACGTGACTTATTGCATCAGTGCACAGCTTGGATCGCCATGCAGCTCAGATAAACCACAAGATATTAAAACAAAAACGATTTGAAAACTTTTATTTCTAGGGAATACTATAACCCTAAATTAATTCCATCGTGTGAAGCTCACGGGGATATTTGAGTATGGAGACTTGGCGAATTTAATGTACGACAGATCAACATCTTTCAGAGCTTGAACACAGATTGATTCATACCTGAAATTACAGAAGCACTGTTTAAAACGTTCATTTGAGGGAAACCTTTCCACTGTGAGCAGCATTGTCGTAATAACGTAGAACAAACCACAACCTCTTTCATTACCGTGGTCGCCATGTTCATATCACGACATCAGTCCGTTGTGTAACAGTCATGTAGTGTATAGAGTTCGTGTGAGTAACTAGACCCAGTCTTCCTCAGCGAGTGAGGCTGAACGCCATTTTGGTTTCCTCAAAGGATTTGAGAGAAGACTTTTGAGATATTTTGTAAGCCATGTGGTTAACTAGAATCTTATGCAAGCGACATATACCTGGAAGGATTTATGGCGGGTAATTATACTTTCATTAACGTGTTTTTTCGGAGAATATAACTCTAATCAATTATCTTCTGCTCTCTGAAAACTGTAAACCATCAATGATTGTGATCAAACTTAATTAATTTTCTGAGTCATCCATCAGCAAAGAAGGGATAAGGACCTATTGGAAAAATTTGATCAAGGAATAACACACAAAAATGATTTGGAAAATGGTTTTGTGATTGTGCAGTACTTTGTTGTTAAGACGCAGCAAGATGATATGATCGAAAATGTTAGCATTGTACATGTGCACTATAGATGGCGATTGCGGTGGCAGTGGTGGTGGTGGGGGGGTTGGTTGGGGGTGGTAGGGATATGGAAAGCAGTACATTTAAGAACCTGTGATATTGTTTTGGGAGTTTTTGGAAATTGTTAACAATAAGTTCATTTTGAAAAGTAATGTTGCAAGAATGGAGTGACTAATTCTGGACTTTTGGTCTTTTTGCTTGTGGTATGCACAATTTAAAGTGGTTCTGTATGTGCAAGGTTTTTTCAAGCCCTGATACTCTCTGTGGAGTTAGTGACAGCTATCATTGAATGGAAGCCATTATGAGGTCATGCAGAGCTTGACAGCTAATTCTTACAAGTCTGTCATGGAAAATTATTAGCAGTGATGTAATTGGCTGTCAGACTCTAGCACAATCCAAAGCTACAAAAAAACTACTGAGTATTACAGGCAGAAAAACTAACCAATCACTTTTGGCAAACTAGGCTAATGACATTGGATTGACAAGACTTCTATTTACAAGGTTTTTTAAAACATCAGCTACTGTCTCTGAAAACAGTTCTTTACAGTATTACCTTCATTCTACAGTGTATATTTTCAACTGTTATAGCTGTACTTCCATAATGAAAATATAACAGTTACCAAGGTACAGGTTATTAATTGCCTTTGCTTAAGTGCTATGCAAAGATAAATGGCAGTGGAAGATGTGAGGGTCTCTAAAGACATGGTGAAAGAATTAATGTTAATTTCTTCATTTTGTTAAATGTACTTTTCAGGAAGTACCGGCTTGTGAAAAGGGAAACACCAACTGTCAGGCGAACTAAAGTGAAAAATGAATTGAGATTACAAAGAAACGAGAGTCTTCTTGCAGTTCCCTATTTGACACAGGTAGGTTTAAAACTACCAAGTTTTAAATCACAATTTTAAGTAGTCCTCAGAGTTGTCATTAAAAGCTGGTGTGTGGCTGCAAACCCATTGGCTGTCATGATACTTTAAGCTGGCTACTTCTTGGTTTTTGTTGAAAGACAGAAAATAAGTATTTTTGATGAGGTAACTTGTTATTCTCAAGCGAGTTGATAATGTAAGTTGGCCACTGCTAAGAGTCTCAAAGCTGGCATTTCAGGCATTAGTTCTTCATACTAGTATTCTATTTGGTGCATTTGGATAATAGATTATTACAACCTTTTTTAACCCTCTGAAATATTATATGTGTTTCCTTAGATCTCCACATCATGACTGACAATGCCTTAAAAGCAATTTGCTTAATACATTGTGTCTATTGCATGATGCATTATGAGAAGGCACTGTAGGAACTAAGAATTTGTAGAACATATTTCCATTTTTTTTTTCTAAATTTTGAAAAGGTTAAGAAAAATTATTGTTTTCTATTTTTCTATTTTCTTATATAGGCACAAGAATTTGAACATGCTTGGGAAAGGAAACAAGAAGAACAGAGGATGTTTAATGAAGCTTGGCAAAAACACAAAACCAAAAAACTGAAGAATGTGTATGCATTTGGACCTCTAAGTCAAGGGAAAAAGGAAAACATTATGGAACACTTAAATGCTACAAGAACTAAACATGAATGATTAAGATTTTTAAACATCTGTCACTGTACATTCATAAAATGTCACCATTGCAAGTCAGTGGATACTATCAGAACTACCAGTACATGTGCATGCAGACTTGACATTGGTGTCTATCAGTACTAGTGCTTGGGTCAAAAATAGTGAAGGAAGCATTGCATTCTACTTAGGATTTCACATAGTCATAGGAAAAGCACAGCACAAGTACTATATTACAATTTTAAAATTTTAGCAATGTTAATTTTGTAAATTTTCAAAGTTTATAATTGTAGAATTCACATGATGTAAGTGGTGAGTTTTACACACAACTTTAAGCAAAAATTTACCTTTTCACTCCCAAGATCTGATTGTTAATTCTCCCCACCAGCTGCTACTCATTTCCTTGTAAATTGGTTATAAGAATGTGGTGTAAGATCAAGTTGACAACTTTTGCACCAGATAAGTTTGAGTATTCTCAATGGTAATCACTTTTGGGAGACCACTATCATCATCACTAAGGAGATAGGGCTCACTCACTGACATTATGGCAAAAAGTCAGAAAAGGGGATATTAATCCTTGAAGCTTGAATTTATGTTTTAGATAGCATCATTGTTTGGTTGGATTATGTTTGAAGGAATTTTAATGTTAATGGATATTGTGGTCAATTAACTCAAGAACAAAAATTCCTTCATTAGTCCAGCGTAAACTTTTAGAGGGCATTGTGTAATGACTTTGTTTTAAGTGCCAAATACACTCAGCCACCATAAGTTGGTGAACTAAATATGTTCCCAGAATTTAATGTGATGAGCTCTGGTTAAAGCCAGTGCCAAGGAAACTTTGTTTGCACATTAACAGAGAACATGGGTCAAAGAAACTTTTGGAATTAAATGTCTTGGTGTAAAAATTTGTTTATTTACCTACCTTGGTTGTTTATCTTAAAAGCTTTCAAAAGTCAATGGTAGTGAGGGGAACTAAACCAAAAGTTTAGGTTACCTTAGAGGAATGGTTAGACACTGATGATTGGCTCAGAAACAATTTTGAACAATAAATTTGCAGCAGGCATCGTCACTTCTTGTGAGAAACAATATTTTCTAATGTGACCTTGGCCAGTGTTGAATATTCAACAATAGTATCAGCCCATGTTTATCTTTTACTATTCAAAGTGAGTTCACTCCCTTTGTTGGAATATCATTAAAAGCAACCGTTCCAGCTACATGGCAATGCAAATAAATTGACCAAAGCTTTCATGTGAAATATCATAGGAAAAAAAATTCATGTTTAACTAAAATACCTTTCAAAGTTCATGAAAGTTGGAGAAAGAGAGAGGAGAGTCAGAACCACATGGAAATCTTGGATTTTAAGACATAAAAACTTGTGGTAGCCAATGAAATTCCAGGTTGTTTTGTCATCACCTGGAGAAAAGTAGCTCAATACACCAGTAAAACTTGACAAAAATCAGAAAATACCTACCGTATTTACTTGTGTATAAGTCGACCTTTTATGACCAAAAATCAGCCCAATAAATCACCCTTGACTTGAGTCATAGACATGAGTCACACACAGACCTGACCCAAGCAATCCAAGAAATTAGCGTAACAATTGCCTGAAGTCCGTTAGGAAAACCAAGTCCACAAAAACAAGAAAGTGAGGGTCATTACGGAAAGTACGGGTAAAAATGCTAACATTTTTCACAGTGACATTTATAAATTGATTCTTGTAATTAAGTTTGCAATGCAAGAAATGTTGTTGTATTGAATATGCTTCCACATTCAGCATCTTCCCTTTTTTGGGGTGCAGGTGTTGAAGTCAGCCCAGTACAACAAGAAAACAAAGCTGTGTATTTACCAGAGTTGTGTCCCGTCAACCTTGCCATACAGCTCAGAGTGTTGGTGAATTACGGAGGCTAAACTTAAAAGGTTGTTAGTTTTCCACAGGACATGTCTCTGAAGGATCTCTTGTATATTTTGGCCAAGAACCATCTCCAATCAAGAGCTAATGGAGCAGTGCCAACTTGAAGATACGAAGAACAGACTCATAAAACGACAATGGAGATGGATCTGGCATGTCCTTGAAGAGAACCTGATAGTATTGCAAGAGTGGCCATCCACTGCACATCAGAGGGAAAGAGAAAGAGAGGCCGACCTTAAACAACTTGGCAGCAAACAGTCAAAGAGAAGATGAAGCCATACACCAGATGTGGGGGTCAATACAGGAGCAGGTTGAGGAAGGGGTGCATGGGTAGTAATTAAGTGAGTAACTGAATAGATAATGTAAAATGGCTACCATAAAAAGATTCTAAAGCTGATGTTTCGAGCATTAGCCTAACACTCAAAATGTTAGCTTTGGAAATTCTTTAATGGTGGCTATTTTACATTATCGGCTCAGTTAAGAAAACCAAATTATCTTGTAATGTTCTTGTATATAACAGCACCAACGCCTGAGAAACTTGTAGTCATTTTATCTACTGAAATGGCTTTAATTAGAATTTAAAGATCTGTGGACTAGTTTACTCTTCTAAAGGTAACAGAACATTGCATTAAAAACATAACTGCAATGCACTTACAACAATTTCAGATAACTTATCTACTAAACTTAATACGTACAAATATATATATTGTCAACTGTCATCTACAAAATCAGTGTATAAATAAATCATAGAATATTTCCTTTATAGGCTATACAGTAATGTTGATTCAATACATAATTCATACTTTAGCATAAAAGCAAGTTAAAAATGTTTGCAAGATCTGGCTTTGTTTACAGGTAGGTTTATTGAAAACAGAACAAATAAACTAAAAAACCCTGCAGAAAGAAAGAAAATGCAAATGTTCTACAAAATTTCTCTACAGTCATTGAGTGCCTTTAAAGCCAGTATTTTCCCAGCAGGGAACAGTGCTAATTACTTCCTAATCCTGTTATTCCTTCTCAAATCAGTCTTTGTCAAATATTGCAGTACCAATCCACATGAGTGTTGTAAACAGAGACAACAAGAAAATAATTTTTCCGGTGTTCTGTGCTAGAAAAGCGCCTCCCATCTCCCCTAGTATTTGTAAAGTGCCCAGTCTTGATCATAACCTAGGATGTTGTTATTCTCACTCTCAGGAGGTACTGAGTAAGACGTAAGATGCGGTTTATAATGATGTTGACACTACTTTTGATTTTCCGTACACCATCATAACCGGAGGAAGGTTATCTGTAACAAAATAAGTTTAAAACAGTTAGTCAAGCACTAATTGTAACTGTGTAATGAATATTACCTGTAAATTAAGTAACTGTCTGTTACAACAATTGAGGTACTACGACTTCGGCAACAGACAAATGTACGCCTTAAGGACCTATTTAACACCGAATGGCTAAGGGATCACAGAATTTTCATCAATGAATCGCAAGAAAAGGGCAAAGAAAATAATGTCACTGCACGGCAGTGTGTCTAATAGTCATCTGTACCCTTGGCAGTTTTTTTCCTTTATTGCTCAGCAGCATTAAACTAAACCCTAAGCCAAATTAGATTTCAGTGTTACCTGACAGCACAGTTATGTCTTGAATAAATTGCTGAGCCATGTTTTCCTCGTTAGGAGGATGGGGAAGACCAGTAAATACAACGACTGGAAGAAAGGCAACATTAATAACATTCATGATGAATCTACACTCTTCAACTGTGTCAAAACTATGAGTACACAAACACATTCGCTAAATGTGACGGCAATTATATGCAAAGTCTCTAACTGAAGTCTCCCGCATCCTTACAAATGCTCTTTGCGAATATTTCATGATAACTGATACACACATTTACACCTCAAATTCTTAATAAACTTAAGTAACATTGCATTACCGGTAACTGCATCAGATATGAAACCTACGCGTAAAACTTACATGCGTCTGTTGAGTGAATTCTAATGAGCTGATTCACTGTTCGATACCAGTTGGTAGAGGGCTATATCAGGAAAAATAACTAGAGTCAGTCAGCTGGCATGAAAAAGTCACCTACCAACAGGCTTCTACTTTTCCCATTAATTACGTTATATGGAGAATGTTAACGTAGGATGTTTTGAAAACCAGCCGTCATGTCGATGAAAAATTACAGCAGGAAGATTGATCTTTTGGAAAAGCAAGGTAAATCGTATGAACTCACCGCTAGTCCATCAGCATTTCTTGTAAGAGAAAGAGATTCTTGTGTAACGTGAATCATCTAGGATATAAACAAAAGGAAGGTACGTATGTGATAAAAATGTCTTCTAATTGAAGATAACCCGTTTATGAAAGAAAATGACTATTTGGTGACCATGAACCAAACAAACTTAATCATGGCATCGTTGATGTTACAGAATATGGAGATCTCCAAGGGAAATGGCAGCTATTCAGACTAAATCATTTTTTGCCCTCTGAGCTCCCGAGAGAGTCCTTTGGTATCATTTTTTAAATTATAGCTTTGGCAGGAGAAAAGATCTGCAATAAATTTAGAGGAATTTTATAAGAAGGCGAAGGGACAACCTTGTAATGAACTGAACCGATCAGCGACACAATTACGTTAATCAGGAACTGCGAATAAAAATCAAAGAGAACAGAGATTTTTACCCGAACTTCTGCAGGAATTCTAAGTTCTTTGAGAAGATTTGTTAGAGTTCTGTGCTGTGTTTGGTGGTTTCCTTCATCATCTACAAAAAAATAAAAAGAAACAGATTTGACAAGTTCCCACAGTTTTTACCATGCCTTGACAAACTTTAGCACTGGATCTGATAAAAATCTATGTTTTTCCGTTCGTTTGATTCATTTGAGTGAATGGATGGGTGCCATAATGCTATCCATAAAAGTAAGAGAAGAGTTTCGAGGGATGTTAGGGAAAACACTGCAAGCAACGATTTCAATGAAGCGCCTTTCCATCGAGAATCGTAAGGCCAAAACAAAAGTAATCCCAACGGCCAATAAGAGCAAAGTATATTATCTCGAGGAACCTATAGGGAATGAGAGTGAAAACACGTAAACTACCTGAAAGGCGGGAAAACGCGTGTGAACGAGCCCTGATTGGTTGCATTTGACTGGTTGAGGGGTTGGCGCAACTTTCTAGGCCAATCACTCAGCAAAGTAAAACAAAACCAAACCGGGTTTTTTCGGCTCTAATCGTTAAATTTCTCTTAATGGGACTGGGTTATATTACATCTAGTGGAGACCATACCATGTTGTAATTGTACATTTACCTTCAGTCTCCACGATCTGCATGACTCTAAGTTTGGACCGATTTTCCCAGAATGGTACCATATGAAGAACACAACTCAACTGGAGCGTTAGGAGGAACGTGAAATCATAAGGACCTAGAACCTTCTTTAATGCTTAAAGACAAAAAAATCAACTGCTTGGTTACGTGGACTCTCAACTGAGCTAGGATGCAAGATAACTGCAAGGGAATGGCCGCCATGTCCCGTAATTTTGGCAGAATAAAAGAGTACGGGAGAAGAATAAGATGATGACACCAGTTTTCGTGAAAGAAACGTTTCACGAACTATTCAAAAATACAATACACAAACATGAAGCGATGTAGTAAAGGTTTGAAATACCAAAGGATTTAGATAAAAGGGATCTTTGATGAACCTTGCAGCACCAAGGGGAGGGGTAAAGAACTGAAAAGAAACACACACTATTATCCAAACCTTATGTATGGCGTTAACATACTTTTAACCTTTGTAGACTTAAGACTTAACAACAGGGCCTCACCTTCTCCCACCACTGTCGTATTCATTGGCCACACATCTGAAAAAGGAAACACTTAAATGAGTACAGTATGAGCAATGGAATAGAGAATTATCGAAAATGTATTACACGGAAGTATTTGCTACTGCTGCTGCTGCTGCTACTACGAAGAGTTTAGATGACGGTAATGGCAAAAGAGGGGGAGGGGAAGAGGGATTTACTTGTAAAATCATAGATAGGCTAATTTTGAGACCCTCCTCAATAGTTAAAAGGAGGTCCTTCCTATGAATGGTTAGCGCATGTTAAACAACCTTTAAATACAACTTAAAACAGTTTTTAACACCTGATGGTAACAGAGTGGTATCACTTACAATTACCCAACATGATTCCAAAAACACGACTTTCCTATGTTACAAAAAACAACACCAATAAAAAAATAAGCATGTTATACTCAACCAATGTATCCTTCCTTGCCGAGAGCGTTCTTGTCCAGTTGAGCAAAGCTGAAAAATTCACCCATAGTGATAAGAATATTCATTCTGTTTTCTTTTTTAAAATTTAATTATACTAAGAATAGGCCAAATGCAAACAGAGGAGCAAACATTTGAGCTCTGGCATTTCCTCATAGATTAACTTTCACGACTCGACGAGGTTCTCGTCCATGCCTCTAAAACACTAGTTGGGAGCAATTACCAATTGTGCTAAGCAAAAAGTGAAACACACGAGAAAGTAATGAAAATGGCTTTTCGGTAGAGTGGCTCTAAGATATATAATATACTTCAGTATAACGTGACATACTTTCTGGCTATGCAGACATTTTTGTCCATTAAAACCGCATCCTGTCAACGTAGGAAAAAAGAGGAAGAAGATTTGTATTGAATTGTTTTAGTATATAGATCAACTTTAACTTGAATGTTGCAAGTAATTGAGATTGATATGATATGAAAGTAATTGAGATTGATATGAAAACTCGCAAAACATTTTCAACCGATCAGATACAAAACTAAAACCAATCTCGACTTTATCACTCCCGTTTTCCCATACTTCAGGCATTTTGCTTGTTCTCACCTCAATATCTTATTGGCTTCTTGTGACATTTACCCGAGTTCTGATTGGCCGACGTGATTAATTCGGTTTTTATTTTGCGACCCCCAATCGAAAAGTACTCTAAGGCAACTGTGATTCCCCGGCCATCTGCTATCGTAAGCTGACTATTTTTGGTGGTATTTAAAACAACGTGTTTCTGCCCTACATGCTTAAAAAATTGTCACTAAAGATTCCACAGCAGCTGCCTACCTTTATAATTCCTACATAGTCCTTTAATGTCATTTTCTGATGTCCAGGCTGGGTGAAAGACACACAACAAAGTTTTAAAAGACAATAATATCGAGAGCGTCATTAGGGCCAGTTGTCAGGATTATACATTTTAACGTAAGGCTATGGTTATCTAAGTCAAAGACACACCACTAACTTCGTGATTGCGACATAGACTTGACTACACTTTCTCGTTAACTTACGTGTGTTCGAAGTGGTGGGAGTTGTAACTGTACACTGCGGTAAATTTCATCTATGATAAAAATAGAAACAAAGAAATATAAAAAAAGAGACCATTCCAGAGAAGTTTAGAGGAACAAGTATGTCCGATCCCATTTCTTACCTTTCTTTTGCACCCTCATGAACGGAAGTCTTGGTTTCCTGAAGATTCCACGAGAAAAACTCTCCACAGGGAGCTCATGATCGTAAAACCCTGTTTACAAATGCAGGAAGGAAGGTGAATTCCGATTTTTCTTTGATAGATTGTTTGTTGCGTTTTCTTTGTGGAAAAGTGCACAGGCCTTCTGGCTTGCATATTGGATTACAGATCATTAGCAGTGCAAATACGAAGGTTAAAGAGCGAGCACCGACTAATGTGGATGGACGAGTCTTAGCTGGCTCACTTGGCACGCCAACTTGTTTTCTCGTGGAAACACCAGCCATACAGCACTATTAATAAAGGTCTGGTTGAGGACTACATTCACCCAGGAGCAAAATGGGTATTTGTTGGTATTCCTCAACTTTCTAGTGAGCTGGACAAAATGCAGAAGTGGGAGTTACAGAATATGGACTGGCATCTAGTCCAAAGGAAGAAAACACTTAAAAATTTATTGAAAATGGAACAAGCTGCTGCTATGTGGGATAATTCTGGTCGGAAATACCTAAGGTAGTAAGGCCTTTTCCCTGTATTGTTGTTTCTTTCATTTTCATCTTCCTTCAAGTGTTGTCTCCAAAAAGGTTTTGTCAAAAGGTTTTCACAATAAAATAGCGTTACACCTTTAATTTTGATTTTACCTAAGATTAGAGTGTTTGGTTTCATTCCACCCAATCCAGACGCCTAAAACACACACAGAAAAACAGTATCACTCAGAAAGTTTTAAGATCAGTATAATTTGAATGTCAATAGCAAACTAAGGTTACATTAGTTTTCCAATCGTCCGAAACCTTGCGCCGTCTCTTGAACCAATCAGAAGTAAAACTTAAACCAACTGCGTCTTAGTCGTAAGCATTTTTCAGCGCTATCGGCAGTTTACTTGTTCTTACTGTGAGTCCTCAATGGCAGCTTATGATGTTTTCCTTTCCTCAGATTGGCCTCTGTGATTACTTTGGTTCTGCTCACTTTTAGACATTCAATCAAAATGCGCTTTCCATGTGAAAGCTATAATTGGCTTAGAAAGCGAAAAATTTTCGGAGGAGTGGGAAACATTGCAAAGCAAATAATTCAGTGCTAATGACATTGGGTCTTGAAATAAAAAATTGCGTCATGACCTCTTGCAGTTGCTCTATTTTTTCAAATTTAAATTCAACAAATAACATCTAAATAACTTTTGGGCAAAAGAATGCAGACAAAGTAACTTGAATGTTTTTCACATGATTAACCACAAGGCTAAGACTCTGTCTAAAAGGAATTATTAATCAAACCTGATTAAAGTGATAATTTCTCACCATAAGTAAGTTTCGCGCACCAGCACGTATCGTTCGTGCAATAGTCAGCTCCACAAAAGCCTTTATTTCCGTACAATCAACGAAATTTAGCCAGGTTGTAAGTTCGCGCTTTTGTCTTCTCAATAACTGTACACAGCAGAAAAATAGTAGTCAATCAATCGGTCAGTCAATCAATCAACCAATCAACCAATCAGTCAGTCAAGCACTTGGTCAATTAATCAAGTGGTCAGTCATTCAGCGAGTCAGTCAATCAATAATGATGACCAACTAGCCAACTATTCACTTTGCAACTCAACTAATCAGTCAGGATAAGTTAGTTTTACCATCTGAGTTGATGATGTAAATTGGCCACCGTAAAGAGTCTCGAAAGTTGACATATCAAACGTCAAACCTTTGTCAGGGCGAATGGCAATGGCTAATTCTCGAAATAATAGCTTAAAAAGCTCTTAACGGTGGCCAATTCACATTACCAACTCAGTTTATGAAACCAAATTATCTTCAAGTAGCCCCCCCCCCTCCCCAACCCACCGAACCAGCACTATAGTGTCTTTAAAAATGTATCCCCATTGGTTTGTCATTCTGTCGGTGATTCAGTCAACTCCATGACATACCAACCAAGGGTGTCAAACAATGCTCACTACTGTTGAAAATTTGACTTCTCAATCCAGTGTACATTTAACAAATACTGCAGACAAAGAATTTCTTACCTGAGCATCAAATTCACCCTCTTGGACATGGCCAAGGATATAAAGACCGCCCTGGATATACAAAAGAAATTAATTACTTGTTTAACGAAACAGTGTTGTACACTTTTAATCACTTTTGCAAAATAGTTCAATAAGAAGCGGTGGAAAGAGAGGTTACCATGAATTAGGAATCAGTGTACTTTCTACATCAATAATATAGACTTGGAGCTCATAAAAAGTTGACTACACTGCAGTATTGGACAGACCCGAACTAACAACTATTCGATTCAGTTATTCACTAACAATTCCTTAGCTGTTCCCATTACAATTTGAGGCTTTTAATAAGGTTTCATAACAAACAAGTCAACACGATTTATTTCATACATACTGAACGAACTGAGAACTGAAATATATCGTTCGTCTAATCAATCAGAGACAAGAGCTATTGTACTTCACGGTAGAGGGAAAGAAATGGCCTCAAATCTTTGAAATATGTCGATCAATAAGAAAATATCTCAGTATCTATGAAATAAACACTTCATACCAATGAAAGTGCTTGAACGATTTTTATTCACTCGTTGAGATGCATTAAAAAACCCACTCGCTCGCTGCGCTCACTCTTTCGTTTTCTTGATGCATCGCAACACGTGCATAAAAATCGTTTGCGTACACTTTCCATGGAATGATCTCTATTTAAATCTTAAGTTGGAGTTTACAGGGTCTTGATTAAGCCATTACATAACCGCTCAAAGTCAAAACTCCAAGCCAAACCAGCTGAACCATTCTAAATTGAAATGGCCATTCTTGATTGATTCAAGCACGGAACATTTCTTTACCTTCTTTATGTCATTAACAAAGTCTATCAAGGGGTAACCAGAGCGTGGATTGGACACCAATAACAGCACCTGACAGAGAAACGAAGCACAACTTCTTGTAATTTCTCGCTGCGTCATTTCATTTCAATTGAATTAAAAAGAATTTGGGGTAATGAGATAGTATACTTCAGCTGATAAGTACCTTTACTCTTGTCAAATCGTTGCTGGATTTGAGGAGAGATTTACTATAATTTTTAGTATCACTTCTGGGGTAAGTGGCATAGGTTTAATGAAACTTGCCAGTGTAGGCCCTGGTTGTTCGAAGGTTGTATAGCGCTATCCACTGGATGAATCTCTATCCGGTGGATCACGCCACACGTTTTGTTATCACTTATCCGTTGGATAGCATTATCCGCCCTTTATACAACTTGGCCCTGGACTAAAAAAGGCACGGAAAGACGTTGTTTGTCTCGTCACAAGCATGGGACAAAAAGAAAAAGAAAACAGCCCCCGACAAGGAATCAAACTCTGGACCTTAGTATTCTGCCCTCCTATGCTCTTCCCTGAGCTACTGATAACTCTACTGTCACCTAAGCTATTACTTGCTTTTTATGCGACACACGTCCTGCCCACTGCTACGATCAGCAATCTATTGTTCACGTTAATTATCCTACTTCTTTACGGAAAACCTTATCCTAAATTTAAAATTCTTGCGTATAAGTCCACTATTCAGGAACCTTAAAACATTCTGTATTTGGATTTTAAATTGGGGTTTTAAATACCTGAGGTCTCCAGAATTTCACGTGGTCTTTTCTTAGGTCTAATCGAAGTAGGTACTTTCTGACCTGCAGACACAAAACCCTTATTAACAACGAGCTTAATTGTACAAAATAAAATGCTTTTCTTATGCTGCTTAGGATCAAAATAATACCTGATGGTAGATCAAAGCTTGTGACACATCTCCCCAGGGGGTGGGAGGTGTACGAAGAGAAATCACCACAAACAAAATCACCATAAGCGCTGAAAACCAAAAAAATTGATTAAAAACATGAAGTTTTGCATTTGGAGTTAACAATCAGGCTAAGATTCAGACTATATACGCTAACAACCATTAATTGGTTGTTGCCTATCTGAACTTTGCCTGCTGTGCGTAACCCGGGGTTAACATGTAATAGTGTAGTTTGATCGTCCGGGTGAGTGTAGTCCTGAGAAGGACTGTTGTCGGTAGTGACAGTCCTTCTCAGGACTACAATGATTAGGTATGTTCTGATTGGACTTTGGACGTTGTTTTCATGGTACGTGATGGAATGTACGTTGTTGGCATTGCGAGTAAAGGAGCGGAAAAACACGTTTTAACTTAAAAATTTTAAATGCATACCCTTCCTATCCCAATAAATCTCGACCTTAATCGACAAGGCTCTCGCGGAGGCTTCAAACCATTACACTTATCAAATGAGCCCAAAGTTTCTGGTTAATGTCATTCTTTGATCCATGACATCATTTACAAGAAAACAATACCCAAACACTGTGATTGGTGCAGGATATTCAAATGCTATGATATGATTGGTGCGAGATACATACCCTTATGCGGCAATCTGATTAGTGCGAGATACGTACCCTAATGCCGCGATCTGATTGGTGCGAGCAACATACCACCATATACGCTAACAGAGTTTTTTTTATGAAAAAAAAAAAACTAAAAAATGGGGCCTTGGATGAGTTGTTTTTATCTCACCGCATCTGTCTCCACAAAGGGGTACAAATTTCAATATATCCTGATAAACGTTCAGCACATTGGTTATCTGTACTGAAATATTGCTTGCATTTCATCCACGTTCACTTGATCAGCAACATTCCTAGATGCTTCACGGAGAATCTGAATGTGATGCATCCCTAAATGGAAACGGCCTCCCACGTTGAATTATGTGCAGATTTAGCCTTTCATTGTATCTACATAAAAAAGAAATCATTTCGCAATAACCTACCAAATGCAAGAGCAGCCAATTTGTAATCGACCAGGAACATGATCACGAAGCAAAATACAGCACCAAGGAGAGCTTCGATAAATGAGAGAAAATTTATCAGAGATTAAATGCTAATAAAAATCCCATTTATCATCTAACTACCATGGAACACTTATTATAAGTTCCACAACCAAAAAGACAGGGTCAGGAATTTGCAATGTTTTTATTTCATGGGGGTACATACACAAGGAGTGGTGTTCAAAGATATGATATGAAAGTGATATGATGCCCACTCCAAACCCCCCCATCCCAATCTGCTACCTTGCCTACTCTAGAAAAAACAAGACAACTGCACAACTTTCTGTTGAGGAAAGAAATGAATTCAAAACAAATCTCACCTGATTGCCATGAAAAATACTGAAATGTTGGTCTGTAACAAATCAAGGAGATGATTTCATCATATGTCCATTATCTATAAGATGATTAGAATTTCACACAAATGTAATACTCACCTAAAGTTAGGTGCAGAAGCAACTTTGAGTGCAAAGCAGGCCACGTTGGTGATGCCATATGACAGGAGGAAGAACATACTGACGAGCGAAGCAACTCTGTTGACGTTTCCAATAAAAAGAACAACCTACAGATTGACAAGAGACAAAATATATGATCAACATGCTGTGCTAATCTCTCCGTTTTGGGAAATTAGTGATGGAGCAAGTGCTTGAAAACCATACAAGTCAGACTGCTATTTCCCTGACAACTACATCCCCCATTTTTTTTGCATCCCTCCCTTGCATTAACCACCTGGTCACCCTGTACCAAATCAAGTACCCCCCCATCCCAATCTGCTACCTGTTCTCCAAAAGCACCAGCAGCCCACGTTTTCACCAGCTACTTGTATATGAAGCACCCAGATACTTGAGCAACACAAAACAGCAAAATATCTGTCCTGATCTGACACAAAAACTAACCTTTGCTTTCCTTATACAAAACTATAGATCAAAATTGGAAAGAAGACAAGGGAACTAATACCAGTGGCATAGATGCTCACGCCCTTGGAGAAATCCTTTGTTCACTGCCGTCTACATTTTCTTTGTATAAGCCTGGCTGCTAAAAAAATCTCTGTACAACCCTGCCTTTATCACTTTACAGTGCCTGAGCTTATTCAAAATAAAGTTTTACCTGAACAAAGAACCATGACATTAGAACAGCTCTTAGAGGTTCTCCATTTCTGCGGGTGACTTTGCTAAATGGACGTAGTATGACACCTTTTGGGTAAAGTTATTACAGAGAATGTTCTCAATCAATTGTTAGAGACAAAGAGAAAAATACATTTTGGGACTAGGTGCGCACATACAAACAAGGAGAGAGGAGGTAACAAGGGAGGAGGGGAGGCGTAGAAGAAGAAGTGTACGCATGTAAAATTCATCATCAGTGGCAAGGGAAAGAAGAAAACAAGAAGTAAAGAGAAGATGGAGGGAGCAAGAAGCCATGAGTGAGTAGGGAAGAAAGGGTAGGAGGACAGGGGAAGGTAAGAAAGATACATATTCACTTTCTATCCAGCAGCTTTGTTGCTCTAAGGAAGGGCTAATGCTTGAAGAGTCAGCTTTGAAATTCTTTAGTGGTCAATTTCACATTATAAACACAGTTGATAACATTTAATCATCTAGCTTACCTAGTAAATCATCTTTAGCAATAGCTTGTAGAATTCTTGAGGCACCTAAGGAAACAATAATATATTTCTATCCATACTTGATATTAAGATTATTATCTAAATGTTATTTTCTAGAAGGATAATACCGAGTAAGTATGGCATGGACTTCATGTGATCAAATGACAACATGCACTATGCACTAAGAAGCTTCAATGGACAATAAAAGATAAAATAAGGTTGACATGTTTAACATGCAAAATGCACCAGCTTACCAACCTATAAGGCAGCTGAGAGCAGCTGAAAGAGTGGCAGCAAATGTTCCCATAGTGATCAACCATTCCACTTTGTTTATTTCCTGGGAATAAACAGCAGGATCAAGTCAAAGGCTTTGTATTGCGTCCATACTGTGACTGTCAACTACAAGGAGCAGTCACCCATCATTCTACTATTGTTACTACTTCTATACACTACTGAGGTGACCATAATTGTCAGTGGGAAGCTAAAGCTATGGAAATTTTTCCTTTTCCCACAAGACAATAAACTCTTTAAATCCTAAGAGTGATTAGCATCTAATTTCTCCCTACAATATCTCTCCTGAATTGCACATTACAGTCATGAGCATAAAAGAAATAGTCACCAGGGAAGGAAACTTTTTCGTGGCAAAAAAATTCTTCTTGTCAGCACCTTAGTAAATGTACGAAGAACAGTGTGGAGAAGATGCATCTTTATGCATAGAGTTACCTTAAGATAGTTGTAATTGTTTCGTAGTAAAGATCTGGGACACGTAGCACTCGTAAAAACCACTGCAATAAAAATTGTTTGCGGCAGTTACGTACTCTATAACTGGTGGAGGGAAATGTCTTTCATTGTTGATTTTGGCAATAACCATTTAATTCAAGAAATAACCATTTGATTCAAGAAAGCTAAATGCATTTTTCTTAATATTTGATGTTTAATGAGTATTATAGTTAGTGCTCTGCTGCTAAATTTTATGTTCAGAAGTTGCATTTCATTATTGATAACATTACTGAATGAACTTTAAGATATTTGACTCACAACAATCCCTTATTTAACATATTACAGGACATCATCAACAATAACTTTCAGGGAAAAACCACAAGAACAACAACCCTATTCAAAAACTTCATATGTAACTCACCTAGGAGCAAATATAAAATAAATGTAAAAACACTTGCACCAATGGTACCAAAGGGTATGGCATATCCAGGTTTTTTCAAGTCTCCTGATATGTTAGCACCAGCTAAAAATTATAAGACATTTTTTTTCCATTATTGAAAAATGGCAGAAAACACAAAGCCTGAAGCACAATAGAGCTGTCGATTCTACTTGCCATGCAATTGTAGTGAATTTGATCTCTGGTGAAAGTCTTGGATATCAAACATCCCTGATATCAGCAATTTTTGCTGATATCAACATCATAGCACTAGGAAAACCTGGCATTTTTTGCCCACTGTTGTGATGGGCTTCTTAATGAGCACGAGCTTGCACAATTACTTTCCCTGCATATATACCACCTTGTATATGTCTTCAATTTGATTTATTAAAGAACTTCTCCCATGTGCAAAAAAGTTGGTTGGCAAGTGAAAAACTGATTTGAGATCTTACTAGGTTTTCAATCTAAAGGGTGTGAAATTTGAGCCACAGGAAATAAATTGATAGATATTTATGTGTACAGAACAATCTGTCTGAAAAATGCTTAGTGAATTATTTACCCATGACTCCAGTAACCCCATTGAAGAGAACTCCAAACACCGTCAGAGAAGTCTGAGGTTCCCCAGTTGTATAGTCTTTAGTGAAGTTAGGCTGCAAGAAAGAAATTACCAATATTAGGAGTTCATTGACCCTCTAACTTATTTATATGATCAAAATTATCCTATCCAAGTGCCACAAATTCCAATGCAAATTAATTGAGGGAATTTGATTTTAAATCGTGAAAACAGACTCCAAATGATAACTGCTGCTTTTCTCATCCTCTTTCTGCATTGAACCCGCATGTACATGTAAACAATACCAGATGTTGCCATGGAAACAAAACTTAACCTACGGTAACTTGTTCTTTGAATCATTAAAGTTTTTTTCCTTAACCATATGAAAAGTAAGTGCAAAGCTTTTCTCTGAGGCAAAACCATTGAGCATTTCTAATCAATCACTGCAAAATAATTGCTGGAGAAAGTTGAAACAGTATGATATACACAGTCAACCATAGATTAGTATACCTCTTGCCCTCCAAATTGCATCTCTCATCTCTCTTTCCCTCTCTTCCTCCTAGTGACCCCTTCCTTACCATTTTCCTCTCCCTCCCTCAAATGTTCCTTTTCATCTCTCTTTCCACCCTATCTCCTTCCTCCCTCTCTCCCTGCTTTACTCCCTCTCTGCCTCCTTCCCACCCCCTTCTATTCTACCTCCTTCCATTCCACCTCCCATATGCCCTCTCTCCCTCCCTCCTCCCTCTCCCCTTCCTTATTGCCTGTCTCCTTCTCTGACATATTTCCCTTTTCCCTCCCTTTCTACCTCCTTTCTTTCTTCCTCTATCATTCCTGCTCTCCCTCTCTCTTCCTTGACCCTCCCTCCTTCCTCTTTCCCTTCCTCTCTTACTCCCTCTCTCCCTGCCTCACTCACCTCTCCCTCCTTCCATCTATCCCCCCTTTCCTCCCTTCTTCCTCCCCTTCCTCTCCATCCCTTCCTTCCTTTCCCTCTTCATCACTACCTCCTTTCTTATCTCCTTCCTACTTCCACTCCTTTTCTTGGAAACTTAGCCTCCTCAATTTGTGTTATTTTAGGATTAAAATATTATACTTTTCATCAAAATTGATATTGAGAAAAGGAATATTGCATAAACATACAATCCTGCTTTATATTCCTGAGCATAACCTTACCCAAAGATTTTTGTGTAAAGTTGTAGAATTCCAACCTGAGTATCTGTATGTAACATTCTGTAAAATAAACAGATAGAGTTAAAAAAAACTTGCTATCTTTTTTCCAAAAATTAATGACTATGTTAAATTTCATACACTGAAAAAGAAGTTGTATGACATTAAATAATCATGTCTTTTTTGCTACTTTCGTGATAGTGAAGGAAAGAGCAATGCTCTTAACCCATGTTTAAACCATCCATAGCCATACCTTAATATATGGTTCTATGACTTGTTTTGAATACAGCTATCATGTCAGTACAAAACTCTGTAATTATGAACTTTTAGGTTTTAGGCTAAGTAAACAAAGTTACATGTGGTTCACACATGGCTGTTCATTAGAAGATTTCTTTTCACTGATGATGAGCTCAACCAGAAGGTATGGAAACCCTTACCTCTATCAAACTTTTAGTCATTACACTAACTGTCTAAAATGGGACACTACTGTCCATAATAGGACACTGTTCTTCAAAGTCAGGCACTAATATTCAAAAGTGCTCATTGGTGTTCAAAATTGGACAACTGTGTCTGAAATTGGACACTTGCATAAGTCCATGTAGGCTAAATATTCCACACTCTTCTACTAGTTGGCAACTGACACAAAGGGAATTTTCCATTTTGTTGTTTCATGTATTTAGCTGACAGTATCAATACAGAACATGGCATTGGTTGCCAAATGAAAACTACCTTGAGAGGGCTATGCCCTGAATGTACTCCTGGTAATATGCCATCTTTGTGCTTGACAATGAGAAAACTAACCTAGGATTAACAATAAACATGACGATAAGATGCTGCTTGATAATTAAAAAGAAAGTATATAATTCCTGTTAGTTTACATGGCATTGCAATTGATGTACTGTGTTTTCATAATTTCTAAAATTTAAAAAATTAAACATCAAACTCTTAATGCTTTATGCTTTGAGATGCTGTCACCTTGGCGAATACAGTCAAAGTGCATAATAATATATATCAAACTGTTCATAGTTTTGTTTGCAAAGCAGCTTGTCAATTCTTAGTACAACATCAGGAAAAGTTCTGTCATGCTGCATTGTTAGCACAGTTTTTTGGCTCTGATCAACAATTCCCTCACTTCACATAGCTGAACATTAAAAGAAAACTAGTTCAATTCTAATTAATTCTTCAATACATAATGCATGAACAGAATGTTGAAAATAACTTGCAATTGAAGATGAAATGGCAACCATAACAGCTAGGAAGATGATAAATGATGTCTTTGCAAACATTCCTGCAAAATGAATTACAAATAGATCATTACTGCAACAGTGCCTAATAAGTAAAAAAAAAAAAAAAAAAAGGGGGGGACAGGAGGAAGCAGAGCAAGGAGGAGGAGGGGGAGAAGGAAAAGGGGATGAAAGGAAAGAGTGGAAAGGAAGGGATGGATGCAAAAGGATGGAGGTAGTGGAAGGGAGATAGGAATAAAAGGATGAAGGAGGAAAGGAAGGAGAAGAGGGAAGGGAGGGAAAGAGGTGAAGGGGATGGGGAAAGGAGCAAGGGAGGGAATGAAAAATGAAAGGAAGAAGGGAGGGATGGAGGGAGAAAATGGGAAGACAGAGTGATGGCAAGGAAAAAGGGGGAGCGGATGGAGGGAGAAGGGGTGATGGAAGGGATAAGGGAAGGGAAGGGAGGGAAAAACAGAAAGAGGAAGGAAGAAGGAAGAGAAAGTGAAGGAGGGAGAGAGGGAGGAATGTAGGAAGAAATTGAGAAGAGAAATGTTAGCAAAGGAGAGGAGGGGAGGAAAAAAAGAGGTAGGGAAAGGGAAAGGAAAGTGGAGGGAAGGGAGAGAAAAAAAGAACAAGGTAGGAAGGGAGGGAGGGATGGACGAAAAAAGTGGGATGGATGTGGGAAGGAAAAAAGAAAGGGAGGGAGAAGCAAGGGGAGAGGGAAAGAGGAAAGAACAGAAGGAGAAAAATAAGAAGGGAGGGCAAGGGAACGAAGGAAATGATAAATGACGCTCTTAAAACATAATAAAATATCATAAAGTAAGGGAATAAACCACTAATATTTTTGTCTTACCTGAACCAATCAGGCAAACTATTAGGCAAAAGAACAGGACTATTGACGCATACAAAAATGAATACCATGTCCCTGAACGGAAAACTAAATCAACAAATGGTAAAAGAATATTTCAATAGACAGACACTTTTAAACAACTTGTAATGACCTAAATTATAATCAATATTGGTTTTATTCAATAACATATTGATAAAATTATAAGCCACATAGAGGAAAATTAGACTAACTGCCTAAAAACCAGTTGTATGTCACATAGTACTTACTGTTTGGAGATGATTCCTGAAAATTGTTCAGCAAGGCTTCTACAAAACCTGTTGAAAGAAAGTTCCTGATTGTAATCCACATTACTGTGGCAAAAGTATTGTGATATTGGCTTTAGATAAAGTCACATTGAATACATTTAATTGCAAACTGCTCTCCACATCAATCTCTGCCATCCTCTGAGACATTTAGAACAATTATAAATATTCATTCAAGACAAAAAAGATTCTTCTTGCAAAAATTCATTCACAAGCTAAAACAGCTGCAAAACTTTGTCAGCTGCTCTGTGATTGTAAAACTGACTGTATTGTAAAACTGATTGTATACTCACCCAGGAGATAGAGTGCCGAGGCAAAGATATTAGCGAAGTAAAAAATAACTCCTATTGATCCCCCAAATTCTGGACCTAATGTACGACTAATCATGTCTGATTTGAGTTAAAAAAAGCTACATGACATTCTATGTAATAATTAATGAAACATTTGACGTACACCACAGCCAAAATGTGTGATGTTTGATACATGTCCTAAGAATCATGACCATCATCATCATTCTTCATTTGCCTTCTAAACAATACAAAAAAACTAATTACAGTAATATGATAAAAACACAACGACACCTCAAGAAACCACTGGATTTAAGGGAGAAGCCACCTCACTTACAACAAAATATAATCAGAAGAGGATAAGTGCTGCAGATGTGTGGCTTGGCCAAATCAGTGATTACTAATAAGTAAAAATTTGTATTTTCTTTTAACACTAAGACTTGATGAACAAGTGATTGAAACAAGAAAAGAGTTCCAAATTTTAGGACCTTGGCAGCTAATTATTAATACCATCATCCTGGTAACAGGAATATTTTTAAAATAAGTAGGAGGAACAAATCAGAAGGCCTGGCTTCACCTAAAGCCCTGACAAAGTCTTTCACTCCCAGAAGTGATTAACATGTAACTTCTTCCTATTATATCTCTACATTATCCAGCAAACAGGTAATAAGAAAACTCCAACTCATCAGGTTGAAGTTGTTATCTTGATCTGATACCAAATTCTTGTAACTAATTTGCAAGGAAATGTATGTCAGCTAGAGGGTAGAATTAACAATCAGATCTTGGGAGTTCAAGGCTGAAGGTACTATGTTGCTAGTTGAGGAACTCACAGTATATTACCTCTTGCCAAACTGCATTGGAATTACCCGTAACAATTCCTATTATTCTTAAATCTTGGAAAAAAATCTAGCTCTACATTTAAAACAGGATACAGTAGGCTCCACCCTCCTTGACTGCACCATTTGTGGCAATAGCTGATATGGACAGTATTGTTAAGCCTACTACAAAGTAAGCAATTACGAACATGCCAATGGACAATACTAAGCCAGCCTGAAAACAACAAAAATCATTATCCCTTTATTAACTCCCATGAGTGACCAAGACAGAATTTCTCCTTACAATATCATTACAGTATCAACCAGACAAGTGATAAGAATAAAGAAAAATATCAGTTAGGGGATAATTAGTTGATCCAATACTAAATTCTCTGACCTAACATTATAAGAATTGTATGGTTGACAGTAAAGAGAATGACAAATTTGATCTGGGAGTTAAAGGGTTATTCAAAACACATTTTTTCCTTATTTAATCGACCATATTCAGTGATGAAAGAGTAGGCATTAACCTGGCCTTTGAACCCAAAGAGTGACAAGCATCTAATTTCTCCTTACAATATACCCCTGAATCACACATTAAGGTCATGAGAATAAGGGAAATGATCACCAGCTAATATCCTTCTTGTCAGTACCTTATGAAATGTTTAGAACATTGTATGGAAAATATGTGTAGCGATGTTAGGGTGAGGCTTTGGAGAAGAAAGTCTCATTTCTAGAATCAGAGGTAATGACAATGCTTTGTTCTTCTTTTGTTAATATCACTCTCAAACTGTTTCTAAGAATTCTCTAATTACTGACAACCTTAAATAAGAACTGTAAGAAATTGGGATCTTATTAACTGTACATTAACTCTATCTGCTTATTAAAAAGAAAAAAAGGGAGAAACTTCACATACCTGACCAACAACAAAGCCAAGACGCAAAAATAAAATTACTGAAAACATGGATAGGGTGACTGGTACCACAACACCAAAAAAAGTTGACAATTTTTTTCTGTGCTCTGGCTCTGAAAACCAATAAGCAAATCAAAGAAAAAAAATAATTCATTTTACAGATTGAAATAAGACCTAGTGCAAGGGTATCTTGAGTGAAGATTCACCAATTCAAACATTGCTATCAGATTGGGACAGTTATCTATTAAAATTAAGTGCAGTAATGTGCACTACTTGGGCAGTAGTAAAAATAAGGCCTGAAAAAATTCAGGCCTGTACGGGATTTGAGTCCATGATGTTGGTTCCAAATAAACCTGTGAAGTGATGAATAAATATATGACTTTCATATATTCTTAACCAAAATTAAGAGCAGTTTAGTATTCTATCATAATTACTTTTAATCATCCTCTTGTACTTTCATTAGTTATTACAAGTATTTCATTTATAATAAATAATAACCTCTTTATTTTTGAGAAATATTCATTAGGAGCAGGACACTAGGTTATTATCACTCTCTGGCTGCTAGGCATTATAAAATATTATGTGCACATTAATTACAGGGCTGTAAATGAAAAAAATTTATAGAGTGGTAAGGATAAATCCATATTACCACTTATGACAAGGAATAATACATTACCTTCTGCTGTCACAGACATATACTTCTGTGAACTTTGTTCTTCACCAATATTTCTCAATGGATTGGATAGCATCAGAGAGTAACCTCAATTATTACACAAGAAAAATGCCTTAATTTTCTGTTACTTTAATTCAGCTAATGAGCAAGCTCTCCAATAAATAGCTATCAGTAGCCTCAACCCGTAAGCAACACTTGTTTATTCAGCATCCATGGAAGTGCTTGAACGAGCAGGTTTTTTCAAATAGGATTTTTCTCACAAGTATTCAATTCCATCGCATTAATGAGATTACTAGAAGTTTTCACTAACTGATGATGGTAATTGAATCCAAGCCAGGTGCATCTGAATTTTCAATATTGCACTTCCCTGTTCAAATCACTTCCCAATAGCATTTACACAATTAGCATGACAAATGATTGCTTTAGACACACAAAAAGTAAAAACCTCCCATGCTGAAGCGCTCCTTAACAAATATTGCAATTTGATTGGTTATAAGCTACTCGCTATCTTTTCCATGATGATGATGTAGTATATAAGGTTAATAGCTGAATTGTGTGGTTGTAAATAATTAAAAATAAAAAATAAAAACATAAGCTTGTCTTGTTGTATTATTGTCTGTTAGAATTATATTTTTTTATTAGAATGATTTGATAACTGGTGTTATATCTCAATTCCTATTACAAGATAGTAAACTCAGGTTTCATCATCAACAACCACCTTACAATAGCCATCCCTTGCTCATGATTTAATAATTAATTATACTTTCTTTTACAAGAATGGAAGAAGGGGAGAAAAACATTATGCAGATATAGTACCAAGTATAGTATTCACTGCGTACGAGTATTTAATCAATAGATAGCTTTAATATTTGACCAATTGATGACTTCATTAGTAAACAACTGATTTTAATAATACCATTAATTAATCAAATAGGGGCAGGGAGGAGCTGCTGTGGTGTATAGGTTAGTACAATGGATCCTGACTTGGAAGGTATATGTTGAAGGCTGAGCCAAATGGGTTTTTTTCTTTTTTTGGGAAAGATATTTAATTATAAAAGTGGCACTTTCTACCCAGGACTAAGTAAATGGGTTCAGGTGAATTGTCAAGGAACCAGAACCAATGCAGAGGGAGATGGGGGGAGGGTTTACTTGAAATAAAATGGCATCCCACCAAACTACTCCATGGTAAAATGTCATGTGCTGAAGACCAGCATAAGCTCTGGGGTTCTGGTGAAGGGGTGGAGCCAGACTTCTGACAAAAATGTTCTCAAAATATGTTGATGCAATGATTATCAGGCCTCATAAAAGAAGGATAATGCTCTCCCAAGGATAAATCACTATCCAGTCAATAAATGGTAGCAAAATGTACTGGGCTTTCCACCAGGTAGAGATTAACTAGTGAAAAGCAAATTATCCGACCTTTGAACAACATGATCCAGGATTATAATTTGCATGTGTTTGATGCGTAAATTGCATACATGTACACCAGCACTGTGGGGGATTTCACTAAGTTTCATGCGATTATGACGATTGCAAGCTGATTAAGAGAGTGCAAAGAGGTATGTAAGTGTTTCAAGTTCATATTTGCATCCTAAAAGTGTTTCAAGTGAAAAGTGAAACTGCTATATAAATTTCTCAGAGCAATTTTTTAAATTTAAAGACAATAACTTTTTGAATATTTTAACTAAATAAATGAAATGCACAAATATCGGTGGCTCAGTGTTAGACACAAAGCTCGTTCTGTAACTAAAAAATGTATCAATTTGCATACTAATGAAACAGAATTTGTTTGCTGCAGTATAAAACCTTGCTAAAGTGAAATTAATAAAAGCGAGCTGAACATAATCTCCACTCGAGCTGATAAACAACTTGTATTTATTATTTAAAGAAAAAACGTAATTCCTTACCTAAGTTACGATTTTAATAAGACTGCAGGTTTGCTGTGTCATTCTAATACTAGAATGCTACAATGCGGTTACGGAACATTCGCGTGCGCCTTCCGCTTACTTTTTTATATGAAACATGACATCATTTATAACAATAAACAAAGAATACCTTCTGTCATTCCTAAACTGCCCTCAGCCTCTTCTGAAACAGTTTCCCAAGACGACGCAGAGGGAAGCAAGGTATATCTTCCCATCAGCGGTCTCGGTGATCCAGAAAAAGTGGCCATTTTGCTGCTGAACAGGCTTCACCTTTTCAGAGGTCTGATGATTTCCGTCTGACCTCTGATTATCCTAACACGGTGGGAAACTGGGTCGGTGTCTAGTGCCAGTCTACCGCTGGTTTCAAAATGGCGGCCAGACTCAGGGGAAGAGGTGTTTGCGAAGTGAGGTAAATATTGGTTTGTCGAGTTCTGAAAATGTTACCCAGCGTTGTTCCAGGTTTTAAAAAGAGGACCTAAGTTACTCAAGACCTGTTAGGTCGATTTATTAGGGAAAAAATAGAACAGATCCTTGGATTTGCGTTTACCCATTTTTAAGTTCTCTTTTTAGCCCTTCCCCGACCATGGAAATTCTGTGATACTTAAGATGTATATTTTGGAGCCTACAGAGTTATATATCTTAAATTGGATGTATTCAACCTTTGCTTGATAGAAATTGCCATGATAAGTTAGTATGATTCGAAGTCCATTGTGGTGACGCGTTGGTAGCAACAAGATAACACAATGATTCCTAAGATGAGAAGTCTGAGATGTCTTCATCTTCGCTGTTTCCGCCTGTTTCACCCACGGCATTATGTCAACGATCAATCGATCAAGCCTAAAGCTGTTGCATTTGACATGGGAGGGGTGGTGCTCCCCTCACCAGTCCCCCTGTTTCATCAGTTTGAAGATAACCATGGTCTCCAAAGAGGTTCCATTGCTGCAGCTATTAATGCTGGTGGTGAAAGAGGTAAAATGAAAACTATTATGGGTCATGAAGTTCTCAATAAATGATACAAGGGCAGATTTAGGGGTGAGGTGCATGGGGTGTGCACCCTGCTCCCTGATATAACCTGCAGCTTTCTAACATAACTTCATGGTTACACAACATTTGCTGTATTGTTTACTATGTATTTTCAACAGTTCCATTAATATTATTTTTTAGTTATTAGCCATCTTCTTTATTATGTGCTTTAATTTTTTTTTTACGTCCCCCTTTCTAAGAAAAATCTTGGATCTGCCCCTGTGATAGAATGTGCAAATGCCTTGTCTATTGCTGGTTAATCAATTAAGTATTCAGTCAATTTTGAGTTATGCAGTTGATTCAGATATTATATCAGTCAGTAGGTGGGTTTGTCATTAGGCCAGTTAGGGGAATTGATCAATCCATACATTGCCATTACTTGCCCAGTTAGTCATTACCCCTTAAACCTGCTACTAAGTTATTTTGCACATGAGGTCCATAATTCAAGTAGCAGCTGTTAGCCCTTTAACTCTGATCCAGAAATTTTCCTTGCAACAGTAATGTGATATCAAGGACACAAGTAATGAGAATGAAGAGAAATTTTCGACAAGGGGATTATTTGTTGATCCAATACCAAATTTTCCAAATTATCATCATGAGAGTTGCATGAAAGACAGAAAGGAGAGCTACTGATGAGATCTTACAGATGAAAGGGTTAATCAGGTCAATTAGTTGGCTTAAGTTGGTTGGTTGCCCCTCTCCCTTTTTAATAGTTGACAAAAGTGGTTTTTGTAATAATTAACTTTGATCAAAATGAAACTTCTGATTATGATTAATGACATTGCTACTCTTTGTTATGAACAACATCTTAAAGCATTGGATCACAATGTAGCCTGGACATAGCCTTTTACAGCTTTCAAAATATTACCTATATTCAGAAGAAGTTCATTTATGACTGAAGAAAGTACATATTAAGCAATTCTGTATTATGAAACTTAAACTTTTCATGTTACTTGTCATTAAAATGTCAGATTTAAAAGTTTCATGCGTAGTTACTCTAACTTTACTGATTAATTGTGTCTTATTTTAGGTATCTGGGCACAGTTTGAATGTGGAACTCTTTCACCTGAAGAATTTTCAGACAAGTTTGGAGAATACCTGCAGTCAGTAACTAGCAAAAGTGTGAGCGTGAAAGATCTAATTGGTGGCATTCAAACAGCCATGGTAGAGCCCCATCCTGAAGTAATAACAGCTATTCAGTGTATAAGAGCAGAGGGCCTAAAGACTGCTTTGATTACAAATAATTGGTTGATGGACAATGGGAGGTCATTTTGTCCAGTAGATGGAAGACATTTTGATCTGGTAAGAAGCTCACTGGTTCAGGGGAACTCCCTAATTTTTAAGAAAGGCCTGTGGTACTCAGATTAACAAGATCATGAAAATGAAGAAATGAGGAATGGGCTGTTAGGTCAGCTTTTATGGAGAGCCGATGAACAGGGACTGGTATGGTTTTGTTGTATCTTTTAGGAGTTCATGGAGATCCTGTAATTTTCTTGAGGATGATGAGAACCAAGTAGCATCAGACCTTTTTTTATACACTACAAAACATGATTGGACAGGCAACTGACTGTACTAAAATTCCTTCCTCCACCTCTTATGCTCTAGTTTCCTTCTTAAAAGATGGTTTTCTTACAAAATAAGCCTTCACTTCTTGTGTTTCTCTGGCTCCAATTCCATCGTTTATTCTTCCCCTTGCACCTCCCTTTTCTTGTCTTCCTCATCCCTCCACTGTTCTACCTCATGCTCAGGCACTTCTTTCCATTTTTTTTCTCCCTTTACTCCTGACCACTTTTTATTAATCTTCCTTCCTTTACACCTTTCTTCAACCCTCCATCCTTTTCCCTCCTCCTTTTTATTTTCATAATCCAATCTTCATTTCACTTTCCTATTCTCTACCCTTAATTCACCCCAGTTGCTTCATCTCCTTCCCTTTTCTTCGATCTTATCGCTTCTCGTAACTACACCATTCACCAGTTTTTCCTCAGTCTTGCTTGGTCCTTCTCCTGTCATTCACCTTGGCTTTAAGTTCCTCACTTCTCTCTCATATTTCAGCTCTTTCTTTCTCAATAATTACATTCACCCTTCTTCCTTCAATTGCAAGTTTTAACATGTGGATAATGATAAACTGTAAGGTTTTAGAGTCAGTATTGGAGGGTTCAAGAAAACCGGAGGAAAAATTTTACCACAAGTTGTTGGACAGGCTCAAGATGAATCCCGAGGAGGTGGTGTTTTTAGATGATTTTGGCAAAAATTTGAAACCAGCACAGAAAATGGGATTTCAAACAATAAAGGTAAAAAGAAGGTGGCAAGGAATTAAAGAAAATTTTGGTGATATCAAGTGAGTCGATATAACCAAAATTATCTTTTTATATTCCTCTCACTGACGCAGCACCACATTCTCTTTAGAAACTTACCCTCTTTAACCCTTTAATTCTCATAGGTGACCAAGAAAGAATTTCTCCTTACCAATATGATCAATATGATATCAACCAGATAAGTGATGACAATAAAGAAAAATATCAATTTGGGGATAATTAGTTGATCCAGTACAAAATTCTCTGAACTAACATTATAAGAATTGTATGGTTGACAGTAAGGGGAATTACTAATTTGATCTGGGAGTTAAAGGGTTAAGGAATTAAGGTAGTCTTGGTGATAAATAGATTACAATGAAGAAGGGAATGACAGAATTACACTGATGAAAAATGGCAAACTTTTGAAGTTAGTGGATACATGATGTACTAAGGCCATCAAGATTGATTTTAAAAACTATCAGTTACTTATTAAAGGTATTGGAATTTCTTTTCTTTATATCAGCAAATATGCTAAGGCCGCTAACTGAAAATTAGCCTAACACAGTACAACTTCAAGCCAACTAAATGTTTTTTGTAATCAAATTTTTTTTTTTATCTTTCAAAAGGTTGATGACATAAGAAGTGCTTTGCATGAGCTGGAGATCATTCTTAGTTTTCCACTTAAAGGTAAACAGACAGAATTATGAAAAGACACAAGATTCTGAAGTGAATCTCACGAATCTACAATAAACTGCTTTTTTTCTTGTACTTTTTTCTGTTCAGGTTTTGTTGCTGGGACCACAGCTGTGCGTAAAAGTCACCAGATTCCTGTGGAGTCCCTTGTTAGTTACCTGAATAATGAACTTGGCTTAAAGCAGGAAGGTGATCTCAAGCATTGAAAAAAAAAGACTTAATCTAGTCTGTGCTATTTGTCAGTGACCTGGGTTGTGAAGCTTTCTTTAGTGTAAATGTGTAACATCTTTTTGGCCTTGGTGCTTTTGATTAAAGGCCATTTAAGCCCGTTCATTCCCAATATTTTGATGGAAATTCTCCTTACTGTCTGCCTTACATTTCTTTTAAAATTCATTTTGAGAATTTGTTGTTGGATCAAATGGTAATCCCTCTCTTAATATTTTTTACTATCAAATTTTTAAGTCTGAATATTGCATTTCTAGTGTTCTGAGTGGGTTACTAATTAAACTCTGGTCATCAGCTCATGTTTCAAGTCACTGTATGTAAAAATGCATAATGCCAACTGCTGCAGAGCTGAAAAAACCCCAAATGTCCAAACATTCAGGACTTAATGACATGTTATAAAACAAATATTCAAGATTTTGTGCATTTATGTGATTATGCCATTGTTGCTCCTGCAAATGAAAGGAAACTTACAGAATGTGAACTCCTGTTTTAAATTTTTCAATTGAAACACAAGTTGAATAGAAATAACAGGACTTTAAATTTAAAAACTTTTCAGTCCTGTTGTAGGTTTTTCAATTTATCTTGTGGTTTATTTCAGGCCCCCCAATAATTCGTCAGTTTAAACATGGTCAGTCCAATCCCACTTACTATGTGGAATATGGAGGACAAAAGCTGGTGATCAGGAAAAAACCTGTGAGTGATGACTTATGGTCAAGTCTTGAATGTTCGGAAATCATTACTAGTGCCAGACCCAAATAAAGAAGTATTAATTTAAAAATCTATTGTACATAACACATTTGCTGGCCACAAGTTCAGTTTTGTATTTTTGTAGCTACCTGTGATCTTTTCTGATTTATTTTTGTTCCTCTTTCAGCCAGGAAAGCTTCTTCCTTCAGCTCATGCCGTGGAAAGAGAATATAAGTTAGTTTATTCTCGTGATTTGTTATTTTAATTCACGTCCAGTCATTTACTCATATGGTCTTGTTAGCTGTTAGACCATGAAACTTTCAACATAACAATAAGCAAGCACAATTTATTGATAAAACCTTGCTTGAACAAGCACACGCAACAGAGAAAGAGAGAGAAAAATACCAGTCGTCTCTAATTAATAACCTGTTCCCGTATAACACAAAAGAAATCTCATCTGTAAAATAAAAATCCTACACAATTTTCAATACCATATGGTATAAAGCATAAAATTATATCAACACTACAGGGTGATGAAAGCACTTGGATCTGCTGGTGTTCCTGTTCCAAAAACTCTAGCTTTGTGTGAAGATAGCAGGCAAGTTATCCTCTCTATTCTGTATGCTAGATATATTTCAAATTGCTCTGATCTGTTATGCTTCAAGTTCTACTAAGCCCCTGCCCCCTCTCCCCTCTTGCTTAGTTCAGACTTCATTTTTGTTAGCAGAAAGGAAATACTGAGTGAAACTCGTTAGGTTTTTTTTTCACCCCTGTGGAAAATCATATTTCTGTCAAAAGTGAAGATGATTGTGGGTCGTCTCTTCGGCTGTCTCACGGTCGTATTTCGTTTTTATGAGGGAAGCCAGGCGTTTGACGGTCGTTTGTCTTCGGTTGTCTCTCGGTTTTTGCTCGTTTGTTGGGCGTCTGTCAGTTATCAGTGACTTGTTGATCGTCTTTCCATCGTCTTACGGTTGTCTGTCTATTGCCAGTCGCTTGTCTGTAGGGCGTCGTACGGTTGTCCGTCAATTGCCGGTCGGTCGATTGTAGCCGGCCGTTTGTCAACTGTTGCTGACCATTTCTCCGAGTACGTGTCGGTAATCTGTCGGCCGTCAATTGACCTACGGTCAGTTTAGTGGAGCTTTTCTTCAATTTTATTAACAAACAGTTATTCATTGTTTTCCCCTCCTTTACATGATAGCATAATTGGAACACCATTTTATGTCATGGAATATGCTCAAGGACGGCTATTCAAGGATCCATCTTTGCCTGGCATGTCAATGGAGGAGAGAAAAGTATGTAAATCATATATTTTTTGAGTTGTTTTTGAAAGTAATCAAAGAACCTAGGTCGCATGATTGTTAGTCCTTAGAGAGTTGCCTTTAGGTAGAAGGAAACCTTGAAATATTGACTCGCACGGAAGAAAAATAAGTACGAAAGAGTCGAGAAGGAACCAATGTTTAGTAAGGATGGAGAAGATTACATATTCATGTAGATTAAGAAATGAAGGGTGGTCAATTTTAAGCTAGGTTATTCTGGTACAGCTCCTTTTTGAGCTTGGTTGTCCGCTTTGTAGCATCCGACTTAGCGTTGATAACTAGGGACTTCATTTTGGACTCAGGGCTCACGTCAATGGCTTTGCCTCAAACTTGCGCAAATTGTTAATTTTCTTCAGGAGATTTACCACGCAATGAATGAAACTCTTTTCAAGATTCATGATGTTGACATTGATGCTGTTGGACTTGGAGACTTTGGTAAACGAGGTACGTTCGTCCAGTCAGAACAGTTTACCAATTGAGAGTTGAAATGATCCGAAATAGCGTTGGTTTTCATTTACTGCACAGGGGCATTGGCCCGACAATCGGATACAAAACTAAAACCAGTTTCAACTAAGTTTCAACTTGGTTACTTGCGTTTCCTCATATTTGAAGCTCTATAACCGCCATCCGTCGAGCAGCTAGAGTTATCCTCTCTTAGCGCAATGTTTCCAACGCGTTTATTGGTTTTACTTCACGACAGCTGTTCGTCCGATGTTTCGTTCAAAAACTCGCACCACTCTCTCGACCAATAAGCAAAGTGCTTTTTCCCGCACTGTATTCTGAGTTCTCATTGGTTCCTTGTGGAATTTAAGTTTTCTTTGATTGGCCGTCGATATTGCTTTGGTTTTGGATTTGCGACTCTAAAGCTGAGAAGTATCGTTATAATAGTGTATCATTTTCTAGGGCTGCCGCTGTGCTATCGAATTGTACCCACAATTTGTAACCCTTTAAGTGGAAATTAAACTTCTCTTTTTGTCAGGAATGTTAGTTAGAAGTTCTCTCTCTTTACATAGGAAACTATATTCGACGTCAAACAGAGAGATGGGCCAAACAATACGAGGCCAGCAAAACACATGAAATACCCTCAATGGACAAACTTATTTCCTGGCTATTGGAGAATGTACCAGAAAATGATACAACAACAGTTGTTCATGGAGACTTCAGGTTAGCATGAGAAATTCTTTGTTTTGTGCCCTTGAATGGCTGCTGAAATGAGAATCAAATCCATCTCAGTTGCTTTAACGTTATTTCACGTGAGCTGACGTGAAGTCACGAAATGTGATGCGACGTGACGTAATTTAAAGTTACGTGACGTGACTTGGATCGAAGTAGTACAAAGTAACGTATCAGTTGTCCTGAACGGTTTGTTCTTAGTAGTCCTCGTGACATTTTATCGCTTTGTTGCAGATTAGACAATTTGATTTTCGACGAAAAAAAGCCCGAAGTAATAGCAGTGCTAGACTGGGAACTGTCCACTCTTGGTGATCCATTTTCCGACTTGGCATACAACTGTCTGCCACATCACCTACCTCCAAATTTCCCAGCTTTGACAGGTGATAGCTGACTCGTAACTGTCTTTCACCAGCAAGCACGCAGTTTTCTGTGTTACAAGTAGCGGCTGAACTATATTTGTGTGTTGATAAAAAGAATATTGAAAGATAGAGTTTATGTCATGTCGTTGTTTTTCTTGTAGGTGGGGATGGGGGGGGGGGGGGGGGAGAGCCTACGGATGTTAAATTTTAACTGAGGATAGAACTGAACCACAGCACATTTGTGAAAAAATATAGGTGTGGAAATGTTGAATTCTTTCTCTCCTGAAGATCCTTCAGTTGCTTTAGTTTTCAGAGATTCGAACATGACAAACCTCTTTCTTATCCTTATCTGGTTGTTTGTTTGTTTGTTTATTAGGTTTTGCCGACCGTGATCCCAGTTCTCTTGGCATTCCAACCGACATTCAGTACATGCAGGAGTATTGTCAGCGAGCAGGCATTCCATCTGTCGAAAAATGGAACTTTTACATGGCATTTTCATTTTTTCGCGTTGCTGCCATTCTTCAAGGAGTCTACAAAAGGGCACTTCAAGGTATTTCTAAATAACTTTTCGTAAAGTTTTCTGAATTAACACGCGTACTCAGTGAAAACCATAACTATGTTAGAGCTTTGAGTATCTAACCTGACATTAACTTTGACTTGTTATCTGTCTACTGTTGTTGGGTTAGGGGAGGTGTAGGTGCCCTGGAACTTAAATAAGGGCATTGATCCAAAGTTAATCACCTGCTATTCTGCTGTATTCTAGCTTTCGCTAGCCAGAATTGCATGCCTCAAGTCTGACTTGGCCTAGATTACATTTTGCTTTAATTTTACATTATTGTACCTAGCCCATTATTTGTCTTAATGGCAGGTCAGGCCAGCTCGGAAAATGCCAAAGCTGTGGGTGTACTGGCTGAGTCGATGGCGAAGACCGGGTGGAAGTTAGCCTCTCAAGGCACTGGACCCAATGGTCATACTGATAGAGGGAAACTGGGAGGAACAAAGAGAATGTATTCTACTTCTGCTCATGCCGGTTCTCCAGGTTTGTTAAGCGAACATGTTGCTACTGGATAACTGCTTAATACTGTGTATTGGTGAATTCTTGCTAAGATTTTTTCGTTAATACACATGTGTTATCTGACCCCAGCAGTAGAAACTAGCAGAATAAAACTCTTTAAGTATGATCTCGGTATGTTAGAAAATTTTGGAAACATAACTGGATTTTTTCTCCAAGAATTTATGGTTCACAATCGGTTTCATCACCCACCAGTTTCACAGATTTTTACGGCAAACAACTTTAAATCATTGCTTCTAATCAGCTAACACTTTGCACTCTAGGTTTGATTTTGAGGTACGAAGCAGTTTGCCTGCGATTCATTTAGTTAACTTTCTTTACACTGTACAAATGCCAGGTCCGCTACCATCTGACCTGAAGTCCCTTCCGTCTCGCGTGCAAGACATGTATCAACAACTGACTGACTTCATGAGTGAGTACGTGTATCCGAACGAGGCTGAGCTCAGTAGGCACCAAGCCTCTGAAGATTGTTGGACGCCTCATCCGCTGGTAGAGGAAATCAAGGTAGAAGTGAGCTCTTTTAGTGATATATCATACTTGGGCGTTAAAAGGCATGAACGATGTAGTAATAAGGGAAAATGGAATCGATTTATTCCTCGTGATAATGAAAACAAAGAGGTAATCGTTTGCAACATCTCTCTCAGCATATGTCCACATTTTTATCAGGTTGTCCGACATTTTTAGGAAAAACGCCGTCATAAAATTAAAATGAAATAGCCAGCTGAAATTGTCTACCAAAAGAAATGCGCTCTTTGATCAGTCCGCTGAAACGGCGATCTTAGATCATTTTTATGCGCCCCGAACGAAAGCTCACAATGCTTTTTTATGAACGGTTTTTGCCCCTTCTTTTGTCTTGCCACACGTTTATTGTGACGAAAATTATTTGATTCAACCTTTATTAAGGGACCTGGACGCTTATGCTTTTTTTCTTTCCTGAAAACACTTTCAATAACCAGGAAAAAGCCAAATCCGTGGGTCTGTGGAATCTGTTCATTCCAATTGAAGCGGATCCGGAAGATAGATATGGTGCCGGACTGACGAATGTTGAATACGCTTTCTTGTGCGAGGTGATGGGAAGATCAATATACGGACCCGAGGTTAGTCCGGTTTGAAATAGTGATCAATGTTGGTATCTGAGCATCTGGTATCTGTTCGCTTACCCCTCCTCTAACCAAACAACGGTCAACTAACAACAAATTAGGGTTAGGGGAGGGGTTGGTGTGCAGTTGCTCAGATACTGTCATTGATCCGAAATAGCTACTTCTGTTGATTGGTCATTCAAACCCTATTATTTTGTTACAAATGCTGTAAAATTTTGTAAGCAAATCAGTTCTTTACTGTTCAACTGCCTTTCTTGCGTGGTATGTATGGCTATCATCATTTCATTGCGGGATGTTTCACGCAAGATATCATTTCAAATGCCTGCTGAAATTGTTGTCAGGCGATCTGTTACACTAGAGAGGAGATGAAACGTTTTAAGAGTTTGGTGGTAGATTTTCAAAGTAAATTTGTATTTTTTTCGCAAATATCGTCTTATCTTTCCTCGCGTTAACAGATGTTCAACTGTTCTGCTCCAGACACTGGCAACATGGAAGTTTTGATCAAATATGGCACAGAAGAACAGCGGGTATGTTATCACCCTCAAAAGTCATGAAAATGGATTTGCCCCTTGAGTCTTTCAAAAAAACCAGTGTAGGTTCCTAATGAAAATTATTTCTAAAAAACTGATTTCTACTTGATTATAATCAAGGTAGAAGGAAGAGGTAGAATTTTAATCTACAGCTGTTCTTTTTTCGCTGTCGACTGACGATATCGTTGTGCCTCTTACACACAGGAAGGTTGGTTGCGTCCACTTTTAGATGGAAAAATAAGATCGTGCTTTGCTATGACAGAACCTAAGGTCAGTTGTCTAGTAACAGATAACAGTTTGAAAATACCCATTCTCTTTCATTTGGAAACTACTTTGATAGTTTTTGGGCGGTTGTTAATGTTACAAGCGTTCAAAAAGCTATTTGTTTGCGGTTTACTCTCGTATTACTGAAGAGTTCATTGTGGCACTGGGGATTCTTTAGATTTTCCTGATTGTTGGCATCCGCTGAAGGCTTCAAAATGTAAATCTGAAGCTCAAGGCCATCTTCTGTCTTTTGTCTCAGTCCTTTAACTCTCAGAAGTTACCGGAATATATAACTTCTTGCAACATCACTATTTCTCAAGGAAACTGGATATGACGAGGGAAATGTAAACTTGAGAATATAGTAAACCTTAGAATTCTCTTAAGAGATCGTCCATCGCCGTTTTTAACTGAGGAGGTGGCCGTAGATCTGGGGGGGGTGAAATGATTGTATTTTTTTTTCTTCCGATATTCCTAAAGGAACTCGGTACTAAGTGACACCCAGCATTGCTTTTAGAGTCTCCAGTATCACATGTTTCACATTAGATTTCCTAACATATCAGTTCCCTCAACATATGTGTATCATGCTTGTAGGTTGCCTCTTCGGACGCCACTAACATCGAGTCTTCAATCATATTAGATGGCGAGAATTACATCATCAATGGACACAAATGGTGGACATCAGGTTTGTCCCAATATTTGGATGATTCCTTTCCATTTCTCACAAGCCACGGCTGAGACCCCATTATATTATTGTAGTACAAGAGAACAATTTCCCCCTTGATTTTGATTTTGTTAGGTGATTATTTTCAAGTGCGAATTTGTCTTTTTATGCATTTTCAAACAGAAATGATTTCTTTGTCCTTTGCAATAATTTTCTCTTAGACAGTTTTCGACCGATCTCTTGTTCGCTTGTTAGTTCGTTCGGTCTTCATTTTCGATCGTTTTTTCGTTCGATCGTTGGTTCCTGCGTCCGCTCATTTGATCGTTTGTTTGTTTGTCCTTTCGTTTATGTTCTGCTTAATTCTTTCTCTGTGCTCATGACAGGTGGTATGGATCCTCGATGTAAGATCTGTATTTTCATGGGAAAAACTGATCCTGATGCTCCAAAACACAAGCAACAGGTAATGCTCGCCAACACCATAACAAATGTCGTACTGGTAATCTCAAATTTCCAATTTCTTTCATAACCAACCAGCATGATTGTAGCCATACCTGCCCCTTGTTTTCTCCACGGGCCAGCTGCTGTGTTGTAGATAGTTTCCAATCATTGGAGTGGTATTCCATCTAGAGGCTGGTTGCCCACGGTGGAAGACCCTGAATGCCCTAGGCACCCACCTTACATTTAAGCAAGGCAGCTGTTAACTGCAAGTTAGTTTGGATCAGATTATCGTTCTTGCTGTTTTTATTTCCATAGGTAATTATAGAATCGATCATAATTTCTCCAGGTCCTTTACTTTGTCTTGGATCCCCACAGAGGGTTTCTTTGAAAGGAAGAGTCGGTGATACATCGGAATGTCTTATTCTCTTATTATATTACAGGCAATGATTCTTGTTCCCATGGAAACGCCAGGAGTCACGGTGGTGCGACCCTTATCCGTTCTGGGTTACCAAGACCCACCGTGTAAGTAAATTTTATCATTATTAAGGGATTTCTAAATCGACAAATCGAAACTCTGAGTAGTCTCTAAAATTAACTTCATCTCACAATTTCGATACTGACAGATAACTAATTCATAAGCGTAAGGTGTTACTTTGACGCAACACGAAATTCTCTTCACTAATTTACAAGGTAATATATAATGGAGAATTGCTAGTAAGTGAAGATTTTGGGTTTAAAACTAACTTGACTGATGCCACTGCATCAACTCCGTCACTCGGTCCTATCTTCCTAACTACTAAAAAAGTCTAGTCTAAATTTAGGGGTCACTTAGCTCCTTACACGCACAACAATATTTTCTCAAGGAAAGTCCTAATAATAGAAATAGGTAATAATATGATTTCGAGTGCAATTTGGTGTAAATAATTTGGCGTGCACGTGGTATTTTTAATTTGCACTCGTGTTACAACTTTGCACCCATGTTGCATGAGAATGCACTCGTTTTCAGCCAACTAGAAGCGCGTAATTTTTTCATATACATTATTAATATGCTAACGATGCGTTTTGGTACGATAGGTGGTCATGCTGAAGTCATTTTCAAAGATGTTCGAGTACCAAAAGATAATCTCTTATTGGGACCTGGGAGAGGGTTTGAGATTGCCCAGGTTAGTAATAAAATAAAAAAATCAGAATTTTCCGCCTCTGTCTCCTCTTCCTCTCAACTGAGCGGCTTTTTTTTTGCCTCTTACCCTCCCGCTCTCTTTCTTCCTTCGTCTTCACCGTATTTATATTTCTCTATCTCTCTTCTCTCATCTCTTTCACTATGAGTCCATGTTTCACTTGCTTGATTGAGCTTTCTTATATCAATCCCATTGAAATATAAATGAACTCTTTGATAACGTGGTGGACATTTCAGGGTCGCTTGGGCCCAGGTCGTATTCACCACTGTATGCGTCTGATAGGACAGGCCGAGAGATCCCTGGAGCTAATGATCGAGAGGGTAAGTAGTCGTTGTTGTCGGTAACTCGTTTTTGTACCAAATATTACCATAACATTGTTTCATACAATGCTTTTTTAAATTACGCATTCATGTAGGTCAAAAGAAGAGTGGCTTTCGGCAAACCTCTTGTAGAGCAAGGAACTATTTTGCAAGACATTGCTGAGTCTAGAATAGAAATCGAACAAGTCAGGTGGGCAAAATAAGACAGAGTGTACTGTTAACCTCGCGTTGTTGTGTCTCTATTTTCTCTATCAGTTCAGTGATAGATTCAGTGATTTAAAACCTGTCCGAATCCTCTGCACAAGGCTAGTGGATATCTTCTTGATTTTACTGCCGAGTTCTTTCATTCTACTAGCACCTTATGAATATCAGGAAAGGAACTTTAGAGTTCTATTTCTAAGGAATATTTGACCTGTGTGCATTTATTTAGAATGTCAAGACACTTCACTATTCAGTTTTAATTGATTTATCTTGTTTTGCAGACTTCTGACCCTAAAAGCTGCTCATCTAATGGATACAGTAGGAAATAAGGTAGAAATCCGTGTCAAGTAGGAGTCCATAACATTCCTCCAGTCTGATCATTTTTATCGCTTTTTTTAGGCCGCTGCACCGGAGATCGCTATGATTAAAGTTGTCGCTCCGAGAATGGCTCAAAATGTCGTTGACAGAGCAATGCAGGTTTGTAAAACAACTTGTTGAAGCTTGTGCCGTAAATGTGTAAAGACCCAGTAACCATGAGGCATTGCGCTATATAAGTAACGACATGATTCAAAATCATTGGCTGACTTAGGCTAGCAATATAACAGTCGAAATGTCGCGATCTTCAATTGATAGCGTGACTCTACAGTTGATATTGACTGTAAATTGTGAGATAAACGACCTAACGTTCATTTATGATCATATCATTTTCACAAATATCTCACAGGCATTTGGTGGTGCAGGTCTTTCTTCCGATCAGCCGCTGGCTCAGTTTTGGTCGTGGGCTCGTGTTCTCCGACTCGCGGACGGCCCTGACGAGGTGCATCTTGGGGCATTGGCCAAGCGAGAAGTAAAGAAAACCATGGGCAAGGACCAATAAATACAATAGTTGTCACGGTGGGGTAGGGGTTGGGATGAATTGTTACACATATGCTCTACTACTACCATAATAGTTAAGTCCCAAAATTCGAGTTTTCGCTGTATATGTTAAAGTTAACTTTGCATTCTTTGACACTAACTGGATCGAACAAAGCGAAATCGAGGAATCCAGAGGTTTTGATAAAAAATATTAACTCCAAATAATATAATCCATTATGATTAAGTTTCAATCCCACCGCTACTAATTTTTCAACTGCCTTCAAAATTCGACAATAATTTGCATAGTGTTCAATTTTTGCCTAGAGGATTGTGGGTCCTAGTGGTGAAGTTCAATGAAAACACGATATGCATCATTGACAATTGGAAAAAGCAAGTAAGACTTGAAAGGGGCGATTTAATGCGATGCGTCGATCAATTCGAAGTTTCAAAATCGCCCCCTCTTCCCTGAGAAATCCTAACTTTCTACACATTGACGAAGCTTTGAAACCTAGATGTTGTAGACCTTTTCTTTTGGACCGTTCGTTCGCGAAAGACTTGACACTTTTTGTTAAAATTCCTCACCCCTTGTTCACTGCCCTGGGGGAGGATGTTGAAGCTTTAAATTTATTGGCACACAACCTTGTAATGTAGATGGTACTTTATTTCCGTAAGTAAGCTTCGTGAGAAGACACTTTTTCCCTTCATGGGAAATATTTTCTTCAGAAGAGGCTAAATTTTTTCAGGCAGAAGTGAATTAAACCTTTCTCTGTAGTCAGTCGTTACAGCGATTGAAAGCCTAGGAAATGGCAAATAGTGGAATTAACTATTTTTGCAGACAAACGATTATCGCTTTGTAACTCAATGCTTCATGGTGAAAATAAAGTGTTAGATAGGTCGATTTTGGTCTTTGGTCAAATTTTCCCGGCCTCGCGTTGGATACAAGCGATGTAAAAGAGAACTGTCTTTCCTAGGAACACTACTTACTGTTGACAGCTAAGGATTATTTAAATCCATTCCCGTTTTTTACTTAAAGCTTAGATTTCCTCTCTCGACAAACTTTTCTCTTTTCAAACGTTTACCAAAGGCAAGCACTTATTGAATCTCCTCATTTAATCAAACAGGCGCATCATACGCTTAGCATAATGGCGGCAACGTAACAACAAGCTTTCTTCCTTGCTGAGTCAACTTCGTCTCAGCAGTTGAAGTTTTGGTGTTTGTTTGCTGTACAGCTTGAATGGCAGCTATAACAGAATCTTCGTGCTCCTTTAAAGTTATTTTAATTCCTGCCACAGGCGATGGTTGCCTTAGCAACACGAGAGGCTGCTGAAACAGTGCTTGAAAGAAAGCTGAATTATTCATATAGTATTTATCACGGTGTGGAACCCAACTGTCTCTAGACCTCGAATAAATCGGCGTCGATTTAAAACCCTTAAGGTGAAACACCGAAAAGACGCTGTTGGTTTTTATGTTTCCAGGTGATGTATCGTATTTATTCACTCTTGGCAGGTGAAATATCGGTTGCATTTCCTCATCACTGGATTTTAAAGAACTTATTTTGGACTGTATACTTTCAACAAAGATTTCGCACATTGAATCATTTTGAGGACAAGGTGTATAAATTTCTTTGTTGTGAGGTGGACAGTGGGGCGGCTGTGTCTCTTGACCGTCCAATTCATCTTTTCCCCTCAAATTCACTCTCTGGCCTTCAAGTACAGTGGCCTGTAGCAAAGGCCGAACAAAGCTCTGGTAAAATCTTGGTAAACCATCACCATCACGATGGTTTACCTGATCAGATGAGGAAGTGTGTCTTGAAGTCTTGGAGTCTCCTGAACGATGTGAACTGTTCCTTGACTTTCTAGCTCCTTGAAAAGGACAGTCATAATATCGTACCTGGAAAAGATCTTGACAATCTTTTGAATCTTCTTTACAAAATCTTCTAGGTTTTGTGATAGTGGGCAATATTGGGTTGGACTTGAGCTTTACTTTCGCTTCCGCCTTCGGTTCTTCTCTCTCTCCAGACGCTCGTTGATAAAATGAATTGAAAGTTTCATCGGCCGACTTTGTTTCTTTTTCTATCGTTGATTTAAACGGGTTTGTTCCTGTAACAGTCAAGCTTAGATTGCTGCGGACTCTTCGCTGCATCACGAGTTCGTTTCAGACCGGGGCGGAATTTCAGACGGTTTTGTAAAATTTTGCCTCAATTTAACATAGGAGCGCAATTTGTCTTGAAAAGCATTATCTTGTCAAATTCACTGTCATCTATTCTATTAATCTTCTATGCTAATAATCTTTCAGATCAAGAGCAATTGCTTCGATGGCATAATCTCTCTGATTTTAAGATGATCCTAGCTCAATGTATTTATTTAATTTATCTGGCAGTCTGTAAATAATTAGAAACTTGTGATTCGTTCGGTAATTCCATCAGACAGATAATTAGACAGAAATGTCTAAAATTGAGCGTCGGTCTTTTAATGGAATATGCCGATCGCTGAGAGATTTTGATTGCGTGGTTGTGTTGTTGATTCATTGTGATTTAATCAAGGAGCAGTAGTAACTGTAATTGCACGTCCACTGATTCTCTTCGCGTGTGGTCGCTAAATACTACCTGCTCACTGTGCCAATTATGAGATAATGAGCTTGAGATTTCTATCGCGTGATAGTTTATAAAGGCGAAGTGCAAACTTGCTATCACGCGATAGAAATCGAGAGCGAATGATTTTAGGGGCCAGACTATATTTATCGTCAGGGGGGGAGGGCGAAGCATTTTGGAGGATCACATGGTTTTCAGGGGGGAACAGAGGGAGGATCAGTCGTCGCCAACAGAGTATAAAAGGGGACTACAGAGAGATGACTGGCATCGAGGAATCGTGGGTAATCTCTTACTTGACATATAGCCAATCAGGATGCATCGTTTGTGATAGAACGCCAGTCGAAATATGTTGTGAAAGATTGTGCACGTTTTTAAGCTCTGATCAAAATCGACATCTCTCACGAGTAATTATACAAACTGGCTGAAACAGTGATTTAAGGCGACGGAAATAATTGTTAATAATGGCGCCAACATTTCTCAACTTTTACAGCTGAGTGATTTTATCAGTCTAAAAATAGTACTCTCCTAGACGGATTAATGGTCACTAATCTCATCGCTGACGGATTAATTTTGAAAGGTTCACTTAAGTTTCCGATAAAATGAGATGGACAGAGTTAAATTGCAGTTTACTTATTATTTTATCCAACTCTTCATCTGTTATAAAGAGATTCCTTCATAATATTTGCAAAGCCAATATGATAAAACCTACAGCGACGCGACTTTTTTTCACCTGAAATAAAACAAGTGAGTGATCGAGTCTCTTCTCTTTTGTAGAAAGCAAAAATTCATGATCTTTAATAAATTCCGAGCCCTCGATTGCCGAGAGGCAGAGAGACTGGGCTCAGGAAAGTGATCTTTGTTTCACTGAATTGAGCAAAAAAGGTTTTAGCAGCGTCCTGAATTATCAAGACATTTTCAAACCATTTTAGAGCGAAACAGAGCAGAAAATTGTAACTCACACTTCTGCATCCTTTGTTGACTACTGCATCCTTTGTTGACAACTGAACAGATTAATAGAGGATTAAAGGATTTTGATACCTACTGTGCGACATCTTCAGCCGCTCGTAATTTAACACGACTGGGAACTAGTTGGGCTCAGTCTTTCCTTGTGATGACGTTGCGATAACCGTAAACTTTCCCTACCCACCGGGGAAAGGAAGAATGTGGACTTGAGGTTATGCTCTTGGGCGAGAGAAACTGGTAAGTTAGTTTTTCCAAGATTGCATTAAAATTAAGCAGCCTTCTGAACAACAACATCGTTGATAAGTATATTTCTAAATAATATTTTTAGTTTTAAATTAATTGTGGACGTCACATGTTAGCCAAACGAAAAGACTAGACTGCGATACAAAACTATTTTTGGTACAAAACTAACATACTTTTCAGCAAATTGGTGGTAATCTTACAACAAATTTCTTAACTTGTCGAGTCACTGCTGTGTCAACAGCTGAGGTTAGTGCGTTTGTTTTTTCAACAGCCTGGATCGCTTCTGTGAACGAATCCTCGTGTTCCTTTAAATGTATTTTCACCCCAGCCACTGGAGATGGTTCCCTTATAAACACTGCAGGTTGTTGTGCGAAAGCTTTAAACACCGAATGTTTAATTCTATAGTTGTCCCGGTTTGGACTCCAAGCATTGTTGAAGCTTGGGTAAAACAGCGATGATGATTTGACATCGTTTACTCTGAAAACAGAGCAAACTTGGTTGTCTATTAGACCTCGAGGGCTGATATCGTATTTATCTGCCTTCGGTAGGTGAAATACCGGTCTGTCACTCCGCTTTCCAGTGTTTACTGAAACTGTATCAGACGTATTTCTCCGTGTTAACATCGATTTCATTAAAAAGGTTTTAATATGATCAGGGTCTTTCGAAGAAGTGTCACTTTGATTTGGTAACTTGTTTCCTTTCTCTGCATGTGGAAGCTCACAATGTTTTCGGATTTGTTTCCGCTGTTTGTTTAACCCAGCCTTCTCTCTTAAGTTTACTCTTTGCCCCTCAAGAATTGAACAAGAGAGTGGTAGTTTGCTATTCAAAGATTTTTCCTTTAAACTCTGCCTTGCGTTTCCTTCTTCGCTATTGTTTTCCCCTTTCTCGTCAGAAACAATAGGTATACGTTTTTGCATGCCGGGAGAAACTTCGTGGCTTCGTAAAAACGACGATGACAAATTTTCCCTATGTTTTCCACACCAATCTGATGTCAGTTGGTGAATTGTCAGATCAGAACATTGTCTTCTTTGTAAAAGAACTTCAAATTTACTCTTTACACTGTTGTTGTATTTTGTAGCTTTTGTTAGAGTTGGTAATTTTAGGCAGTCTTCAGTTCTGATGTCTTTTAATACATCACAGCGCCCATCATTCTCAGATAACTTTTTTTCCTCTTCGTTTGAAACTTGTCCTTTAAAACTTTTGTCTTCATATCTCGCTGCTTTACTGTTTCCAGAAGGACGTGCTTTTGTGACAGATGAACTCAAGTTGACATCGCTTGCGGTTATTTGAGGCATGATGTTGATTGCGTTCGTTCCAGTCGGTTAGAGCTAGATTCAAGTTCTTCTTTCAGAAAATTAGACGCAAATTCACCAAAGCTTAGCTTCCAAGTCTAAACTGTTTATTTTTAGCAACGCGTCCAGTAATTAAAATCCCATCTCGTTATCGGCATAGTTTCCACTCCATGGCAATTGCTTCGTAAGTCTTTTAATCCGTAAATGAACTGCGAACATGCTCTTTGGCATCTCAAGGACTCATTAATGTTTGAAAGAATCTTTTGTTTGGTCTTTTTGTTTAGAAAGGGCGATAATTTTTGAGGAATATGTTAATAATCGATTGCGCATTGTTCAAAACCATTGTACTGTGTCCGTGCTGGCATGACTACCCTTAAAGTGAATGTTAAAACAAAAGCATTCGTAAGGATAAATACTTTTAGCGAGAAATGTCTTGATTATCTCTTAGGAGACCTTTGAAAGGTTAGTTTACAGTCTGTCCGTTTGCAGGTCGTGGCTGTACAATTGGTGTTGACACAGAAAATGTTTTCTTTTTTAAAACATGGTCTGTGTTGCTTTGATACTACGACTTCGTGTTTGAAAGAGATAATGTGACGTCATAATGTCATGAACTGTGAAATCCAAACTGATTTCACAAGTGATCTTATTTCATGCTTTCCTTCATGAGATCCTTTGGAAGTTTGTGATCCATCACAAAAATGCGACGACAAATAAATCCTTGAACAATCAACAGATCAGTGTCAGTATGTCAGAAGTGTACTTGTTAGAAGTGGACTTGTCCCAAGTATATATTTTTAATATTTTCCTCGCTAATTGATGTCTTAGCATCTGCGCACCTACCCCTCCCCTATTGGTGATGGAAATTGACAAAACTGACAGTAACCCAACATTAACCCTAGTTTGTTATCAGTTTACTGTTGTTTGGGTTTTGACGGTCTGTTCAATTTCATACGCTGAAAAATATTCAGTGTTGAATGCTCATATTCTCTAGCCCACAAGAGAAACTTGTAAGTTTAAAGAGGAAATTTAAAAGCCCCAAGGGTTTCGAATCTTTGCCGTGAAGAGAAAAACCTGCGAAAGTCGCGTGCTTTACTGTTACCATAGCAGCACGAAAATTGCGGGAAATTGGAACCGAGTTCAATTTTTGGCGCCAAATTATTTGCACGTGACACAAACAAGATGGCGGACGAGATGGACGTGGAAACAGCGACAACCAGCTCGAAAAGTTTTAAAGACGAGGCAATGGAGATCGATGCACCACAAGTAGAGAAGGCGAAAAGTAAAGGATCATCTGGTGCAGGCATTAGTACTGGGAAAAGCTCTAAAAGTTTCGAACTGCCGTGGTAAGTTACCAAGAAAATGTAAAAGAACCTGGTACCCGAACGTCAGTAATCATATTCTCCATGCTGTTCTCTGTATATTTACTGAGGTGCTGACAAGGAGAATTTGTCAATTCAATCCAGTTCAATTCAGTTTTATTTAAACTCACACGAATACAGTGTATTAGAGAAGGTTATAATTATTACGGTACGTAGTGTTACAAACATCAATATAAAGAATTCAGTGCAAAGCGAAAAAAAGAAGCAAAATAATCGAAATAATTTACAATTCATTGTCACTAAGGGTATCTAAGAAATAAGGAGGACAGGAAGAAAATAATGTTTTAATACTATGTTAATTGTGTGGAGTCTGGGACACCCAAATAGTTCTAAGAACTAATTGAGTGGGTGTCCCAAAATTTGTCCAACAATCAAGAGTTTCTTTAGTTGGGGATCATTTCCTCTAATCTCATGACATTAATGTGTGATTCAGTGGTGATATTGTGTGAAGAAATTAGATGCCAGTCACTCTTAGGGGTTAAGTTAGAGGTGCTCACTTGTTAAATTGTTTCCAAAGTAGGAACATGATGAAAAATTAAACTTTGATGTAAATGATCAAATCTGGGTGTCAATCAGACTAGTAATGGAAATTTCCCAATTATGATGGATTCCAATTGCATAGTTTTTTCCTTCATTTTCTGGGGTGTTTTTCTTGCAGATGTAAAGTATACAGGTTTTGTAGCTGTATGAATTGAAAACTATGATCTCATTCCAGTCAATGCCAGCTGCATAAATTATCATTTCTAGGGGAAAAATTGAGCCAAGTCATCCACAATATTGATATTTTCAAGAATTGTACAACTCTTTTGGATAAAAGATTACTTAAACCTTACCTACTGTAATACATTTCATATAATTTTAGTTTTGAGAATCTGGAGAGAATTTAGTTCTAAATTGGAGAATATTTCTTTTGACACATTAGACTTACTATGAAAAAAATCTGATCGGTTAAGAGCATTCAATCAATATACAGTAATGTGGGTAGTTGACATCTGCAGTGGATATTGCATATATCATGTCAAGTTCTAAGTCTGCCTAGTTTCCAAGCCCCTTGTCCATGTAATGTTCTTAAACTTAGGAAACTCAGAGAGAAGTGAAATCACTGATTTCAGTTTGTACATAATATCATGGACTAACAAACCTGCCTAGATCATACTGGAAAATCTAACCAAATAAAATATTTTTAGGGCTGATTAATGTTGGTATCCTTTTTAAAATATTCCTCTTTGTCAGGGTGGAAAAATACAGACCTACCAAACTTCACGAAATAGTTGGAAACGAAGAAACTGTTAGCCGCTTAGAGGTAATTTGTTTACACAACAAGTCTTTGATTAGAGTCCATTTTTGTTCAAATATATTTTATTTTATTTTTAACAAGAGATACAACACATATCCATGGCAACATAACAGAACTAGATTTTTTGGCCAACAAACAGGTGCCTTTCCATTTCCAACCTCATGATATTTATTAGACTAGAGCTACTGCATACTGTATTTTATCATCATATCTTTTAGTCAGTGTGAGTGCAATGATTGGTTGGTTTCACTGTGTGGTGGCTAACCTCAAAAGTCTGTTAGAATTGAAATCTTTCCCCTCTATTTGAATGCAGAGATATAATAAGTTTCTTGCTAACTTTGTTTCTCATTTCAAGTGGTAAGCTGTAGCACCCTTTTTTCCACTTAGATTTATAACCAGTGTGCTTTGTTACTTGCAGCAACTTAACCTCAAACTTGATTAGTGAGAGGTGTTAGATCTGATTAAGGCAACAAAATGCATCAGTATCATTGAAGTAGTAGTATGCTAGTCTTAGGAATTCAAAAGGTGAATAGCATGATCCAGAAAGTTATAAACCCTCCAACCCTAAAAAGTGATTAACATGTAGCTTCTCTATGTAATAATTATATTCATACTTTCTCTAGAAAACAGGTATTGAGAATACTCAATTTTTTTTTTATTTCTTAGGTTTTTGCTGAGCAAGGAAATGTTCCAAACATCATCATTGCAGTATGTAATTTGCTTTAAATGACAACTTATGCTACAGTCATATTTTTTCTTTCAACCTGACAGATCACTTTTGATAGCAAATAATGTTGATTGAAAAAAGGTAATATTTTCTACCATGTTGAGGTGACTTTCTTTTCTTTCCTCCAGGGTCCTCCTGGTACAGGAAAAACTACGAGTATTCTATGTCTGGCAAGGGCACTTCTGGGTGCTTCATTCAAAGATGCGGTGCTTGAACTGAACGCATCTAATGACAGGTATTAAAACCTTGATGTTGCTTGAGAATTTGGGAATCATATTCACCTATTTGTTGATTTGTTTTGCAGAACTTTTTAAATCTGTCTTCTATTATGAAAGAGAAGTGTAACAAAGAGGAGATGGGATATGTTTGAAAGAGAATCTCAGAAAAAACTAAAGGGAAATCTTGAAATTTTCAAAAAATTAGGGAAAAAAATCATGTGTCAGTCATATTTTTAATTGCACCTTACTTAAATTCTTTACAAATCACATTGATTCAGGGTGTGAAATTAATTTTTTTTTCTGATAGCCACTTGGCTCCTAAATTGTTCAAAGTGGTAGCCAATTCAAAAGAAGTTGGTCGCCATTTTCAAAGACAAACAAACCCTTTTTTTTTATGCTGTCATCGTTCTAGAAATTAAGTTAGGGAAAAGATCTTTAATGTGATACAAAGTGGACACTAGGATGGATGATATATATGCAACGTTCAAGCTCACCTAAATCCAAGATGGCGTCTAGTGATCGATCTTGATGCATGTGCTGTGTTTTGGAAACAAATTTAACGAGGAAGTTTGCCTCGGATTTATCTTTGCAAATCTTTTTAATTTACTATGTCTCTAGGTAAGGTTATGATGAAACATTCTAGTCGCCAATTTGGCGACTAATTTTCAGGATTTGGTCGCCAAAGTAAAAAATTTAGTCGCATTGGCGCCTGTATTAGGCGCAATTTCACGCCCTGTGATTGTTAGGCCTGAACCATGCATCACTTATAGACCCTTTGCCAACCTCAAAGAGTAGTGCAGACATGTCAAAGTACCTCTAATGTTTGTTGTAAAGGCTTGCTATGTGAAGGTTACAAAGCAAATATACTGTTCAGGTTCTCCATCCCATCTGCCCTATGTGTGCATTTGTATGTATCAAATCTATAACTTGATATTAGTTGCCCACAATCCAATTTCATTCAACCTTTCAGATATACTTTGCAAGTTAAGTGTGTAGACTTTGGACTGTCACCTACTGTTAGTGATAGAAGCAGTTGCAAACAAGCTAAAATCATGTTAATCTCTTTTCATTGCAGAGGAATTGATGTCGTGCGTAACAAGATTAAGATGTTTGCTCAGCAGAAAGTTACTTTACCTAAAGGCAGGCACAAAATTATAATTTTGGATGAAGCAGACAGGTATGTCTATTGCAGGCCATTGGAGTATTTTATACTTTTTATAAGCTCTTCCTTGAAAACCAGAATCAAATCTGAATTCTTACATCCTGTAATAACAATTTTGAGATTAACTCTTCCAGCATTTCCCAGTTGTCAATGTCTCTCACTGTCTGTCCTTTTATTAACAGTGAGTAGCAAAATAGTGAACAGGTATATTTGTTGCTAGAGTGGCAAAAGCCTCTTTTGCATTTTCAAAGTGACTGTGAAGAAGATATGAAAAATCATGTTTATTAGTTTTGAATACGTGGTTGATTTACATGAAAATATTTATATTATTTACTCTCACAATCATGATATTTTAATTTCAAGCTCATGACATACATTAGTGTGAATTGATTTTGCCAAAAATGACTATCTTGCAAAGAGACAGAGCTTTAAAAAGATAGTTGTAAATACTAAATTAACAAACAGGTAATCCCTCAACTTCCACTGCAGCTACCCTCCTTGTAACAATTATTACCAGTGGATTCAGCTGGAGAACACAAAATAACCTGAGTACCTGATGGTGGTTCAACAACAACAGACAAATTTTAATTCCTGAAAACAAGGCTAACATGTTACAACTTACAACACTATCAATATTGACCAATATTGTCACACTCCTGACCAAAAGTCCTCTGGCACAGTGGAACACATTCCTTGGGATATAAGCTTGTTTTGCTTTTTCTCTGTAGCATGACTGATGGTGCACAGCAGGCTCTGAGAAGGACAATGGAGATCTACTCCAAAACTACACGCTTTGCTCTGGCTTGCAACACTTCTGAGAAAATTATTGGTGTGTATTGTAAACTTACTGAGATATACAAGCTGTATCACAAAAAAATAGCCTACACAGCTTATTAGGTTGGGGAGAGCTGGGGGGGGGGGGCAGGCTATTTTGTTGATTTTGAGCTTTCAGCCTTTTTGCTCACTTTAATCCCATTGATTTAATTTTCAATACTTTTTGAAATTTTTGTCATACACCTGGCTATGCAGTTTATCAGCTTCTTGCTCAAGCTACTGTATAGACAGTATGTGGCAGGTAAAGGATTTGCAGAAGTCTTAAACCTTTTCAATTTACTTGTGCAAATGTAAATATAATAGCCTTGCTGTACATCAATGATGAATTTAATAATGTTATTTTGTCAGAGGCGATCCAATCCAGATGTGCTGTTTTACGATATTCAAGATTAACCGATGCTCAAGTCTTACACAGACTGTTAGAAGTTTGTGAAAAGGAGCAGGTTTTTTCAGATTTCTTGAACAGTTTTCTAACTTTTGAAAATCGTTTCTTCTTTGTTATTTAATAAGTCATTTAATCAATTTTGTTTTCAATATTTCCATTTGTGATCAGGTCACCAAAACGGATGATGGATTGGAAGCAATTGTGTTCACGGCTCAGGGCGACATGCGACAGGTATATCTAACAACTAGGAAAAAATTTTTAATTTGTTTTATTCTCTGGATCTTGGTAAATTGCTTTCAATATCCGATTAAATCCGAAAAACAGAGAGCCAAGATTGACAATTTTTAATTGCAAAGGAGATGGCCTGGACAAAAGTTCACCATAGTTTGAAATGAATAATATGTGCTTCTTTGTTTCAGGCGATAAACAACCTGCAATCTACGTTTTATGGATTTGGATTTGTGAACAGTGAAAATGTATTCAAGGTAATATTTCTTTCAAAAATAAGATTTTACAAATGAATAAAGGGGGTAAGTTTCTAAAGAAGCTGTGGTGCTGCGTCGGTGGGGGAGTATAACAGGGTAATTTGGTTTTATCAACTGAGTTGATAATATAAATCGGCCATCGTATAGAGTTTCTAAGCGTTATTCCTTCGTCATTCGCTCTGACGAAGGGGCAACGTAACCCAGCTCAGGCGATAAAACCCAGTTAACTAATATTTTACAGTTGCTTATCTCCATTTCGTTACCGCTGAATACCATGTTCAAGTAACTATTTTGGAGCGTAAACATTTTAACGACACAAGAAGAGCCAAGCCGTTAATGCGATTTCATATAAGTCAATCAGGTGCGTAAGAAACCAGTCATTGTTGGATTGATTTGGTATGCGCAACATTTCCGTTGCGCTTTCCCGCGCTTTCATCTGCTACACCTATGGATTATTGCACCTTTGAGAAAATTTTGTTTTCGAAAGAAAACAGGGATTGCTAGGATTTTTCGTTACTTCACGTCCTGAATGGTCCTGAACTTCATGCAATTCCACTCGTGGGGCGGGGAATTTGAACCGGAAATGTCGAGTCTTTCCAGCAGAATACAAGTTGGGGATGTTTAATGTTAAAAGTTCACTTTCGCGAGTGAGTGGCTCAGAAAGAAAGGTCTATAGGGTCTAAATCCTAAAAAGTTCAAATGCTTGGGGATTTGCCCCTGGAGGGGGGGAAGGTAAAGCTTCAAATTGAACAATGCATTACTTCTGCATGTTTCAGGTTTGTGATGAACCGCATCCTCTGTTGATTCGAGAGATGATCAAGTCATGTTCAACAGGGGATATTGACGAGGCTTATAAGGTTCTCTCACATTTATGGTACATGGGATATGCTCCAGAGGACATTATAACCAACATCTTCCGAGTGTGCAAGAACTATCAAATGTCAGAGTATCTTAAACTGGAGTTTATCAAGGTAAGACGACATGTTAAGGTGGCCATGCACTGGGGACAGTCGCAGGGAGGGCATGTTACACAGAAGTAAAAAAGGGTTGTGCAATCTTAGCTGTTGAGCTCCTAAGAGTGACTAGCATCTAAATTCTCCTTACGATATCATCCGTGAGTCACACATTAAGGTTACAAGAACAAAGGAAATGATCACCAGCTAAAGAAGCTCTTAATTTTTGACCAAATTCTCCTCAGCAGCACCTTAGGAAATGTATAGAGAACAGTATGGAGAATATGCATACTGATGTTAGTGTGTAAAGGGTAAAGTCGAGTGTTCTTTTCCACACTGGAGGTTATCAGTTTTACGATGGCAGTATACAGGTGTATTGAGTTATAAAAATGCCTCACAAGAAGGCGTGTTCAAGTTATTTTTCTCGGTGAAATGGCCTAAAAACAATTTCAGAGCCGCCTTTAAGTCGGCCTTGATGACTGAATAGCAGCTTTATTGAAACACTCTTGTACGTCACACTTGTCCATTCAGCTGTATATTGTACGTTGTTACCTGGAAACCTTCACGTTGTCCACCTCGCGCTTTCCTAAGTCTGGTTTGGAGAAAACCGTCTTAAATGGCTTAAAAATTGTTACAAAAATGTGTACTAGCTGACAATAAAGTTTTTTGTCTATTATATTTTTATCTATTTCATCACACAGGAAATTGGTTACGCGCACATGAGAATAGTGGAAGGTGTAAACAGCTTGCTACAGCTGTCAGGCTTACTGGCCCGGATGTGCGGCAAAGTGACGTTGCAGGACAGCTGAATGAACATGCACACGGCGTAAGAAATACTTAGAGGAAAAGAAAGACAGACTGAAAAACAGAAAACGACGCGATATAACAACAATAAGGCGATTGCTACGAGCAGGGAAGAAATGAGATTTATGTAACAGCTCACGGAAGTGTACAAATGCAATCTCAATAGTTAACTCTACAGTACGTAGCTTGTTTAAAAAGAATTTAAATTTGGGAGGGTATTAAAAGAAAAATGCTTCTCAACTTCAGTTAGCAGTTGGTTTGCTCCCTTGTAAATGCGCTTTGTAACTACCACGCAACTTCGCAAGCCCCTTAGATGTTACAAAACAAAGAAATAAGGAAAAAAGGAAACTTATCCCAAAAAACGTTGAGACATCTTATTAGAGAAGTTTTCAATTGAGTTTTGAAAGTGATCCTGGGTTCATTTGGTTTTGTCTTGTTTCGCTTTGTGATTGCGCCACTTTCTCAACCAATCAAATGCAAAACTAAAGCAAATCGCTTCTTGGTCTCTCGCGTTTCCCGCGCTTCAAGCAGGTTGCCCGTTATTAGCTGAATTTTCATTGGTTAAAGATGATGTAACCTTTGTTCTGATTGGTAACTGCGATAACTTTGGTTTTGGTGTTTAAACGCGTAATTGAAAACTCGTTTATGAGTATAGTCAACTGAACTCTGGTTTCATTGAGTTAACCCTTTCACTCCCACAAGTTATCAACATGGAGCCTCTCCCTATAATATCCATTCAGTATCCAGTAAACAGGTAATGAGAATATTCAAACTTATCTGGTAGAAATTGTAATCGTGATTTAAAACCAAATTCTTGTAACTATTTTAAACGCAAATGTGTAGCAGCTAGAGGGGAGAATTAATAATCAGATCTTGGGAGTTAAAGAGTTAAAGCCATTGGCCCATTCAAGCTTTGTGGTACAATGATATCATTGGTTTATCTTAGAACGTTGCAGGAAGCGACAAACCACGTATTTCTATTCCTTATTTTTCTTATATCACAGATGTGCGCACTCGTGTAGTGACCACAATATAGTTTAAAATGAAAACATACCGCCATTGTTGACGGCTGCTTCAAGCCACTGGTAACAGAATCATTTTGGGAAAACATAAGACAAAAAAAACTATAAAATTCTCATTGAGCTAATTTTGCATTCTAGGGAATGCATTCAGAGAAAAGAATTGAATAAAATAAGATAAATAAAACAAAAATAATTAAATTCGGAAAGTGGTTTCCCAAATTTTGAGATTTAGCTTGTTCAGGAAATTTTTTTTAACCTATATCTACCACAGTGCGTCTTAATGGTGTAAAAAACAAGATTTTCATTGTGAAGACTACTTGGAAAACAACGATAATTCGTGTTCTGATATTTGCATTTACACAGATCAGTTAAATGTACGTATGTATTTACGAAAAAATTCGAGAGTGAACGAAACAATGGAGCGGGCTATTCATGTAATGTATAGTTCATATTTTGACGCGTTTTCTCAAAATAGCCGATTAAAAAAAGAAAATATGCCGGCTTAAATCTATTTCCTAAAAGATTGAAATATAATTCATTATTCAGCTAATCAAAGTTAATGCGATAAATTAGTGCAGTTGAGGCTTTTATACAAAGATAAATTTCATCTTTTATTTATTCAAGGATTGGTTTCAGTTCATACATGCACCTTTCAAGCGGAACAAATTGAGTCAAACCGTTTGAAATCGATGTCAGATTTTATTATTCTCACTGTTAAAGACTTAAAGAGATTTTAAAATGTTCATTAAGTAACTTATATGACGTTTCAGCGAGAGTAAATGGCGAAATACGGCTTCGTGATGTTGGTGAATTTTAAAATTTACAATTGGAAGCATGACACGAAACGTGGAAATTGCAATTGAGTCCATAAATGTCTGTTTTGACCTGAAAACATTCATTGTTTAGAAATATTTAATTTATTGTCAATATATTTTTGTTAAAAAAGAGCATTAAATAGCACAATTCTCGAAAACAGTACCAAAAATATATCTGTATAATTTATCATCGCAGTGGATTGTGAATGTAAATTTCCGTTGTGGTGTATTTTAACTCGGTCGCGATTTGACAGGCATTGTTTGATTTTGTACTTTCGTTTAAGTGTCTCTACGTTCAAGATTTTCCTTTGTCGCGAGACAAAAGTCCATTTGGAATATTGTGTATGTTAATTTTTTTGAGGTTGTTAAATTGGACAATTTTTCCGAAGACTGTCTAGTCACGATAGGAAAAATAAATATGTTGAGCGGTAAGACACGATGTATTTTCGTTGCTTTGTATGATAAATTCGACAAACTAAATTAAACATTTCGGCCACAATTGACATCCAGTATAGACACTTGAAAGGGAGACCACAAAATGACAGCCGAGAATTACTTTCGCTATGTTTTTCGACCTTTTGAAAGCACAGCACCTTTTCAACTCCTAATAAAGAGACCGGCCTTGTTCGGCTATCAGACGCTTTTCAAAAAAAACCCGACGCTTTTTTAAAATTGGTCTTTCTCTGCAGCTTATCTCTTAAACGCTTAATGTAGCTTGGGTTGGAAACCGGCATGCAATGTCTTCGGCAGAGCAAATGAAAACTGATTTTGAATCAAAATGCTAATTTGTCGTCGACAGGCGTAGGTAATATGCGCAAACGTGGTCTGTTCTGCGAGTATTTGCGCGAGGGAGTTTTAAGTTCAAGTGCTCGGAGATTTTGACGTCAGCCATCGATATAATTGTCCGCTCTTAGTCGATCATAAATGGAAATTTATATCGCGGAGAAAACCTGACTTTGTTTTGAAACTAGCTGGATCACGGATCAGGTGGCAATTACCGGCTTTAGTACAGACTATAATTCTGATCCACTTGGAATAGCTCAAAACAAGAGAGCCTAATCTGAGATCATTTTCCAGTTTTAGCAACAAAACAGTTTGTTTATTACGCTTTACGGGGGAGGCGTTCTGACTATATACGTCTATGAGTTTTGTTATAAATTTCACATATCACAGATGTAAACAGGGACGGCCATAAAGAGAGCAACTGGCTAGTGGAGAATAATTCAAGGAAAAAACTCAACGTCTATTACTCAACGGGAAGAAACGTGAGTTGGTTAATTGTGAGAATTTTGAATTGTGTTCAGTGGCGCTGGAAATGAATCCCATTACATCTACCGTTGCTGCATCCTGTAATCGGCTTGTTCTGAGTCCGCGGACATCTCCTCGGAGCAGTCCGAAGCCTTCCCCAAATGTGCGAAGGAAAGCACCATTTCTAGATCTGCCAGATGAGGATAATTTTCAGCGCCGCGACTCGAAAGAAGTTGTAGACTACAAAAAGCAACTAGCCGCAGAGACGAAACAAGCGTATAAAGAAAAGCGAAAGGAGGACAAAAAGTCGGGGAATGGTGGCGGAAAAGCCAATACTCAAGCCAGCAAAGAGAAGCCTGGAAAACGACTTTTAGACGAGGCCGTGACTACAACGACTGAAAAACAAGGCCAGAAAAAAACTGGAAATACGAAAGCTAGCAAGTCATCGAGTAGTGCCTCAAAAAAGGACAAGAAGTGCACAATAATGTAATTATCTTGGTATCTAATCGTCTTTCTTAGTTCGCTTTATGAATATTAAACTTCTTTTACTTTACACAGGACCGCGAATCGAACGAGATCGCAAAAATCTCCTTGTCTGTTGCTCTAAACCTAACGCGAAGATGACAATTTAAAAAAGAGGGTCAGTCTCGCAAAATTAAAGTATCTCTTGTGAAAATTGGCGATTTTTAGGCTTTGTGATGCAGAATAAACTCGAAAAGAGGAAGTTGTTTAAAATTAGAATCCTTCAGGATTATGTCTGTGATCGATTATTGTGGAACAAGAGCTAAACAGCCGGTCAGCATGCAGTTTGAAGGTTTTATTTTTAGTCTTTAATGTGTTTGAAATTGAAAACATTTGCGTCCAGAAAGATAACACGGAAAATTAAGAGCTTTTTTGCGCTAGATACACCTGCTCCAGCAGTGTTTTTGGAATCTTTCGTGAGTCTGCCTTTTTTAATTGAACGGCTCCTTGATAGAAAATCGCGAACAACTCGACGAATAATAGAAAATTGACTCGAAACGGCGAAACACCAGTGGAACCACACTGGCTTATTTAAGAGTTAATCGCGGAAGGAAAAGCAAAAAGAATATTGTTGGAGACAATCAAATTTTTCTCATGCACTTACTGATTATGACCGGCTATTCAAAGCAAAAATGACTGCATTTCGGATTAAAATTCAGCCGTTGAATTGAGTAAGAAAATCGCATTTTTAAACAGACCTTTGGTAAATATTTACTTTTCCCGCGAGCCAAAGATCAGTTTTGCAATATTATGCAAATTTCCGTGAATACATGATCATTATTCAGTTCTATCTCGATGTAAGGAGTTGCTTTGCGACAATCTATAACGTTGTTGTTAGAAACAGCATTTTTTTTCGAAAAATTTTCTTCAATATTTCACACGTTTTCCATATATCCCTAATTATCAAAAGACCAGAAAACTGTGAACGCTATTCTCGGTAGTTATGAAGAAATAAGCCAGTAAAAGATTATTGAAATTCATAAACGATGAATAAAATAAGTGAAAAAAAAAAAAAATCGAGCCTTCTTTGTTATTTGCATCTAATGGGATTGATGTACTATGTCAGAAACAAGTTTTTAATCCGAGTGGACATGTGACTACATTAAAAACATCCACATTTTCTTTTTTCTCTTGAGGTACCCTATAGAGAGCTGCGTTTTTAAGGCAGGAATTGTTGTGGGAAGTTAACGTAACGGTTTTTCGAGTGGATGAAAACACTAAATAATTTTAGGCCTTTTAAACCACGCAAAAAAAAATTTAAAGTGATAAAATTTATTGAGACATCTGTACTGTCAGACTTCAAGAAATTTCTCGCAAATTTCCTTGATTATTCGATTATCTTCTATAAGGCCGCTGTCTATATACTGTTGAGTGTAGTCAGAGCAATCGCGTTTAGGCCATTCCCGTAATACTGTGTTGCTTTTCATCTCTTTCCTCACTGATTCATTCTTTTTTTTCCCAAAATACAAAAAAAAGTTTCCAATACACTGTCAGGTAAAATTTTGATGTCAAACTGTTTAATTTCACATCCTCGATTTTACAGCAAGCGTGTGATCAGTACTCTAATCATTTCTGCCTGATTTTTTAGCGCATATAATTATATTTGACATAAAATTTTTGGGTTACATTTGAAAACAGTGTAAATAAATTCGCTTCACAAGCAAACAGCATGGTGTAAACGGGCCATCTTACTCAGCACGCAGGCTTTTTTCTTGAATTCAACTCAGGCTCCCTCGGTCATTTTTCATTTTTGCCCCATCGACCCAGGCCACTTTGATGACAAGAAGAAACAAGCCATTTTAAGGCATAGCATGACTGAGTTGAAGATAGATGATAAAGTTGAGTTGATTTTACTATTTCTTGACTTGACACTCATTCGAACCTAACTTGAGTTACAACAATTCACTTGAAAAACAAACTTTCATATTTGCCAAGAGATCTTTAGACATTCTACAACTGAAATGGTTCCACAAACCTGTGAAAGGTCAAGTGACATTTATTTAAATTGTGCGATGCGGCTCCATAAAAAACAGCAGCTAAGACACTGGTCATTATTAATGGTGGATTTTTTTTTTGGGGGGGGACCATCAATTGACTTCCTATGAGGGAGGATCATAAGAAATCCTCCGACTTCCCCCAACCCCCCCCCCCCCCGACTCCCACCTGAATGGTGCAGTGATGTACGCAGCATAGGTAAGGACCGACATGGATGCAGTGATGTACGCAGCATGGGTAAGGACCGACAACTTAAAACCAAGAAACTGATCTCAAGTTACATGTATTGTGAACTGAAAACCGTTAGATTTTAACCTCCGAAAGTGGCGTGCATTGCACCTCCACAATTTGCGTTAAATTACAGTCATTATGCACTAAACTGCTTTTCACTTTTTTGACAGGGTTGTCAATGCTTTTTTAATGAATTAAGCCGACGATGCAACGAGTTTTCTCTGCGCCTTTCTACGTTCAGTGTTTCAAAGTTGAGAACATTTTAAAAAGCGTGCCAGAGTAATGACTCGTACCCACGTGGGATAGCGTGTTTGTTTCCTATTGGCTGGTTCAAATGCACGGGTTCTCTACTTCATGCATTTTTTTTTTCTTTTTTGTGAAAACAGCAACTAGCGAATTTATAAACGGATGGTTCGTCTCGCTTGTATGTTACGTTGGGACTCAGTCTCAATGCGATTTAGGAAATTTATGTTCTTTTTTGGACCACAGTATTGCCCACAATTAAACTTTTGCCTAGGAAAATGCTGTGAATTGAGTAGGAGGGAGCGGGGGGTCGTCACACTCGCGAGGGAGCTGATAATAACGGATAGGTTTTGTTACTTGAATATTCTACATTTTTTCCTCTCATTCACCAGGTTTTCGACAAGCACCTTCCTCCCTCGTCATCCATCGCCCCTTCTCTCAGCACCTCCGTGATAACGACAACCCCAGAATCGAGGTAAATATAAAGAGCAACTTTTGAAGTACTGCCTCTCTCCCAATATGGGATTCTAATCCACTCATGCGCACGTTGCCGCCAGCCCCCCAACCCCATCGTCATACTTTTGTCCGTTTTCGTCACATGCTGACAATAATCATATGTATTCTTCGAAGAAGCGTGGCGCAAGAAACGTCCATTACTATTCACAAAGCGAATCATCTTAATAAAACGATTCAACACAAATTCATTTATCATCTATTTCGTACAACTGTGTACAATACCTTATTTTTTGCGTCATCGTAAGTAAACATTTGCGAATAAATCTCTCTGTAACACATATTATAGTAAGTAACTTCAAATCCTGATATTCAACATAACTTCACTGGCTTTAACAATATCATAGGTTATCTCACAAATGAAAATATAACCACATAGTGCGAGACAAAAGTCATCTTCGTAACCTTGAAGATTATACATATTTCCCTCTGAAGCCTTTTACAAAATTAATTAATGTGTGTATATACATATGTGTATATATATATATACACTTGTTTTCAAAAGCGTTGCAAATTTTATATGCATCAAATTTAGACCTATTTCTAAATTTTTGAACAGGTGTATATATATATATGTGTGTGTGTATATATATATATATATATATATATACATATATATGTATATATACACACACACAATATACATATATACATTTACGTATTTACTTACATATCTTAACTTTTCCCACCCGAGAAATCCAATGATATAGCGCATACAGTTTTCTGACGCACGTGAGCAAAAAGGCATCACAAGGCCAACGTCAGCTTTCGAGCTTAGGAACGCTTCTTGTTCTTATAAGTTCTGACTTCATCTGTAATCTGTCTCTGAAAAAACGCCAACATCGTCCTCTAGGTCCCGTCTCTCTTGGTCTTTTTTGAGGGAGAACGAGAAAGGACCCAGGGAACGAGGTTCAAAAAGAGCAACGTAGAATGGAATCTATTTGTTTTAAAATGATCATCCTGGACAGAGAAAGACCTCATGAGAACAAAACCTTTTGATTTGGAGTCCAACGCGTTTACAATACGCCTCTCTAGGCTCTCACAAAATAACTATATCAATATGTTAATAAATTTTCCAATGAATTCATAAAAAAAAACTTGTAGGACGTGTTAGAAAGCTTTAAACTTTACTTCCGTGACACTATGATTCAACCCTTTGATTTAATAAGGGAGTTTATGACTATAAATTAAACGAAATCATTCCAAAACAAGACTTCTCCCCAAAGCAACAAATTGTTTTATAAGTAACATATAAAGCCAGCCGATGAATCTAACTACTCCACATGTAAGAAATGAAAAACAAACAAGCTACAGCTGCTGAAATGCACAAAGTGACAATTTGTCACAACATGATCTGAGTGAGAAGAAACCTGTTTGAAAACTAACTATTTTGGCATCCCAGTTGACGCTAGCTAGCTTGACTTTGGGGTTAGATTTATTTCAGTGGCCTGAAACCTGTACAGCCATAGACATGTACGTTTACGCTTCGTCCACGAAGGAAAGGAGCCATCGCGAGGGCAATGTTTCAGTGATTCGAATTCGTATTAAAAGAGTATGACGTAAGTGGCTGTACTGCCGTCTCTCCATGTAGGGTCTGCCACTACCTTGGCTCGGCACATCGGACACGTACGCTCTCGGTCAAACCAAAGGGATATGCAGTCCTCACAGAATATGTGCTGTTTGGGTAGGAACAAAAATTGGCAAATACAAATTAAAAGAGTAGACATCAAGGAACAAAAGCTGGTTTGGGTTCGCAAACTAGAGTGCATTTCGATTGAAAAAAATAAACCAAAGTTATCTCACCGACAAATCAGGAACAGGAAAAATATCCTGGGGAGTCAATGTAAACTTAAAGTAAAAGCAGCGAACTGCCTAAAGCGCGGGAAAACACGAGCGACCGTGTCGCACTTGCTTTTAGTTGTGAATCTGATTGGTTGAGAAAGTGGCGCGAGTTTTCTGGACCAATAACAGAGTGAGATAAAGCAAAACGAAAGCAATGCCAGATTACTTTTCACACTAAAAAAAGGATTCGACTACAGCAACAAGCAGTCTCTCATAGGCAAGGTCAAGGGGCAGGAGGTGAGGGATTGACCACAATTTTTTTTTCGCCATGACTGATGTCACAAGGAGCCCTCATCCACTGAAGAAGAATTATGGCTAATCCTGGATATAGGAGAGTTGCAAACGAGTTAACCGTTAACCACTGATATCAGTAATACAGCACCTTGCACGCACGCAGCTTGATTGGATCCTTTAGCTCTTCCTGACAAATTGGACACGAGTTTCCTGCCTCTACTGTTTCTTCCTTAGAGGGGGGTGAACCATATTGCTGCACAAAAAATGTCAGGAAACAAAAGTTAAAAGAAGGTGATGCACCAACAAACATTTTGGGAACATCTGTCATAACAACAGTCGAAACAGAACGTTCTTTAGACCTCAGAGATTGAATAAGTCCCTGGTTACAGAGCAAATTCTGTATCTAACTAACTTTCTATGACTTCAAAATTTTTTTACTCAGACATGGAACCTCCATGAAGCATATTCTGTTGTTGCTTTACAACATTCTCCTAGCTCTACATATACAATTCTTGATGAAAACCCTCTTGTCACAAGGCCTGTCAGATTATTAAAATGGAACCATAAAAATATATTGAATGTCTCTTACCACATCATGGCCAAAAACTTTGCATGCAGCATATACTTCTTGAATTTTGTTGATAATCATACGAGCCTGAGTAAGATAAAGCACATTCTTATACCCTGTACAATCTGGTATACGCAACGCATCTTAAATTGTGTGGAGCAGTTATTCCTACCTTGAGTAGCAAGTATAATGTTGTTGCTATGACAGCAAAGTACTCTCCTCCATAGTTGTATTCCGTGAAAAAGGCAAACCACAGTGGAATGGGTACCAGCATGCGGTACAAATGCGAGAAATTTTCTATCAACAGGTAATACTTGCCCTGTGAATTTTAATAAAGAGAATCATGTCAACATGTCTCAAAAAGCTATTGGCATGACCATCATATCCACAAACTTTAGTTGATTCATTTTGAGCTCTGGAAGGTATAATTTGATGGGAATGGAACGGAAAATCTGACCAGAAAAGTTTGAAAGCCTGCCACATTGACACCATTTTGTCCATTTTTATGATTTGTAGTGAACACACTAACTGATGCCTTTCAAGTAAGATTTAAGCACAAAAGAAAAATGGGTTAAGTTTCTTGAGAAACTGTGGTGCTGTGTCAGTGGGAGAGTATAACAAGGTATTTTGATTAAACTGAGTTGACCTTTTGAATGAAAGCCCTTTGCTCTGACGAAGGGCTAACACCTGAAACATTAGCTTTGAAACACTTTATGATGGCCAATTTACATTATCAACTCATTTGATAAAATCAAATTACCCTACATGCATAAAAGACAGATTCTGATGAGTTCATCGATCCTCTCACGATAGAGGAAGTTTGGAGACAAAATTCTTCTTAGTAGGGAAGATGGGGAAGAAGCCTCTCTCAAGTGAGACAATCACTCAGCATGGGCAGTGTGGAGAGGCTCAGGTGTCAATTCATTAATTTAAATTATTATTGTTTAGCTTGTCCTGCAACTGAAAAAAAGAGAACTGGCTGACAATTATGACGTGAACTGGTATTTCGGATTACAGCAACTGCACGTAGCACATGAAAGATTTGTGACAGTTTATCCACCCCACTATGGCAAAACCTAAATTAACAATTTGACAGCCTGTCTGTTAGTTGTCAAATTGACCATTAGTATTAACATATGAAAAGGTGACTTGATGAAATATTTACCCTTCGACGAAATGGGATTATCTTTCTGTGTTGCACAACCACCATGGATTTTAAGGCCATTGTAATAAATCGAATCACAAAATCTATGAAAGGAAACATGTTAAAATCATCAGCTGAATTTTTTAAGGAATGAATTCAACCAGCAAATAGCTTTACAAATGTACTCTGGTAACGTACCAGTTATACCCACGCACCAAAACACAGTCCACACATCCATTCTACTGAAGAATGGCTTCCTAAAAATTAAACTGCAGACAAAACTATCTGTTATTATGATGTTAACTTGATACAGTGAATATCTCAATCAATAACTTGTTATTATTTTTGCCATCATTCAACATTCAAATTTAAGTGTTATATACACATACATGCTATTCAAATGATGGAAACGTACCAGTTTTCTAAGTGTTGGTTGTAAAACACATAGTAAATAAAGAACACATTCCCAGACAGAAAAATGAAAGTCCACAATGATATACGGTTTAGTCGTCTGTCCTGGAAAATCAAAACAGTTGTATAAGGAGTAAAATGTCATATGAAACAAATAGCTCAGAGTTTTTGTATATTAATTCTTAAGTTGCCATCTACAAGCTCGTATTCTTAACCCTTTACTCCAAAGATCTCACTTCAAATTCTCTCAACTGTATATCATACAACTCTTATTGTGTGAGTATGGAAAATTTGGTATTGGATCAACTAATAATCCCTTAATAAATATTTTTCTTTATTCTCATCATTTGCCTGCTTGATATTGTATTGATAATGTAAGGAGAAATATAAACCAATCTAGACATTGGCAGAAAAGATCTTTTTCCACATTTACATACTCTCGTCTAAACATGGTAAGGCGGATTTGGGGGAAGAATGGTTAAGATAAGGTAGAGACACATATACAAACCACAAACACAGTAAACCTTGATGTCTCCTAGTCACCCAGGTACTGTGATTTGCATCTAAGTGAAGTATATTTCTTGAGATTTGGTTACCATAGGAAAAAAGGTTACCCGTGATGACATGGTAATTTTATCATCAAAACCCCGTCTTAAACTTATTTGCACCTCACCCAACTGATAATCGTGGTAACTCGATTGAATTCTAAGAAAATAGTATAAATACTGTGTGGATGTGTATGAAACCGTTTTTCTTTTTCTTATGCAATAATATCATTGTGAGTAGTTCCACAGAGATCTAGAGCCTAAATCAGTTAATGAGGTTGAGCATTCTGACAACACTCCTCAGTAACTGCTAAATCGATGACGGAAGTTGGACCTAAAAACGAAAGTTGTACGTTTATTTTCAGGCTTTACCTTTAAAGACACTTGTCTTTTGATAGTGCTGTTGGCATGAAGAAATGTCCCACATAAGCCGATGAACACCAGAATACCTTCAATTAGAGAAATCAACGATTACCACCTTTCAAGCCATTTCCTTATTAAGTCAGCAACAAAAATTCGATACGCAAAGGAAATTCAAAACACGATAATTTAATGCAACAGGGTAAAACAAAGTCTAGATCACCAACCTAGTCGATGATCCCACATAATTCTACTCAGAAGTAAAATCACAAACGGAAGGCTTTTTTCCAACCACGAAATTGTTCCCTGAAATTCTACTCTGTCGCCTGCAGCGCGGCCACTGCCGTTACCAGAGGAATTGGAGTTTCCCGGCGCCATGTTTGCATCGCCATGTTCAGCGTCTGCTTCGCTCGAATTACCAGAATTTACGTTAACAGCGGTAAAATTAGACATCCTGTTCGTTCCTGTGTCTTCTTCATCATTTGCATCTCTAAGAACCTCGGCTATGTTGACGTAAGATGAAGGGGAGAGAGGAGAGAGAGGTGAACTAGCCGACGATCGAGATCCTGGACTGCGATGACCGAAACTAGGAACAAACTCCCGAATAACGGATCTGATCGGGTTCAGAGGCGCCAGAGTGATTTGTCCATTCCCTGAAGTATATGACCACGAAGCTGACCGAGAATGGCTTCTTTGATGGAAGGTAGACGGTGTCCTCGAACCGGGAGAATAGGCATTATGATCAGCCGCCATGTTTTGGTGTGACGACTGTTTTCCTTGGACATTTCGCATTACCGTGGAATGAATCAATGTTTTCCACTGAAAAGACCGCTGGATATTTCTCTTCGCAGGTCACCCACTCCCAGTCCCTCAACTTGTGCGGCTAACACGTTCAAATGCCTCAAAGCGTTTCTTTCTTCAGCAAATAATGGTGACTATTTTTGAAATGGGGGTAATTTGAGATGGGTGAAATTCTAAGGCATTTTCTCAGGAGTTAATATGATAGCTTTTAAGTTTTTTTTCGTAATTCATAAAAAACGTGTCACGAAGATTACCTTGAAAAACGAAGGCTAAATTTTAGGTTGCACAAATCGTGCTGGAATGCCAATCATAGAGAGTAATTTATGCGAGCAAGAAGCCTTTGTACATTAGACGAGAACACCGTATGTCATCAGTGGAATATATTGTAAACATACATATGTCTCCTGCAAACATCTCACCAACAGACCATGAGTCGTAATGGGAAACTGCATAAATGCTAGTTGAGTTGACCGTTTGCCACTATTAAATCAGGGTGCATATTTTCCATACTCTTCACTGAACATTTCAAAGGTTCCGACATACATAATTTCATTAAAAACCATGAGCTTCTTTAGTAGTTGCTCAATTCCATTATTCTCGTAATCTTATCGGGGTGATATTGTAAGGAGAAATCCGAAATTTGTCAATCATAGGGGTCAAAGGAATAAAACTTTTTAACATCTGAGGGGATAACAATTTTTTTTTCGTGTTAAGAACTGTTTTGTATAATAATGACAGAAATTGGAATAGCTCTTCTGCGAGTCTTGTTTACGTTCAGGCGGGTCACTACTCTCGTTGATCTTAACCCTTTAACTCCCAAGATCTCATTAGTAATTCTCTTTACTGTCTGCCGTACGATTCCTATGATTTCAATTTGGAGAATTTGGCATTGGATCAACTAATAATCCCCCAAATTGATACTTTACTTTATTCTCATCACTTCTATGCTTGATATTGTATTGATACTGTAAGGAGAAATTCTCTCTTGGTCACTCATGGGAGGTAAAGGGTTAAAGGTACCACATTAAAAGTTAGACGTTTCTGATTTGCTAGAGGACTATTAATTATAAGGAATCGAGTTTGATGGGTTGACTAGCAATCTGATTGTTATAACGTGATGAGTGCAAGTGATTCACCGACACACAAGGGCATGATATGTGCGGGTGAGTCACTGTTGAGCGTTGCGTGATGTGGGAAAGCGAGTAACTGATGTATGGTACGTGATGTACATGTATGGTACATGACGTGTATGCAAGTGAGTCACCGATGTATGAAGCGTGATACGTGCGTTTCAGTCTCCGTTGAGCGTTGCACGATGTGTGAAAGTGAGTCACTGATGTGTTATGTGGGACCTATGCAACCAAGTCACTGATGCGGGATGCGTAATGTACGTAGGCAAGACAGCGTCACGCGTGCAAATGCGTGACTAAGTTGACGACCATTACGTCTCGATACTTCTTCGTCTTATGGATCAAAGGAAAGGACCACTCAAAATACGTGTAGAATTAGGTGTTACGTGTAAAACAAGCAAGTAACCTCGAGAGAAAGATAATAACGACACGCCAAGTTTATTTATTTTCTCGCAGAAAACAGAGATGTATCTTCTAATTGACAAATGTTTCATTTAGTTTTCCTGCCCTGTCACTAAAACCATGGATGACAAAACTTGATAATTTATCACCTGACTCTTCCTCAGCTAAGGCATTTTGAAATATCGTAAAAAATCACTGTCATTGTAGGACTAAACATTTTAAACTGAATTGAAATGAATTTAGAAAAGAGATGTAAATTCTCCGAAGGAAGCATTCTTTTTCCTTCTTGCCGAGATTTGGAAATGCAATCATGGCAGTCCACTGGTTTTGGCGGTTTTCATATTCTGAAAAAAAGAAATCAAGAAATCTCTCAAAACTTGTTTTAGTGTTAAAAAACAGACCTAGAACCACGTAAAATGTTCTTTATTGAGATCGTCGTTTGTACCTACCCGTGATCACATGTACATGACCAAAAAAAAGTTTTGAAAAATAGTGGAATTCTGGATTTTTGTCAATCTCTTGTCGGGCATTAGCCGGGTGATCCTTCGCCATCTCTTACCTCCCATCTCCCTCATCAATACAAGAGTGGCGCAAGTCTTACTACGCCCTACTACTTGTTGAATTTTTTCTATAACTCTCATTTATAACCCTCTTTCCCCCATTCCTTGGTTGCCTGGTGTTAACAAAATGCTCGCTAATATCAAACGAAGTTGTTTGGGAGGAGGAGTGTGGCGGGGGGGGGGGATTTAAGTAACTTGTCACAGATGAATTGCAGGCTTTCTGTTTATTGTTTTGAGTGGAGGGTTGTCGAATGCCTGGCAAGGAGAAGCGTGCCAACTACTTTTGCCTCTCATTGTAGATCTGTATCCGAACGGAACGAGTCTTAGAGGTAGGTCAGTTCAGAAAACCAATGTATGCAACTCAACTGGGAAATGGTGTTCTACCGCAAGATGAGGATTGAAATAATTCCAGCTTGCGTCTCGCTCAACTCACTCACCACGAGCGCCAATTAGTTGGGTGATATCTATCCCTCGCTCACTTGTGATCTCGCTAGGGGGTTGTAAGCTTACAAGGGTTAAAACGATTACGGTATCATCATTGAAAATGGAATTTAGCTGTGTATGTACAACGTTGCCTTTTATTTCTCTCGAGCAGTTTCCAACTGAGTGTAAAAAATGATGCGAGATTCGTTCGGTTTTACTCTGGTTTGCCCCATGATTGGTCTAGGAAACTCGCGCCACTTTCTAAACCAATCAGATTCAAAACTGAAACCAATCTCGACTTAATCGCCGCGTTTTCTCGCGCTTTAGACAGTTTGGTTGTTTTTGGTTTTCCTTTTTTTCGCCTCAAGATTGGTCCACAGAACTCGTGCCACTTTCTGAACCAATCAGATTCAAAATCAAAACCAATCTTGACATGGTCGCTGGCGTCTTTCCGCGCTCTAAGCAGTTTGGTGTTTACCCTCATATTTCCTTTACAACGATTAGCTGGCATTATGGCTTTGATATTACGACGTCCAATGAGGTTCAGCTGGGTTACTAATCATGAGCAATGTTGGTTGAGACACCATATCATTGTTACCAAAGTCTAATCTGTCATTACTTACCAAGGTCCCACTGGTTCAAAAACATTCTGACCAAACTTTCCGAGAATGTTTCCCTGTGGATAATACCGAGCCACTATATAGGTTTGAATTTCGCCCGATGCATCCGGCCCTATGGTGGCAAGACCCGCTCCGACACTTGTGGTCGCATTCCAAACAACCTGACAGAAAAGAAACAAACAAACGAAGAAATCACATATTATCATTAAAAAAGAATTGAAAATGGGAGTCACTGTTTTTTTAATTAATTTTTGACTTTTGTTTTGAATTTAGTTAAGCTATAAGTAAGGGAGTGTTGGTTGGAATACCTTCGTTTTGGCAACCTATCATTTCGAGATGGTTATCATGAGATCTTTTGAATATTTTCGTATTTAATCTATTCTATTTGTTATTACTATTATTAGGACTGAGTTATGGCTGAAAACTTTCACAGGAGGGCTTGGTCTACTTAATTCACCCAAGACGCTTCAGAGCAGAAAACACAAAGCTGAATAAGTAATTATTTCCCAAAACAGTTCGCGGTTAGTCATCGTGGTAAATGCACTTGTATACGAAGTGAGATCGTTTATCTCACGATTTTATCTCTTAACGAGTGCATACTGTAAATCTTCTACAGGCGAGAAGGTCGAACCCTCTTATTAGCTGGATTCTCTGCTCGCCAGTTTCTCCCGCCCTTTAGGTCACATGGTCTCCGTGACTCGGAATGTTTTGCGTAATGGCGGTTGTTTGGTTGTTTTGTCATCGATAAGAACGTTGTTAATCGCATGCTGTTGCACTGCATATTCAATAAAAATAACGAGGTCTGCAGTAATAAACATGGAGAAATTTACATCAGAGGAACTTTAGTCCTCTGGTCCTCACACCTCGGATTTATTACCCAATTGCGAAGCGTGCAGGCCGTAATATTCGAGCAAAAGATAAACAGGCTCCGTAACTGAAAGTACGGACCGATAAAACGAAGTTATATAGTCACTAATCACATCTCATGGGTTCAAACAGAAAAGTTAAGATTCCAATTCAAACAGAACGGGGTCTTACAGTGAACTAAGGCCAGCTAAATTGACCAGTCATAGAGAAAGTACTAACTAAGAGGTATGATAAAAGTACTTATTTATTTTCACAACTTTGAGATAAAAACCTGAGTGAAGTGACCAGCTCCCATGTCGAAAAATTCCTGGGACGTTGTGGGTGGATTCTGAAAGTCATAGAGAGACACCTCACTGTACCTACAAGTATATCGGAAGAATCAGTTAACAGGAATAGCAGTACAATGTTAAAGTATTTAGTAATCTTTAAAAAATATCTAGTACAAAGGACAACATAGAGCTCTGAACACATTAATATTCGACGAACACTCAACATAAACCTCTGTAGAATGTGAGCGTAATTATCTTTTAGTCGGAGAAAAGGCTGAAGTAAACAAAAAACAAAAAAAGCGATTTAAAGAATATTTTGCAAAAGTTTGGTAAAAAATCCTCGTTGAGAATTACTTTCATGGTTGTTACTGAGACAGTGTGCTTGTTTTTTTTTTTTGCGGAGTTCTTACTGGCTTCTCATGAGATTTTCCGTCACTTTGAGTGGCGCGTGATCTTGTAACAACTTACCATGATTCTACAGCTTGTGCACACGTGCCTTGAACTTGTGAAACGGATGCGTACAGATTTTCCCCCTCATCTATATTTCGCTCGTGCTGCAAATCATTAATTGACACCAAGTATTCTGCCCATTCTTGCGCATGTTGAGCTAGCGTAGAATTCCAGATCAGCGCTGATGTCCCATGAAGAGCACGCTTGTCATTATGAGCTTGCAGACAGGCATCTTTTTCATAAGTGAAAAAAAAAATTTAACGACTTTTATTAAAATTAGGCACAAAATCGTAAAAGTCATCAAACTGAATTAAGATCACGCAGAGCTGACGTTAAGCGATGTTAGACTGAAACTACTTAGACCGCATAGAGGAAAAGGCCTGCAAGTAACTGACGGAGAGGATTTATCTGATTAGCCTCTCAAAACACGCAAAAAGTTTTCTTTACTTAAGCTTTGACAAAACCTTCGACTGTCATCAGTTTAAATACAATATAAATTAAAGCATGAAATTTAGAAAGCACGACTTTGCCACACCACTCTTTTTAAATACATTTAGGTTCGTGTTAAAGGAAAGTAGGTTATCATCAGTGTGACCAGAATCAAACAAACAAAAAAACACCAATAAGCAAATGACCATATACCCTCTGCAACAGTTGTCGTGGTAGCCTCCGTCGTTGGTGCCATGGTTGTGGTAGCCTCCGTCGTTGGTGCCATGGTCGTGTTAGCCTCAGTCGTTGGTTCCATGGTCGTGTTAGCCTCAGTCGTTGGTTCCATGGTCGTGTTAGCCTCCGTCGTTGCTTCCATGGTCGTGGTGGCCTCAGTCGTTGGTGCCATGGTTGTGGTGGCCTCCGTCGTTGGTGCCATGGTCGTGTTAGCCTCAGTCGTTGGTTCCATGGTCGTGTTAGCCTCAGTCGTTGGTTCCATGGTCGTGTTAGCCTCAGTCGTTGCTTCCATGGTCGTGGTAGCCTCAGTCGTTGGTGCCATGGTCGTGGTGGCCTCAGTCGTCGGTGCCATGGTCGTGGTAGCCTCAGTCGTTGGTGCCATGGTCGTGGTAGCCTCAGTCGTTGGTGCCATGGTCGTGGTAGCCTCAGTCGTTGGTGCCATGGTCGTGGTAGCCTCAGTCGTTGGTGCCATGGTCGTGGTAGCCTCAGTCGTCGGTGCCATGGTTGTGGTAGCCTCAGTCGTCGGTGCCATGGTCGTGGTAGCCTCAGTCGTTGATGCCATGGTCGTGGTAGCCTCAGTCGTTGATGCCATGGTCGTGGTAGCCTCAGTCGTCGGTGCCATGGTCGTGGTAGCCTCAGTCGTTGGTGCCATGGTCGTGGTAGCCTCAGCCGTTGGTGCCATGGTCGTGGTAGCCTCAGTCATTGGTGCCATGGTCGTGGTAGCCTCAGTAGTTAGTGCGATGGTAGTGGTAGCCTCAGTCGTCGTTGGTGGCATGGTTGTTGTAGCTTATCATATATAATTAAAAATACAGAGAAACAAAAAGTTTATGATTAAACTCAGTATAAAAGTAGTGTCTTAGAGGTTCACGTTATATATAGGCAAAGACCTGAATTACTTTCCTTTTCAGGAAAGGAACATGTATGCCAACTACTTCTTGCAAAATGGCCAGAACCTGGACAAGTTAAAATGCGTCCTAGAGTTATTGCAAGACAATTGTCACAGGTTCCCTTAGCAATTTCAGAAAAATAACGGGAAACCAGATAATTTATAACCAGTCAGAAAAACAGAATGCTTGGTAAACTAGTACCTCTCTTGTGTGTAACTTGTGATGAATTCAACCGAGTGGCGGTGCACCCATTTTGTTGGTTTTTGAACTGATCCCTAAAATGGAGTCGAACTCAAGCTTCCTGATCATTTGCCTCTTCTAAGTTAAACGACAAAAAACTAAAATTTTCAACTTACGAATACAATTTCCACATGTTGCGTTGCAGTTTACGGCTAAAAAGTCACGAAAAAAGCTGTCAGGCCCACAGAGACCCAAGGCCAGATAGGCCTCGCAGCTCTCCAATGTGTCTGCAAGGCATACTGAAAAATGAAAGAAATAATTCGTTAAAATCCTCGTTCCTCACAAACTTGCGTGTAAAATTTACAATAGCAAAACTTTGCAAAGGTCACGCCTCAAAGATGGCTTCTTGTGTTCATGGATGGAGCCCAATCAGGGTGGTGATTTACTCCCGTGTAATGTAATGCGTGTCGGTCTTATATTCTGGATTCCACGCTGTGTATTCCGAATCCCAGGTTCTAAAGTCCGGACTCCGTCCTACTAGATTCTGAATTCCATAAGGTTGGATATTATTTTTATTCGCAAAAATCCTTGCTTTTGCGCGCCTTGCACCTTACAAAGGACTAACCAAGAGAGAGAGAGAGAGAGAGAGAGAGAAAGAGAGACAGAGAGACAAGGAAGGAAACAATGTATTTAGTGGATGTGAGATAAGAGGGTATGGCTCCTTTATGGCTTGAGAGACAATCAGCGGACAAGAACATAGTTTGATCTTTCTTTTTTTTTTTTAAGAAAAAAAGAAGACCCACTTGGTGGAGCAGTGGTCGGTGGTGAAGTGGTCGGTGGACCTGAAACAAATACAAAATATCAAAAGTTTGAGTGAAGGGTAAGCTTACCCAAGAGTCAAAACTTTTCATACAAAAAAAAGTTTGGGTTGCAATTTTAGAAGCTTAGAACACGAATATCCCCCCCATCACCCAATCTTCCCAAAATGTCTTCCACATAGCTCCTAGTAATTCATGACTTGTGTGTCTGCAATCAATTTGAGACGATGGAAAGGCAGGCAGAGGTCCAAGAAAATACTAAAACGCATCATCACCTGCTCTTATGAAAAGATGACGATGTTGAATATTTTTAAAGACAAGTTAGCGATATATTCCGCACTTAATCGTGGAGGTTTGAGTCCCTCAAAATATTCCTTCGAAGGAGAAAGAAGGGGCTAGAACCTCCCCTTTCCCGTCTACTTATACTTTTGCTGAATACAAATTAATTTACTTATATACAAATCTTGACCCCAGCTGGATTTGCGTTAAATTAACCAAGCTCGGGGTCTCTATTCATGTTACTAGCTGAGTTTGGCTAAGTGCTCTCTTACTATGTAACATAAAATTTACCATTAGAGAAATCGAATAATAAAAACAATGGTACACTAGGTTCAGAACTCTTCAAAGCGAAAATGTATCGGTTTAATAAAACTCCTTCCTATTCCACTTACGTTGACAAAATCCACAGGAGAAAAAGCAATTCTGAAGTGCAAAGCTAAAAAACAAGGAATCTGGCTCGCAGAACCCGAGTTCCACATAAGATTCACAGCTATTTAGCTCGTTAAGTTGATCAGGGGTACATACTGAGGAGAGAGAAATTAGATTCATGGTCAGTAAATGCAATCCATTTTTCATAGCAGTTTCTAAGTGAGTTTCCAATCCAGATCAGTGCTAGATGGGAACAACCAAGACTTAGTCACCCACGTTTTACCTCCGATGAATGCGAAAATGTTAATACCTGGGACGAATTAATGACGCACACCAAAGCGAGACATTCCTACTTGTTCTCAAACTGCTTCTTAGGGCCTGTTTTCATGGAGCTGGGGGACCCCGGGTTAGTAAGGTAACCCGCCTAGCTGTGGTCGAAAAAAAAACGCGTTTACGTACAATCTTACAAACCCCGAAGTGCTGGGGTGAGGTTTCTTGAGGTTGTTGTTGCGCTTGTTGAGCAAAGTTTTGAAATGCATACATGTATGTTGGGAAACGAAATTGGTCGATTTTTTTCCAAATGAACAAGTTACACTCCTTGTGTGTCCGTTGCGGTTTCTGGTGATTCCTTCCATGAGACGGCTAGGAAATGTACAAAGTTTTAAAACATACATGTTTCGCTTTTGAGCTTTTTGCATGAACGCGACCCCGGCTAGGCGGGTTACCCCACCTTGAGACGTTTACATGGTAAATTGTGTCACCCCAGCTGACAGGGATACCCCAGCTGACAGGGATACCCCACCTGACAGGGATACCCCACCTGACAGGAATACCCCACCTGACAGGGATACCCTACCTAGCAGATCGAGCAACACGCCTAGGCGGGTCACCCCACCTATCATGTAAACGTGATCAAGATAAAATAAGAAATTATATGGACAGGTGGGTTACCCCACTTAGGCGGGTTACCTCACCTACCTGGGGTCCCCCACCTCCATATAACAGACCCCTAATGTTGCCCTGGAATTTAATTAAATGGCAATTTTTAATACTAAGGAATGAATCAGGAAGGACGTTTACACATTTCCGAAGCAAATGGCTTCTTTTTGGCTGATGCAATTCCTGGAATTATACACTGATTTGGTTAAACATTTCAAAGTAGAACGGAGCACATTAAAACGCACAACAGTTCGATGTCTTTATGGTATCATTGTTAAGTGGAAAAGACAGCAAGAGTATTTCAGTTGACTCCCTAACTTTTAACAATCACAGAAGCTAATCAGCAATGATTAATATATACCAGATACCACTTCTCGTCTTTCACTTTAAACATATTGCACGACCCGAAAAATCTACTCGCATCATATCAGCTTAGCTGTTTTTATTCATTTCCACTCGACTCGTAAGGCGTTGTATCATGGCAATATCAAAGCGTCGTGCTTTTTTAAAATATTTGTTTTTTGTGTTATATTAATAAATGCAATCCTAAAACTTAATAAATGCAATCCTAAAACTTACTTGGTAGTGTAGGGACCGCAAACTCCACTGTAAACAAGAAAAAAGTTGTATTAAAAAAAATCATTTAACTCTTTATATCGGAAAACACGGTTAAGTGACATTACATGAGGGGTATGTCTAGGCACCCGCACGCCCCTTTTTTTTATTTACCGCATTATATTTGTTTTTATTAGGCAAATATCAGAAGGGACGTGGTAATGAGTGATCCAAGGTAAACCTTAAGGGTGGGGTTTTTTCGAATTTTGTTTTGCTTTTTCTCAGCTTTTTCCAAATTAAATGTTCTGTAAGTGTTTATTTACTGGAACTTTTATTGGAGTGTGAATGATGAAAGAATTATCATTTTGGGTGGGGTTCTTCGAAATACATGGCTCACACTCGGTATGCTATTCGTAAGCGACAATCATTGTCGCTTACGAATAGCTGGACCTGTACTCAGGGGGCTGGGACTGGAGTGAGCTTTGAGGAAACATAAGGATTTTTTCGGTATCTATAGAAAGGGTCTACCGATAAAGTTCACACAGCTAACGTCTCTTAAAAAACTTACCTTGACGTCTCACTCTGAGTTCCGCCGGCAATGGACCAGCATAGCAGGCGACATGAAACGTGAATAGAACAAAGGCCGTGAGGACGTGCATTTTCCTGAAAAAGATTACAAGAAAAGCTTTCGAATTAGCGCTTACATGAAGGAAAAAGGGGTCTTTCAGGAGATAAAATTACACTGTGAGACATCTAGATAGAAGAAAAATCTAAAAAAAAATTTAATCTCAGCTGTTCTGGTTTTGTTTGCTCAAAATTCAAAAGCTACATTCAGAGAGTCTTCCATGTTATATGCTGTCCAAATTAACATCAACTCATTAAAACTTTCCATATTAAATAAATTACGAATATCCATTCATTAACGTGATTTTGCAAACAAAAGAATCTTTATTATGTTGGCTAATTAACGTTCAGGCCCTTGTTGTTTTTTTTGCTCACCTCTACGATCAAATATTTATCTCCTAAGAAAATATTAGTTTACATCCTTCACTGATATTTGAGAACCTTCTGGTCAAAAGTTGGAGTGAGAAAATAATATGGCTTTTTTTTTTTTCGCTTCTACCTCTAAAAAAAGTGCATGATTCGCTAACAGGATGATACAACTCACTAGTGAGTTTTTATGATGAAGAAGACTTAAAAGACTGTTTTAATTTTCAGTCAGAAGAATTCCATGAAATGTTGAAGCACTTAAGTTCAAAGCCAATTATATTTATGCAAAGTTAGCAAAGAACAAACACGGTTGATTCTAAAAAAATTTCTGGCCGATTTTAAATTTATCCACCGTATTTGCACGAACCAAAACATCATATGGTCGGCATTGATAATGATTAGCAAGAAGCTTTGCGATCTTTAGAAATTTTTATTTCTATTTGAGCGTATTGTCCTGGCGGTGGAGAAGGTTGACTCATTATCCATAAACATTTCTGAATTTATTTCAGGCATAAAAATCTTAGAGTTCAGTTTGAAGCATCACCCAAAGTTATTATTCTACGCCTATACTAATTATTCCGTAATCATAACGGTCCCAAGCTGTTTATGTGCTTTCTATTTACATACTTCAAATGCTAGAGATCACAACATTGAATTGAAATGAACCCACAATGATTTTGCTGTGTTGGAAATATAGCGAGACCAACATTTTGCTATGCCAAGTTTAACCAGGTAATCAGAAATAGACTCTACTGAAAAAGATAACAAATAGCTCACTAACCTTACCTTTAAGTAAAGTCCACTTGATAGAACTTTCTCTCTGGGAAGACGCTACTGAATGCCAATACTCCAAGGTATATACGAGTTTCATAGCATTATATTAATATTAGCAACAGATACCATCGACATCACGTCGGCGCCCATGAAAAATACGTTGCTAAATATTAAATATTGAACTAAGCTGCCTAAAAGGAAAAAAACCCGACGAAAGCCTCTATTTGTAGGTTTTGGTTTAAAACATGCAAAAGAAAACCAGCAGCATTTGCTCAAAAATATTGTTTTGCCAAAGGGCTTCAAAGGTTCATTTAATCCAGCTACAAATATCTCTTTATGGCATATTGGCTTCGATTACCAAAGGTTGTCAGTCTTGAATGAGAATTTTTGAAGTAAGTTGATTCAAGTAGCCGATTAGTTTTCTAGACTCGGATGTGGTTGCAGATCCACAAGTTGATGTTATTCAGCGAGGGCAGTGCAAAAAACAGAGCTTTGTTCCAGCTTTGATTAAATGAAAAGAAATACATTTATTCCAAATATCATTAAATTTTTTCGATACAACTTAGACTGAGAGGAAAATTTTGACCTACGTGAATTGATTTTTAATTTAAAGATGTTTTCATTTAGTTACAGAGTCCAGTATATTTATTCGAATGATTGTCATAGAACAGCAAAAGGCAGAAATTTACAGCCATGACAAAGTACACAGACATGTCCAACGTGTCTGAATTTTAAACATTTCCGGAGCCTCGGTGAGTTCAATATAAAGCCACAAAATTTTATGTATTTATCAATAAATAAACTTGTCTGTGGCCGTTTTCATGATATAAAAAGAGATATATATATATATATAATTCATTCATCTATTTCAGCGGTTTTTTTTTGTCCAAAAACCCTCCATGTGATTACATCGGATGCTATGCGTTATAACTGAGCAGTAGGTTTCAGTCCTCGAGTCCTCGCTCTTAGACTGTTTCTCCCGTCAAAATAGAGGGTTGGAACTGGTTGAATACAAAAATGGGAAATTTAATTGGTAGATAAACATGGTTTAATTCATTGTTCGCTCACCAGAAATAGGAAATTGGACAAAAAAACAAAGGTTTCAGCTTTTACATTTGTCACTCGTGTTCAATATTTTGCATAATCGTCTTTCGTTCCGTGTGCCGTTTGCAGAGAGTTATCGGTGTTTACCTCATACCATGTTTTTCGATTGAGTGTCGTAAAACCAAAACCAAAGTAATCACAACAGTTCTAATCAGAAGAAAGGAAAATATCTTTAAGAACTCATGACCACTCAAAGTAAAACCGACCAAACTCAATAAAGCCCGGGATCTCGCGGGCGACCAAGTGGTGATTGGTTTTAGTTTGCACCTGATTGGTTGAGAGAGTGGGGCGAGTTTTCTGGGCCAATTACAGAGCGAAGTGAATCAAAAACAAAAAACAGTCCCGTATTACTTTCGACACGCTCTATTACCCGAAAAATGTCTTTCGAGGCAAGAAAGAAACCGAGCAATTAAATAACCGACCATTAATACCAGCAATTGAATGAACATACAGCTTTATAGTTAGAACGGATCAGAACGGGGCAAGGTAAACACAATCCTGGAACAAAAAGTGATTTCTTATTGGAAAGGGTTTGAGTCATGAAAATATCACAACATGGAATGACAAAAGAACTCTTCAAAGATTTTTTATCATTCAATACCATATTTATTGATTGGCTGTATTTCTTTATTATTTCACCTTCGCTGCACTTTCATCATCCTGGTAAAAAAGGAAGAAAACAGAAAGGAAAATTATCCCACAGGCTACAAATCTCTCTAAAAAAAATAAGCATTTTAGCATTTTTGTGAGACTTTTGTTTCGTACAACAAGGCATTCCGCGTTTTAGGGTATTCCGTCACTCCGTGTTAAGGATATTCCACCATTCCACCGTTCTGTCAGCCAATCTATAATAAACCCAAAGTCCTTGCTTGCTTCGCAAATTTAGGGGCTCTCTCGGGCATTAGTTGCAATTAAAGTGGTAAAATGCTCTTCGAATGAAAAAAAGATCCTCAAAGTCTTCACAATGTGCAGATCACACCTATAGACATATTTCTGTAAGGAAAGGTTTTGTTTTCAATTACACACAATTTAATACTATTACAATATAAAATTTAAGGACTGTTAATTTCAGGGGAATGGCACTGACTGTTACGATGTTAACAAATCTTACCGGGAGGATAACCACTACAGCGGACTCCTCTTGCGAGCTCAAGATTTTCACTAAGAAGTTTATATTTCAGTGATTTTTAGATGGTGGCAAAACGTTTGTACGTGACGCGTGATTAAGCCCAAAATTGATACGTGACCGTGAATCTTAGAAAAAGGCAAGGTAAGGGAGACTTGAAGTTTTCCTTTTTAAGTTCTGAACGCGTATAAAATTGTTAAAGGTACACGTGATACTCATGCGCGAAATGGAATTAGGACCCCCTTCCAATCCCTATTCGGGAGGAGTTTATATTTTTGAGGAGTTAGTCCAAATCAGTTGTGGGTTTATTTTAATATACCGACCTGTTGAATGTGATATACAAAATTGGTCAAATCTCTTCCAACTGCATGTCCGCTTTGGCTATTGAAGAACCAACAATGACCACTTTTTCCATATTTGGAGTAAGTTTTCCCAGCATCCTTTCCACCGAAGCACTCTCCGTAAAATTGAACACTAAAGTACTCATAACCTTTGTGAAAAGCCACACGTGCGCACCGGTTTACCGTCAAATTCATTTTTGTCCAAATTATCTGTGATCGGAAATTGGCGTAATTTACGGGCAGAGCACGATCAGTAATACTGTCATGGTAACATCCAATTGGTTGAAAGCTTGGTAGTGGCTCTACAGAAGAGAGTTTTCGAAAGCGTTATAACACTAGTGAGTGTTAATATTTCTGCAAATGTAACAGTGAAATATCTCCACGGTATACATTTCTAAAAAAGATTAGCAAAGATTGTACCTCTCCATAGGCTTATCATCCATCACTTCATCATTGCCTCTCAAGCCCATATTTTGAATTAGTTAAATAAGTTTTTGTTTACTGCTGATTTGTATTTAGAGACTAGTCACTATTTGTCGCCTGGGGAGGGAGGGGGGGGGTGGGGACAGAGGATTTTGGTCATGTCCTGCTCTCTCGACAACGTTGTGTAAAATTTTTGTGACCCATGTTAACCATGTTAACCCCCTGAAATCTTCCGACTCTTCCCCTCCTCCCCCCCCTCCCCCTCGCGATAACTTATGACAGGTCTCTTATTATACGTTATTTTTTTCTCTGAGGGTACGGTAACGAATCCTGCAATCTGATAGGATCTTAGCGCGGTCCGGATCTACTATATTTTCGCAACGTTTCCCGACGCCACTGGATTTGCCGGCTGTAGATGATTAACAGTAACCTCGGAATTGGCCAGCTTAGACCTTCAATCTCGCTCCTTCCGCGGATATTTTTCTCTGTCTTAACAGACTAGAACATTCCACTAAAGCTTACCTAAGGTGTAAACAAACATGCTGTTTCCCATGCCAATACCATCTCTACAGTACGACCAACCAGTTCCACTGACATAATATTTATCACTAGTATTCGGTCCAGACAAACACAGACCACTTTGGCCCAAGGCAAACAGCTTATAATTTCTTCCATAGGCCAATTTCGCGCACTTCTTGACAACTGCACTCGTGTTTTCCCACTCAATTTCTTTGGTAAAATCATGGAGTACCTCTTGAAGATTATCAGCACCATAGAAACATGCCACTTGAATTTCCGGAGGAGCTTTGAGGAAGAAAAAAAAAGAATATCGGCGGCATTTTCTTACGAGTTCATGGTAGTCTTTTTTGGATCAATATCAGCATCTGACTTTAGGGGAGGGGTAGGTACACAATTGTTCACATTGATCGGTTTTTAATTTTTGTATAGACCATTCAAACACTCTTATGAAACCAAAATCGCAACAACGTAACAACGATCACATCAGAAACTTTTTCATAACCAGCTTCTTCTTCATTCACGCAACGTGCTGTATAAAAAATGATATCAGAAGAAATGATTTTTTTTTACTCACGATCGCAGTGTTTGTCTGTGTTGCAAACAACCTCAGTGAGTGGTTTCATGGCATGATGACATAGTTCTTTCGCAGCCGGTATGATATGGCCAGCTTCGTCCGTCCGGATGCACTCCAGCTCCCTTGTCATCAAGCCACCGCCACATGTTCTGGAACACTTAAGAATACCAAAACTATCTTATTGAAGTTGTTCTATGTAGAATCTCAATAAAGAAAAAAAAGCAGTAGCTCTCCTTATGAAATTCCTTATTTGACGAAATCGTTCAATGAATATTAGTTATCAAGCGTTGCATCATATATATGTTTATACCTTGGACCAAGGCAGACCCCTCCATTCTGCCGGACATGGCACTTCGTTACACTGCTGGACGAGAGTAATGTTTGGTTTGGCACTCTCATCACAGAGCCAGTCGCTGATTATCTCGAAATAAGATTCATTAGCTTTTCTTCGACAGTAGACAAGTCGAGAATGACTCCCTTTTCCACAGGTTTTGGAGCACTCGTTCCAATCTGTTTGATGCCACCTTAAAATGGAGAGAATCTGACTATGATTATCACAACTTGAATGCTACATATTGAGCCACGGGTTGGATTAACGCAAGATGTAGGAGCCATCTGTCATGTAACTGACCCAAAGCGCGGGAAAACACGAGAAAAAAAGTCAGCCTTCTGGTCGAGAAGGTCTCGCGTCTTGTGAGGTCTTAGCGGAACCAATCGGAGAAAACAGACTGAAATAATCGACGCAAGCAATCGTTACAGGGAACACTTACTCTGGCGCGCAGTCATTCTGGTTATCACAGGCAATGTGTGACGCGGGTTTGACTTCGGCGGAACAGGAGTCAACTGATGCAGGAGTACCATCATCAGATCGAACGCAGCTGAGATCCCGGGTTCTGATACCTAAAATTCAGCGCAAAATTGTAATCAAATGTTGATTTAGTGTTTATTTACTATAAGTGCTCTTGCTTGGCCAGATACTAATAATTTTTACGACGTTGTGCAATTCAGAAAATTTATTCCGCGCTCTCCGAGATTACACACACAGAACTATATATCAAGCTAACATGTAAATTTGAGCACAAGAAATTGTTTAGATATCAAAAGAAAAAGACTTTTGTCCAATCTTCAGTTTAATTAACAATTCCTGTGTTTTCTAGCGCAATGCAAATAACAACCGTCAAATAAATTTTTCGTAACGACAGAAACAGGACGAGGTGAATGAAATCAAACGCATGCCGAATTGCCTCAATGCTCAAACAGACCAAGAGACCCCAGAAACAATACCTTGGCCACAAGTCATTGAGCAAGCAGACCAGATGCCAATGACCCATTTAGAAGAGGCTCTCTGAGCAGTTTCGTTGGATAGTAGTGGTCTGTAATACTGAAAATCCACTCCTTGATTTTTTTCATATAGAAAAACAAACTAGAAAGAGAAACAGAGGAAAGACAAAAATCCAGTAGAGACTGATGTATGCAGTCTAACACAGATACGAATATCTCATGCAAAACTTTAGCGAACAGTAAAATGCATTCTTTTTTTAACATGAGGAAGTCTATTAATCTGAACAGTTTAACTCCATACGGTATTTAAGTCGAACTATCAAAATCCATAAAAAGTTGAGAGTTGACTGTAAATCTACTGAACATGTTCAGGCTCGATTCCACTGTTGTCTCAAGCAGATTCCTCGGTGCCTTCTTGCAAAGAGCGTGAGGTTATTTTCCAAACAGTTTTTAATTATAATTATCAATAATTGTCTTTGCCTGTTATATGACTGTGATCTTGTTAAAAACCATCTTATAAGCTTTATAACCTTGGCGTCTAAGAATCATCACTAAGAAATACATGAAGAGTTTCCAATTACTCTTCTGGTTAAACTTGTTTTTTTTTTTTTTTTTATCAAAATGCAATAACATCATTGATTGAAACATTATCGTACCACAATTTCAATGGGAATTTTTGTGGGCCCAGCTACAAAAATGGAATCTTCATATCTGTTGTCTTCATGTTCGTATTCAATTTTTGTCCCATTGTAGTAAACAGTTCGACTCCATGAGGGGAGATTTATGATGTATTCGCCTGTATGAGGATCTTTAACTCCTGTTTGACAAAGAAAGGAAACATCGATGCTTTGTAAAATATTAAAGAAAACTAGAAATTATTTACAGTTAGTAAATGGTATAATTCTCTCCTTTCAAGGATCAACTTAGCTCAGGAAAACAGTGAAAAATTAAAATCAATTATTTTATTTTTTTCTCTATTTAATTTCGGTCACCTTTAGACAGCATGTTGGAAAGAATTTTCGTTCAATCAGGATATGGAGTTTCACACTAATTATAAAAGTTACAGTAAATTGTTCTGGTTTTATGCGTGGGTGTGTGTGTGTTTTTTTTAGGGTTTGAAGACGGCCATAGTCAATAGAGGAAAGGAGGACACTGCTGATTACGTGCATTTAGTAAGATAGAAAAATTTGCGGAGAAAATGAAGGGTCTACTATTGCCAAGGGAAGGATCTTGCGAGACATGCAAAAATAACAACAGCAACAACAACGAGAACATACCTAACATGTTGTAACCTTTTCCTCTCTTCTTAAAAATAGCATTGGCTGTTCCCACCGGTAAGACAATAATGGTGTCTGGTTTTTCAAAACCTGACAGGCAAACAAATATTTCTTAGTCTGTTAACAACCACGTTACGGTCATTTTTTTGCCTCAAAGAGGAATGAATTGTGGTTTTTTTGCCCATTAGTGGTCTTCCTGAGGGAGACGACCGCTGACTCTGGGTAGAGGACTACCTTACAAACGTCTCAGGTCGGTTCGACAAATTCTCAAGAAATAACGATTAAGTCTTATACTTCAGTTCACTGACGTCCTATAAGTCAGCACGCTTACGTCATCTAAGATAGTTCGCTAAAGTCATGTTATGTTCTTACCGTATCCCGTGTGAAATTTCGTGTACGTAGAATTCACCAAAATGCACGTGTCTCCGACACCACCACAAACTCCACAGCGATCTTTCTTCGCTCCAGACTCGAAACCATGGTCGCAGCCAACAACCTTTGAGAAAAACCGTGGCCGGTTTTAAGTCATAAGCAGACATGTCATGCCGTGACATGACATGTTCATGACACGTTCAGGAAATGTCATGGATGGCGTCACGCATAATCAATTATTGGTGACCAGAGCTGAATAGTTCGAAAATCTTAATACAATTTCCATAAAAAAAAGACACGATTTCTGTGCTGTATATAACTTATTAACATGATAGTAATAGGACTGAGCAGAGTCCAATTCGGTCGGTAATCAGGGATTATCAAAATCGGACGAATGTAAAGCGGGAGTCCGATTTGTCAGTCACAAGTGTGATAACAGACAGATTTAGACGGCACGAAGTCCTCTTCCCAATTAATCAAAACATGACAAAACTAGATATCGGTGATACGTTTTCATGACAAAATAAGAGTTAACTCGGCAAAATGAGCGAAAATAACGCGCGCACAAAACGCGTACTGTCCACTTCCATTGTCCTATAACAAGTATACGACGCGTGTAATGTCTTATCAGTTCTAAAACTGGGCTGGTGATAGCCAATCACATTCGAGAATTTTGTTAGAGTTTTGATTGACCTAAGCCGCGCATAATTTTTCCCCAGAAAAAGTACACACCGATAAGCTTATCTTCACATGGCTTTCAAGGAGCAGTAATGACATTACCGTTTGCTTATATCGAGAAACAGAGATCTACAAACTAACTGCAAGAAACTATCGATGCGCAAATAAACAATCGTACTTTTTTCCAAACATCTGACAAGTATGTAATTACAAAACGACTCACCCGACATTTTCCTTCGATACATACGTCAAAGATTTCAGGATGGTCAGTGCATCGTGTTCCATCAGCTACTGAGCCATAAAGTCTTACTAAATTCTTTTGAATGCAGGCAAGCCTACAAGGATCTACACAAAAATAAAAAAATAATAATAAAAAAAAAAAAGAAGAGTTATACTTTTTAGCCGTCCTCTTCGAGAAGATCCTCAACGTGTAAATTGAAATTGAGGTGAAAATCAAGTGGGCCATTTTCGAGAATGACAAGCCGTGACAAAGATATTTTGAAACCCTAGGGCTTGATGAAAGTGACTAATTTAATGTAGAACTAAATGCAGTTTGCTTTCATAATCGACCAGCCCTCTTTCATCCCTCCCATCCTGCCCTTTTGAAGAGAGTGACACACCTTATTTTCATCTCCCCGGGGGTAGGAGAGGCCCTTCAAGATTCTTTATAGGGGCGTGATGCCGAGTTCTCAAAGCGACCATGTTACGACCACGCACCCATTTTCATACTTGGCCCTGTAAAATCCATAGGCTTTTTTAGCTTCTGAAATTTGTACTTCTTACTCTTCGTTGCAGCGAATGTAAAATTCGCATCAGCGCCGAAGGCAAGGATTGGTAAACCTAACTCGGAAATAAAGATTGAGTAATATATCTCGGCTATACCTCCTACTCGTTCTATAAATCAAAGTGCTCGGTGCGCAAACTCGTGAATTGACACATGATTTTTTGGATTATGTTTAATGTTATCTGGTTTAGGGAATTTTGTGGTTGATTGTTGTATCTAGAGTACGAGCAGTAGTTCAGTGTTCGCTAATGTAGCAAAGAAACAAAGTAACGTTGGGATAAGAATGCATTACGATTGAAATGATCATGCTATTACATTTGACAAGGGTGGATGATGTCAAGTGATGATGTCAACTTATATCATTTTCGCATCTGGTTCAAAAGAAAAGGTTGGAAGTAAATGTGGGTGAAAAGTGAAATTTACTGTCTATCATTGTAAATATTAGAAAATCAAGGCAATACTGTCTTGATGAAAACATTGACGATTCCCTTTTTATCAAATGAGACAAACGGGAACTAGTTTTGAGTGATATAACTAAGCCAAGACTGCCACCGTCATTTTGGATCTCCGCCTGGGTAGATTTTAGTCACGTGCTAGGCAACGTGTAATCCAGAACAAGATAGAATTTCATTTCAGGCCTATTTATCAATTTTGTAGTGTATAACTTTCGCATTTTAGTACGTAATATTTATTTTGAATCTTCAAATTGTCTTGAAACTTAAAAGAAAATTTTTCTTTAAAAATTCACTGAAAATCGGTAGCCAAAATTGTTTGTTTAGGTGTTACTTGAATTTCCTGTTTGCTTGTAATTTCGTTGGTCGCCGGTATCTTCTGTTGCTTCACACAGGAAAAACACACGATACGAAACGTAATGATCGATTTTGTCCTAAATCTCACGCCATAACAGAAAAAGCTTTTGAACATCTGTAAACTCCGAGCACTTCGCAGTAAGTGATATTTTCAATGAATCTTCGAATTGTTTCCAAGTTCAAGAATTGTAAATTACAATTTTATGAAAAACGAAGGTTGTTCAGTTATTTCAGTGTGAATCCTTGCATGCCTGCCAGTTACTGGCGCCGCTTGTTGAAACTAAAACGAAAAAAAAAACTCTTTTAAGATTATCACTGGCTTCTTTTTCACCCCACCACTATTCTTAGAAACAAAGGTCGCCATTTCGTTTGTTTATTGCTCGCCAAAAACTATCAAATGCACTCAAAAGCCTAAGGCCGAAAAAAAGTTTACAGGAATCGACCAATCGAGCGAGTGAGCGAGCGAGCGAGCGAGTGAGAGCCATTCTCCACATCATATCTACAACTCGCTCTTGTGCATGCGCGCAATTCACGAGTTAAAAACGAGTATGTTCACACAGTCGCACTCAGAACCACACTCGTCTTTAGACCATAATCGTCGAAATCTGTACTCGTTTTCAGATCGAAGTGGCGCAAAGACCAATGATACCCTCTGAGGGCTGCACATACATACGTAACTAACTTATATGAGGGGTGGGGGAACCCCCCAGCCACTCAACCTCAAGGGACTTATCCCCGCCAAAGAACGAGGCAAATGAATCAGCAGATTTGTTTGAACTGTACTTGAAATGTAATAGGCCCTCCTCTCCGGGTGTTTCTCCATACATTGTAGATCTCGATAAGATGGCAAAGGGCACTCAATCTGAAACGAAGAACTTGGGGTCATTTCACCACAGTCTCATTGATAAACTGTTTCTTTTGATTTCCCATGCCATGAGGGGTTTTCAAGCATGAGCTGATTTAGGCGTATCATCGTATACCCATGAGTGACCAAGACAGAATTTCTCCTTACAAAATAAATACAATTTCAGGCAGACGAGTGATGAGAATAAAGAAAAACATCAATTAAGGGTTTATTAGTTGATACAATAAAAAATTCTCAGAGGTATAACCTGCAACACGCAAGTCATTCCTGCGTTTTTCTGTCAGGACCCCGGAACCCTTTTTTTTTGTCTCATGCTCGTCGAAAAATAATTTCATCATCTTTCTTCACAACATTTTTTAGCTAATAGTGATATACTGCGATAACATTTTTTATTATCAAATTAATTTTCTTATGATCGAAACAAACCTGCGAGTTGCATATTTTCCATTTTCCTCTTGCAGATCCCAAGCAGTTCTCACCGCCATTTTCAGGTCTGCAAAGAATATTTGCGTTTATTATCAAAAAGCTGTGAGTCAGTCAGTCAGTCAGTCTATCAGTCCTTCCGTCAGTCAGTCAGTCAGTCAGTCTGTCAACCAGTCAGGCAGTCTATACATCAGATAAAGGACTAACGCTCGAAACGTCAACTCTTTACGGTGGCCTTTTTACGTTTTCAACACCAAAATACCAGTTAGTCTATCAATCAGTCAGTCGGTCAATATATCAGTCAATCATTCTGTCAATCAGTTAGGTGGGTAGTCAGTCAGTCAGTCTGTCAATCGGTCAGTCGCAGTCTATCAGTTGGTTGATCAGTGGAGCTCGAATTGTAAACACGCTCAGTGGACTATGGACTAAAAGGCATACGTTTCTCATGTTCGAAAAATTTGCTGTGTCAACAAGGCTGCAGTTAGAATTGAAATCCCTTATGCTGTTATTCATCGCCTCCTAAATAACATTAAAATATGGCTCAACATCTCGACTATACGCCGAAAGAAATAGTTTTGTATCAGCTTCCTTTGAAGAAAACGCTTACGGTGGATTAGTGCAGGCCCTGGTTCTGTACTGTACCCCTCCTCCGCATGTCTGACTGCAAGAACTGTATTCTGACCACTCACCCCATCCACCATTAATTCTGGGCAAACCATTATCAACGCACTTGCCCTTGATGCACCACTATGGAATGGAATGGAGATATGTTGAGGTAGTTTTAAATAAAACTTCTAAAGCTACTTGGGATTGGTTTGTTGTGTTCTACTCTGTTCTATCGGATTGGTCTTAAAACCCTCTCAACCAACGCGATGCAAAACTGATCAAAGTTGTTCATTAGCGTCTTTTCTTTCCCTTTTTTTGAATTGAATTTGGATTTCAACAATTTAAATATGTCTAATATTGTTACAAGCGAGCCAACTATGATTACCCTCCGTAGTTATAATTAAAAAACGATCCCCACAGGGGTGTGTTTTCAGCAGTTACGGGAAATCAGCAATTGAACATAACATCACACTTTAAACATAGCAATTCTAATCCAATAAATTTTATGATGCTTGTTTTTTGTGTGTATTATTGATTGATGCTAGAGAAAAAACCGTGTTGTACTAGCTAAATTAGTAAGAGGAATACATAACAGAAATTTCGTGCCTTGAAAAAAAGGCATAAACCTTCATGATATCGATGTAACAAAAGCTAGAGTTAGTACGCAATCGTGTGCAGATCAAGTCGACATACATGGCGTGGTCCACAATTTGTACCGTCCGCCGGGGGAGCAAGCTTACTGTTGCAACTGCCGTATGATCTTGAACAGTACAAAGAGCCACAGTTTGTCTGAAATATAATGAAGGACATTAGTTTCAAATATCAGCCACCAGTCACTTCCACTTCGGTGAAATTAATTTGTGAAATTTTGCTTAGTAAATTTCCATAACATTTATAGAAACCTTGCCTTCTCAAAAGAACAATGTCGCCATCCAACGCCATAAAGAAATTCACACTGAGTATCTCCGTCAAACAAAACGCCAGGAAGGTTTCTGTCCGCTTTAGCCGAGTAGTTAAAGCCAGGAAGAGATATCCTTGGAGGATCATCTAAACATTTGGAACCAGGTCCACTGTAGAAGGAACATATTATGGTCTGTGGCATGCAGTGATCCCATTAAAACCCGCATAAGAGCGAATTATGAACGGGTGTTACAAAATTAAATTAAATTAAATTAAATTAAATACATTTATATAGCGCCATCTTCCATTAATTGTCCATGACGATTTACAATACTCTAAACACCGTAAAAATTAAAATCCTAAGAATTAAATAGACTATAACTACAAGTAAAAACTACAAATCAAATGCAGGCTTAAAAAGATAAGTCTTAAGATTAGCCTTAAAAACTGCCTCTGATGATGAAAGCCTGATCTGGAGTGGTAGTTTATTCCAGAGCCTTGGTACCGCCACGGAAAAAGCCCTTTCACCACACGCTTTAAGATTCGCTCTACGCTCATCAAGCAACCTGTTGTTTGAAGATCTTAGTGTGCGATGCGAGTCATTATACTTCTCTGAATCGAAACCAATGTGATAATTGAAAAACGAATTGCATTGAAGGAAAAAAATCAAAGGAGCCAGTGGAAGTCATTGCAAACACGCAAGTGCCTTGGGCTGTGATTCTTCACAAATGGCATTTCCTTAATCATGTTGTGCCTGATGCATTTAATCTGAAATTTTCCTCTGCTGCAGATTTTTCCTGTTTTAATTATTTATATCACTCCTGACCTGAGAAACCCTTGAAGCACTTTTTGGCTGCATGGTGACCATTTCAAGGCACCTTGTCCTCCTGGCAGCACAGGAGCCATGATGTTTACGCCAGCGGTGCAGTTGTTTCCTCCATCATGGTCCACACCGATACTGGTGATCGTAATTCAGAAAAGAGAAACGTTATTCCCTCTGTTACGAGCGTGGGCAGGAGCCTATTACTCGTAGCCTCCATACCAATTATACCCTTGAGACAACCCTATGCCGTATCTTTTTTATTTTTAGAACTGAGATATGTGGAGGGGTTCTTTGATTTCCCGCGAAAACACGCTGACGTTTGCACAACACCCTAAAAAAGTGGTAAATTTTCCTTGCTTTTCGCTATTATTGAAGTACTTTCGTGTGGCCTGCATGTGACATAAACAATAGAGGACCACAGCTCTCTTATGATTGGCTATTATGTAAACACCCGCGAGAAACCCCGAGGGAGGCTTCTAAAAATAAAAAGATACGGGACAGGGTTGATTCAGAGGGTAAGTATGGAAGATGGAAGCTCCGGATAATGGGGTCCCGACGTGAGACAAAGAAAACAAACCGTAAGTGCGCTTGGTGGTGTTAAACCACAGACATTGAATTTCGCGACACACATTCCGTAATGATCACTTGGATCAGCAAAGCCACAAGCGCCGTTTGCATGAGTGAAATTCCGTTACAGGTTTGTCGATGGAATATCTTCCCACAATTGGCAGTGATGTCGCAATCTGATTGGCCAATTTGCGGTTATCGGTAAGAGTACGGACAATGCTACTCGCGTCAACGTGTCACGCAATGCCTATATTAGCTGTCAAGCATGGGTGATTCACTCGGATTACTTGACATCGATGTTGTGGTAAAAAACAAATAGACAGTTGTTTAGCGTGATCCTTACTCTTATCGACAACGATATTCGCCATCAAAGGAGTCAAGATTTGTTGCGGATTCACTCGGCTGCTCCTAATGATCCACAATATTTTAACCGCTGTGACGACGAATATAGTTGTCGATAAGAGCTAAACCACAGCGATTTGTTAAGCGGCCACACCACCAGAAAGGACCTGATATCAACCATTTCAAACAAGGTATCTGCTACAGTGCTGTCTCACTTTGCTTAATCTATGTTTAAGTTTAGAACTCAGAATAATAGGTAATGGATTTTTTTTTGTTTCTGAATCGTTCACACATTTGTCTGGTTAATCAAAATATAATTCGCTCACTTGTGTCCAACTTCGTGTGCAATAATCCCGGCTGTTTGCAGACCAGCATAACTATTGACGTTACCAGTGACTCTGCTCGAGCACACGCCTCCAAATACGGCTAAACCTTTTAGGAAATAAGACTGATTTGGTTTTATCAACTGAGTTGATAATTTAAATTGGCCACCGTAAAGAGTTTTTGAATCTGACGTTTCGAGCGTTAGCCCTTTATCAGAGCAACGAAGAAGGGCTAACGCTTGCAGCACCACAGTTTTTTAAATCTTCAAGGAAACAACTAGCAGTTGTTTTTTCAGAACACGATACATGCGTTCTCCTTGCTACCCAAATAATTACATCGTGTTATCAGACTTAGCAGTAGCATCCAAATCGAATACGAGGGAAATGATTTTCACACACCCCCAAATGTGGCCATTCCCATAAGTAAATAACCAGCACACGTACATATTTCAGACCGAATATGTCATGATTTGCAGATACCCACAATAACATTTACGAGCTATTGGCATCACTTCGACGGCGAAATAAATAATTTGGAATTTCATATTCATTCAATATCAATTATATCAAAGAAAGAATAACAAATGAGCAAGTATAAAAAAAAAAAATAACCTACCTCCAAATCCTCCACTTTCCAAGGAATTACAAATAGGTAAAATGAGTGGGAAAAGAGAGACCAACACAAAATCATATTAAAACCTGGAATCATATCTAAAACTGTGAAACTTGTTACCAATCATTGTGTAAAGAGTTCAGTTTTCTGGTATAAAAAAGTTTCTCCGATATATTTAAAAGCATACTATTTCTAGAAAAACATTAATAATGAGAGACAGACAACCTAGTTCCTAAGCCTTGTATTTCTCAAGTTTTCTTTCTTATGGTAAACAAAGGGCGGTTTTTTTAAAGAAAGTTAAGCCTTTGTCTAGCAAAACCGCGTCCTAAACAATCCTCAATTTAGCTGAACCTTTTATCTGATATTTATTTTTGTGAACAGTATTAAGATGGCCGTAAGCTAGCAGTGGAAGGACATTTGTTTCATTAAATTAACGCTCTAGAGAAAGCAAAGAGAAAGCCCGGGGCCCACTGATTGCGTGAAACCGTGGTTTGGGTTGGACGTCGTGTAAATAACCGGCCTAAAATGTTTGTCCTAGACTAGTTGAGTTAATGGTCAGCTTTATTTCATCATAATTTATTTACTCAAGTTTACTTAACTGAGAGAAAAGTCCCCCCCCCTCCCCTGACAAAGAAGAAACAAAAGCAATGAGCGCATTCAATTCTTGGTTTTCACCCACGTGACTTTTGTCTTGACGACGGTTGCTATCCGCCATGTTGGTGCCCAAACAAATAGTTACTTATAACTAATGCTGATAGTAAGATGAAAGTGAGAAAGTAGAGATGGTCCATTGCGTAGTTTTCGGCTGTGGCAGTAGAAGTGATCGGGACAACGGGATTGGATTTTATCGAAAACCACCAGTTATAAAAAATAAGTCTGTCTTCGAAGAAGAATTGATAAGAAAGCTCGAACTGCTTCAAAATTTCGGTCGCAAAAAGTACGGGGAAATATGATCAATAAATGTTTCACTTACACATGGACAAGTGATGTCACGTCGAAAAACAGAGGATCGCTCCGATCGGCTGGTTTGATTCTGTTTGCCCATTGCCTGATTTCGTCCAACTTTTCTCCCGATGAAGAACCCTGGCTAACTCCCAGCTAAAAGATATTTCTGCCTCTTGATCAATTGTGCTACACCAAATGTAGCTATTAATTAAGTCTTATTTATCATCTTGATGAGAAGCCTTCCTTTATTTTCTTTATTATTTGACCAAATATGGTGTTTGTTTTTAGTAATTGTAAAGAATCATAGAGTTGTTGGCGTTGTTTTTTTTATTCTGTATTTCAACATTCTTATGCAGGTTAAGTTTTAAGTTAGATTTGGTCAAAACTCTCGAGGGGTGCTTTTAACCCTTTACATCCTAATATCGGTATGCACATTCTCCATACTGTTCTCTATACATTTTCTAGGGTGCTGACAAGGAGAATTTGTATAACACTCAAAAGTTTCTTTAGTTGGTGATCATTTCCTTTATTCTCATAACCTTAATGAGTGATTCATTGTGGTATCGAAAGGAGAAATTAGATGCTAGTCACTCTTCAAGGGTGTAAGGGATAATCAAGCTACCCAAGAGTACCTCTTATTAACTGATGGCGCCGCACTGCACTATGAAAATGAACTTACCTCTTTGTTAGTAATAATGACAAGACGGCTGATAAGAAAATTAATTTTAATTTTCCCGATGGAATTGTCGCGGAACGATCCAGAAACCTGTAAAACATTAAAATAACTGAAAGGATAAGCAATACATGAAAAAAAGGGCAAAAAAATAGGTACATCTTTGGTGCCATAGTAACAAGTATCTTGACAACTTGAGGAAGTCCTTGATTGAATTTAAGTACATCATTAAAACACGGTTTACCTAAACGAAACCAGAAACAGGTGATTACTTCTTTTAAGAAAGCATATCGAAGGCAACCAGGCCAAGTCGTTACCATAGACACGAGTTTGCGACTAGGTTTACTAGTTGGATGACCATGTATATTCTCATATGCAAGCCTGCATGGAATTTTGAGGAAATGCTTTTGTAACATTTTGAGTAGAAAAACGCGTGAGATATTTTATGTCAAAGAAAGGCTCGGTTGCTTGGTGAAGCGGTTGAGCTACACTCACTATGTTAGCCAAAACTAACAAAAAGTGCGCGGTCTCGTTTCCATGTCTAGCTTCCACATTCTCATCCGCTACCAGTGCAGCCTGCAAGTACTTGTGGGCGACGAGTTCCGTAGGTGAAGTTCTACTAAATATGTCGTAATTCTTGCCTGATTCTGTGGAGCTCGAAGCAACACCTGCAATGTTCAGAGAACATAGAAGAGAAAAGTCATTATTTTTCGTCCGGAAGACGAGGAGGGGGGTTGCGGGCGGGGCGGAAGTCGGAGGTTTCTGGTCAAATCACGATGAGATTACATGATCTCCCCATTAAGCTGTGTAATGTTTTCACGATACATTCTCATTGGTAGTCAATTTTAACACACCCACCTTAAAACTCTATTAAAGACGATTGAGCGCGCTCCGTATAACCGAGTAGTTTTCTGTCTGCCAAAAAATTTCTAAATTCGAAGACTGAATTTTTCAACCAATAAACATCAAAGGAAACGAACCACACTTTCCAACATGTTGGGGCTAAAAGGCCTGCGCATACCTGATGAATCAAGGCAGTGTAGGGATGTTGCTGATTTTCTGTAAACAAGGTGTGGCTTGGCGGCGTTCCTGATAGTCACGTGTTTTGCCAGATGGTTAGGAAGTGGATGGATGAAGAACGTATCATTCGATAAAGATATCATTCCTGTCTGCAAGATAAAATGAGGGTTTCCACAAGGGATACCTCACGGTCTTATTACACATGAGCATCACCGTGAATTTAGGGACGTGTCATTGTTTATTGCTTGGGGAGCTGGAGAGAGGAGGGGGGAGGGAATTCGGAGGGATAACATAGTTTTTAGAAAATTGACTGCCAATTAACTACCAAGGAGTGAAGGGGGGGGGGGGGGGGGAGGAGGAGGGTCATGGCATTATGGGAGGATCACGTGAATTTTATCGGGACACAAGCAAACTCCTTCAACCCCCAGGCGATCAATATTGATTGGTCTCTTAACAGGAATCGTTCCCCGATTCCCATGATGCAATAAATTAGATTTGTTTAAGTGACCCCAATCACAGTTTCAGCGCTGTAAATCTCTTAAACTGAATGAACATGGCCCAATTTATTTTCTATAGGAATTGTCCGAGGGGGTGGTGGAAATTTCCTATCCTTGGTGAATAATGTTAATTGTGAATATGAAAGCGATCATATATTCACAGTCCCGTACAGGCATAAATTTTTTTTTTCAGGCCTCATTTTCACTGCTGCTTAAGTAGTGTTCATTCACTGCGAATATCGCTTTCATATTTACGTCTTTTAATTAATATTTAATGTTAACTGCGAAGCGGGACAAAAATCAAACAGTAAAGAAAAGCTTTTACCGTTCTTACAATAGTATTGCTCAGTAATCACTAACCAGTCCTCTTGCATTGCTCAAAGCCACAAAAGAGTTTGGATCAGAAATTTCTCTTCCATGAAAAAATGAGTCGGACTGGACAGGCGTCCTTGTGACGTCACCGTTATCATGTCGCGTCTCAAGCTCCAGGCCAGGTTTCACCAATTGCGTGTTTCTTGCTAGTTTCAAATGCATTTTGCTCCCAAAAGCGTCCATTTTGTAGTGCCAATCTTCCCCCGCGTGAGCATCGCGCTTGTGTCTCTCGTGAAGTGTATGTGTCACGAAGTCGCCATTTTGATTTGACTGATAGGGCGCGGTTACCTCATATTCAGGTACTGAAAGATAAAGCTGAACGTTTCGGAAATTGGTTGCGCTCTTTTACATTACACTTTGTAAAATTTATTGTGCAAAGACCGCAAGAAAATATTGCTTGAATTGATTTTTTTTTGAAAGTTAAAAACTGCTCTTTATCACGAGGTTATATTTAAATCCAATCAAATCATAATGTTTATCGTGAACAAAAACACACAAGTAGACGTCTGAGGTTATCCCTATTGAGGACGTTCTCTAAATAAAATATAAAATAATCTGTCATAAAAACAGAATCGTAAGAACTAGCGAGAGTTGAGCTTACATGACAAAACTTCCTTAATTTACTTCGAAATCTTCGCATATAAATGAATCACTGTTTTGACGGTTTCAGGATGAAAGAAGACCCTTACCATCCGCAAAATTCTGGACGCCAAACAGCCGCTGTATCTCCATATCTGTCATGTGATGATGAAGGGGCTAGGGAATGGAGGGGAAAGTTATAAAAAGCAATATCGGCTGAGGCAAATAAAAAGTTGGCTTCTGAAGCCAGATACTACAAGAATTGACCTATATTCTTTTGCGCTGCCGTCTTCGCGTAAAAATAAAAAGAGCATGCAAATTATCAAGAGATTGAAGCGTGGCACGTGCAAGTCATGCTAAGAATAAAAGTTATTTTAAAAGAAGGCGTGCTTTGGCTTGAACTATCACCAAAAAATTTCACATTCAAGAGTGGTCTGGTATTTTTTCGAAGAGGCCTAAGTGAAAAGGATTTGGAAAATTCTTGCTCGTGTTCTTTATTTTCAGCTTAAAGGAAACGTTGGGTTTGTGTAAAATTAAATTTCGTGACGAAAAAAGTAATATTACTCCAACTTTGAACTACTTTTTTTCTCTTTTATATCATTCTCATTGTTTTTTATCATTTGCTCGCTTGATTATGTGATGCTGAAGTGATACCTTAATGAAGTATTCACATTCCTAAATTAAGATACATTTTGGAAGATTTCATTAAAATTTTTAATGAAATTATTAAAGTTGTACTTAGATGCAACCAAACCATATTGGCTGAATATATAGGAAAAGAAAAATGTTTTAAATAACTTTATATTGAAAGAGATCGGCCAAAGTTTCTTTTTACTTTTATTTATGACGAGATGATCCTAAAGCTATCTAACACATGCCTTACCTTTTTGTTTTCGGTTAAGGCTGTACCTGCGAACATCATTAAAATTACAAGTGTCATTTCCATTGATACTTGGTGCGTAGATGTAAAACATTTTAAAATTATAGATGTATTGGTGTTTGTATTTTTATTTCCTTCATTTCAATAATTACAAACTTTTTTAATAATTACAGAGAAGAGAAAGAAATAGGACAAAGCGTTTAACGTAGCGAGCTAATTAGATGCCCTTAAAGTTAAATTACAGTTTTTCAGATAGTAATAAAAACGATACAAATAGGAGACGGAAAGAGGAGCCTCACAAACAACAGCAACAACTTTAACAACAGATAGATAAATAGTACAAGACTAAAGGAGGACGGCAATCGGCTAAACTGCAGAAGAACCTGTCACTCATTTACATGTCATTGAATAAGAATTATAGCGTCTATTGTGTTAAGCCTCGTTCTCGAAATGAGGTGGACCAAAGTGGCAGGGTATTCTGCAGTTACTCCCGGCGATCAATATTGAGGAAAGTAGTAAAAATATTGGTGCTAAACAACTTAACATGTTAATTTCCATGAACGCAATATTTAAGAACTTTTGTAAGACAACTAAAGAATGAAGATAGATGGTATACTTCAAGGAAACTTGGTCGAAAACGCTTGCTGAAAACGTTGGCAATTAAATTCCGTGAGATTGCTGGCGTATGCAATTTTGCGCTCATGGTTGGCTCTCGTTCTAAGCAACACAAGTAAAACTCGACCCTACACTTACCAGACATCAAGAAGATGATTGCGACCAGGCGGCTAACAAAGGAAACGATCTTTAGAATGATATGCATATTCATTCTGCTGAACGTGAGAAAAAAAGACAGAGAGGACGATTGAAAAATGTAGAAGTTTTAATCGTGAAGTGTGAAAGTCAAGTTTAATCACATAACTAATAAAGTTCATTTCACAGGACCTATTATTATCCTTACAATGAGAAAACAGGCAAGCGACTTGTTTTTCAGACGAAGGAGAACGACCAAATGTTAACTCATACTATCGGTCCAAACCCATAACCTCTTGATTTCTTTATCGTAAAAACTCCTCTAATAGAGTTTTTTTAATCGAAGATGAGATTTCCCACTGCTTCAAAATTTAAACACGTTTAGTGTGTAGGTTAGCGTACTCGTGGACTCAACCAGGTCTTAACACTTGCGTCTCAAAAATTAGCAAGAATATCATGAACCTCTTTGGAGATAAGCTCGTTGGGGACATTATCCGTGATCTTCAAAATATAAAAGCTTTCTCCAGCTCGCCAACTGGGAGACTAGTATTTTCGACCTTTGCACAAGTGTTTCTCTAGAGCATGAGGAAAAGACCAGGAAAAGAATGATAAAATCAAAACATCCTTTCAACTCACCTCTATCTAGGTTCCCACTCAGCATGCTTCAACAAAGTGGCAACCTAGATTTGATCCATCCAACCTTTGTACCTTTTTTGATAATCAAGTTGTTATATCAAGTCATCTATACAATTAACAATAGTCGTAATTAGTGCTTTAAGATTGGCAGACGTAAGCATTACCTTTTAGTAACCTGAATTAGATTTTCTGTCCATCGAACTCGCACGCTCAAAAAAAAAATAGGAAAAATTGAAAACTCTTGGCATAGGAACTGCATTTGCTGTGGGAAGAAAGCTGCTATGGGTCAGAGTATGAATAAAAGAAAATCTTTTCATGAAACTGAATTATTTATGTACAGATATGTTTTTTAAATTGTTACATGATAAAAAAAAACATACTCTGGTTTTAAATTTCTCACCTATAATCCACCTAGAATTGATTGAAACAAGAATTAATTATTGTATGAGGATCTCAATGGGGTTAACCTATAGCCGTAAAGCGGCAAAAAAAAAATTGGCAATCATAAAAAATTACAAATTTAAACCGTCAGTCGAAAAAAAAGTTAACCGTTTAATTTTTTTTTTAAAACCGGAACGGAAAGAAATCAACCGTTAGCTATAAATGCAAAGTACGCCATTAACACCCTCTAGTATCACAAATTTGCATGTTGTGTGTGAGAAATTCTAGGGGATGTTTTGATGTGGAAGAAGTTGTAAGATCATAAAACGCTTTGCATTTATCTCCTTTTGTTATCTGTCTAACTAAGTTTAATTAGTCCACGTAAATTGTTTAGTAATCACCTATTCAGCCGTTTTCCACACCCGTTTTTCATCACTTAAGAAGTTTGCATTATGTAACCTATGGGATATTTGCACAACCTGTCCCTGGCAGCTTTGCGAATGGCACCTTGGTCATTAGCCAGATATTTTTCGAGTTTTTTTCTTCGGGTTCACTCTCTTAAGCAGTTCTTCGTTTTTCTTAGTCACCCTTGTGCAGTTTAATTATTTCGCCCAGCACCGTAGTAAATGTAAGTTTTGTTTACGTTCTGTAGTTTTCTTCGTTAATTTCTATAATTTTGTCAGTTTAGTTCGTAAGTTTCAAGTTCCATAAATACCGACGTATGAACCGAACCTGTAGATAACCCGCACCCCGAGTTTAGCAACTCAAATTTTGGGAAAAGAGTTTTTTAAAAGAAATCGATCGAAATCACAAGTAGAGTCTGTAGTTAAGAAGGTTGCTTATATCAGTTGCTTCATCGAACGTACACTCGCCTCAACCCTTTAACTTCCATAAGTGACCAAGACAAATTTCTCCTTACAATATCAATACAACATCAGCCAGGTTAGTGATGAGAATGAAGAAAAATATCAATTTGGGATAATTAGCTGATTCAACACTAAATTCTCTGAACTATAAGAATTGTACGGCTGACAGTAAGGAGAATTACAAACTTGATCTGGGAGTTAAAGGGTTAAATTACTAACATTGAGCAAACTCTGACAGCAACAGGCAAGAGTAGGTGGCAAAAAGCAAGGATCTAATTGGCAGAACAAAAGCTCAGCACGTGCATTTTAAAACTCAATACATTTCTTAGCCGTCCTCTGCAAAACAACGTGAAATCACCAAAAGTTTCTGAAATTTGAGAACGGAAACCCCGAAAGCAAATTAACTAAGCTTCCACTGATTTGGAACTCATTTGATCACATACGCTATGCTGAACTTGGAGTAGTGTGGTGCTGTCAGAGACGGTAAAAACATCCAACCATTCGCCAAATTCTAACTAAAAATATAGATTTATTTTTTTAATCGACGTCTTTCTCGGTGTTACCGTTCTGACCGTCCTTTTGAAAACGGAGGACACTTTAAATCCTTATCTGATCGACTTAGACTTAAACTTGAATAATCACTGTACATTGTAATAGGTTTTCTGTAAGAGGAAATTTTCCCATTCGATCAAAGGGGCCGAAATGATAATTAATAAGACAAATATGGATCAATAATCGTTTTAGCTTTTTTCCTAAAGTGTGATGGAAGGGGTTGCCGAAATGAAGTAATAGGCTGATTTAGCAAGACAACGGGAACCTCATTTGACGACGGCGCGCGCAGTGCAAATACCCAAATATGGTCAAATTAGAACAGAATCCAGACTATTCCGCTCGCTCTCCCGTCGTCATCTGACGTTCCCGTCCTATTGCTTGAAACGGTATAGCACCTGCAAACAGTAAATGACATATTTGGGCAGTTTTTGATCACATCATAAGTTGATGTCATATGCAGCAGTTTGTGTGTAAACTTTGTGTTAAAAACCAAATAAAGTAAAGAGATCTAAGTCAAAATGTCCCTTTCTACTGAGGAAATTAAAGGTAAAGTTACCTACGAATTGACAAATGAATAAATCGGGTAAGTTTCTAAACAAACTGTGGTGCTGAGTCGGTGGGAGAGTATAGCAGGTAATTTAGTGTTAATAACTGAGTTGAAAACGTAAATTGGCCACCGTTAAGAGTAAAAAGCTGACATTTCGAGCGTTCGCCCTTCGTCAGTCGCTACGAAGAGCGAACGCTCGAAACGTCAGCTTTTTTACTCGTTACGGTGGCCGATTTACGTTTTCCACTCAGTTGTTAATACTAAATTACTTACCTACGAACTGCCTGATTCTAAGAGAAAACGATCTTGATCTTAAAAAAGTATTTCTGTATTACGTAAGTCAAACACAGATAATTGCTCTGACTTTTGATCTTCTAGCATGCCAGACATTTCAAACAAAGGTGTACCTGATGTTAGCTTTGGCATTATTTCCGTCAATCGAATGATTGACAGCAGCACAAACGAGACTTGAAACATTTCGAACAAAACCGGTGTAGTATCCATTAGCTGGTATCAATAAGCAATTTGAAAGGGTTCCTTTCAGAGCGTGTGATAAAAATCGAGAGCTGAGGGCCTCCAACGGGACAGGCATTGCTGTTCACTCTAACGCAGAAAAAATACTTGATCTTCTGACATGACAAGTAACAGCACCATGTCCAACTCGTCATTTGCAGTGGACTTGAATTTCTTCTTTTACACACAGCTTGCTACTGGTATCTGTTTGGCGATCCTTTCACCCTTAACAATCGTAAGTAACGCTTTGCTTCTGCTCACTATCTTCAAAGATCCTCTAAGGTGCTTTCGTACGCCAGCTACCTACTTTATCGTCGCTTTGGCTGTTGTCGACCTTACGACAGGCCTGTTGATCGAGCCTTTTTTCGTCCTCTATCGCTTTGTACGTTATTCAACATGGTCCCTTATCATAGGAGAACCGTACTACACGTTGCGAGAAATTGGAATCTGGCTGTCGTATGTTGGGCTAAACGCGTCATTTCTACTAGTCCTGGGTCTCATTTCCACGCAGTATCTTGCGATAACATACCCGCATCTCTATCGTTCAATCGTCACAACACGTCGGGTCCTCGCATGTGTTGTCTCCTGTGTTGGGTACTTCACAGGTTTTATTCTGCTTCAATTCGTTGTATCGCCACAACTGACCCTTTTTCAAGTCGACCTTCACCTCCACTCCACGCTTATAACAATCCTCCTTATCGTCGGTTCAGCGATGCTCTTGAGGTCATTTCGCCAATTTGCTAAAACGTCTCGTCGACTCGCAGGAGGGAACAGCATCGAACAACGAACCATCCGTGGGCGCGGGAACAAGCCGCAAACAAACAGGATAAGCGAGAGGCAGTTTACCATTGTGACTTTATTTCTGGCAGGAATACTTATAGTGTGTGCTCTTCCTCATATCATTACACTCCATATCAGATTCTACACAAAAATCGAAACACGGCAAGGGTGGCTTGACTTGTTCGCTGTAATCACAATTAGTGACGAGATGATGTTTGTGAAGGTGGCTTTAGACGCGTTCATCTATGCCTGGAGACTTAAGAAATATAGGAGGTCGTTAAAAATGGCGCTGTCTTGCGGCACCAATATAGTCGAGTCTGAAATAATTGTTGTGAGGACCATGGACAATTTTACCTTTCAAGAAGCGAACCCCGAGACGTCGTCGACTCAAGCTACTGGTTTTGGTGCAAATTAGCTTTGATGCTAGTTTTCCTTGGTTTTAAAATAACAGTTACAACGTTTTGTAATGGAAAACCTCGTGACGAACGATCTCTTTGCGAGTAGCCTCTCAGTCGAAAAGCCCTACGTAATGACTACCAAGAAATCTCGCTATTTCAAAACTGATATTGATAAAAACTCTGGCCGGAGGAACATTTTACGTCTGCAACCTGCTCTTGTTAACAGACATCCTTTCTAAATTCCCAAGATTGTAGCTTTTACCCCTGACTGAAAATGCATTTGCTTAATTCAAAGATAGCTGGAAATGGACTCAAATCTAGAGATCGTAAAATGGTCGTGTACAAAGTTTCTCCATGTTTCTTTTGAACGTAACACAATTTTTTGTACATATCGAATCTTTAGGGTTTTTTCTTTGTTCTCAGATGATATAGCTGATAGCTGACGATCGAATAACTTTAATTCTAAAGAAGTTGGAGGCCACTGTCGAAGAAGATGGTTGTCTTCAACAGCTGCTATAAGCATCTTTAAGGATTCAATTGCAGTAACTTATGGTCAGGGATTTGCATAGTTTAGTATCGACCAACCAAAGGATTAAACGAGTAGATGTTAATTTTATTTACACTTTTCGAAAAATGAGGTGATCTTATATTATCTTCTAGAGGTTTATTTTCAACGAGTTCTGAATAAGATGTTTATCCAGCCAGGCAGGTGAGAATGGAGTCGACGCGCGAATGCTTTTTGACAATCCTCACGAGAGTTATACAGCATGATCCTTTTTTGCTCTTCTCTCTTCTTTTTTTTTATCACCGCTATAGAATTTCTGTCATTCGCCAAGGCTGCTGATGGTAACATGGAAAAGCTTTAACTAGAGTCTTCCATGCAAAGGTGGAACACTCATAACTAGGGAGTAACCTGACATGAAAATTGGTTGTTGGCGGCAATAAAAGCTGTTTTTAATTGTTTCAACTTTTGACCCGCCACATGGGAAATTAAGCAACCGTTCCTTTAAAAGCATAGAGAGCAAATCGTCCTCAATTGGAGAGCAAAAGACAGCCTGTTTCAATAGATTCTAAAATGAACGTGCAAAGAAAGACGGAAACAAGGCATACTTTTAATAACGACGACAAACAACATGCGTTCAATGTGACAGCTGTCATAGAAAAAATTGACAACCAGTTGATGCAATTTGTACCTTGTCTGAATTCGAGTATACTTGGTACCTGCGACAGGAAAATAAAACCACGATCATAAAATAATCCTTTTTTTTTGTTGCAATCATACTTTGAGAAAGAGTTATTGCGCTTTCGTAATTGCTTGGTTCGTGTGTTGACAACATCCAGAGTAACTTTAATTTTAAATTGAAATGGGCTTTGGTCACTGAGAGAATGGAATTCTTTGCATTTTCAGCTTGGAATACGTTCGTGCAGATTAGTGAAAATCATAACCTTAACCTTTTCACCCTTAGAAATTAAGAGTATCTGGCTTCTTACTTCTCCTTACAATATCGCTCTTGAATCAAATGTAAAGGTCAGGAGAATAAAGGAAATGATCACCATATTATGAAATTCCTGATTGTCTTAAATAATTCTCCTTTTTAGTATCAAAGAAAATGTAAAGAGAAAACAGTGTGGAGAATCTGAGTGCTAAAGCCGAGTTGGGAAGGCTTAAATATGATCCAGGAATTTTTGAAAGAGGGGAGGGTCTAAAATTTGATTCAGAAATCACACATTAATATCACACTAGATATTACTGAATTTCAAAGTATTCCAAAACAAGGACATATAAAATACCCCCAGTTGATAGTGATGTACGTGCGATCCTGTCACTAGAAGAATTTATAAGCAGTGATAATACCCACTCATGAATCCACCACTCAGTAGGTATTATATAGAATTTTAGTTCTCTCGGACTGTACGGTTTTAATAAGCAATCGGCGAGCGCGAGGTAGGGTATGTTCTGCCCAAATAGTCCCCTTCATAGGAAAAAATCGTTACGATTTTTTAATTAAGGCTAAGGTATAATCATGGCTTTTGTTTTTAGTTTTGTTTTTTTGCCCCTGTTTTTTTTTTTTTGTTTTAAAATGAGGGTTTGAGTCTTTTTTATCTTAAATCTCACCCTGTCATTTTCAATCAAGTGCGGAGGTGAATTCTTAATAGACAGATTGAACAGGCCTAACCACCCACCATTTTAAGAAACTTTTTGGAGACGGACAGAATTGTAAACACTTAACGATGCAAGTAAAAATGTTTATTCATTTTTCAAAGGCTGTTTATTAGTTAAAACGACTACAACAAATGCAGAAATATAGCAAACATAGTTGAACATCCCTGCATCACTCACTAAAGGCTGCATCATTTCTGTAAGTACTTTTGTCACAGAAAGTGCAAACACAAAATGATTGCTTTAACACGTTAACTCCCAAGATTTTATTTTGAATTCTGCCCTCTAGCTGCTACACATTTCCTTGTAAATCACTAACGAGAATTTGGAGTCGGATCAAAGTAACAACCTCTATCTGATAAGTTTGAGTATTTATGATTTTCATGGGGAGAACTTGCACGAGCAAAACCAATTCAGGAGAGCTAAATGGTACAACTCTCAGGTTTCCTAAAATTGTCCAATGTTTTCACAATTAAGTCAAAAATTTGGAAACATGGCCTGAAAAGTAGAAATTTTAAAAAAACCCTTTAACTCCGAGAGGTGATTAACATGTAAATTATCCCTATAATAACCTAGGTCATCCAGCAAAAGAGAAATGAGAATACTTTAAGTTATCAGGTAAAAGTTGTTATCTTGATCTAACACCAAATTCTCGCAACTTATTTACAAGGAAATGTGTAGCAGCTAGAGGGAAGAATTAACAATCAGATCTTGGGAGTTAAAGGGTAAATAAAACTAGTTTACGATGTAAATATTTTTAAACAATAACGAAGATTTTGCTAGTCCTGATGATGATGACGAAAAAGGAAAATTAGGCCCCTTTTTTGATACCCCAGTCTTCGTACGCTCTCGCATTACACGGGATTGGCCTCAGTCCTTCCTTGTGTATTCGCCCTTCTGAAAGCGCCACACAGATCTGGCAATAAATAGGATACTTTGGTTTCCAGTGATTTCCAATAACGGTTCCCGTGATATTTCCTACTCCTTTCGACTTCCACGTCAAATAATTGTTATACTCTGTCTCATTTGTGCTCAGGTACTTAAGATAATCTGAGAGATCTTTTGGAGTTTTGAAATCACGGACTTTAATGACGGATTGTCGAAGATTGCCCGGCAGGAACTCGTCGAGTTTATCTGTACTCATTACCACAGGAACTGAGCCTGCATTCAGCGCATGGCTTAGTTGATCATCGACAAAGTATTCACAGTCCTGGTTAAAAAATACTAGTGTAAACTTGTATTGTCTCGCTAATTCACTCTTCAACTCTTTGAAATTTTTCCCGTTCTTGGATCCATAACGGCGCACTAGATCATTCTTATTCCTGAGACAAGCTCCATAAGAATCGACCTGCACAAACTTCATTAATTGTCTCATGTATTCCGTCCGCACAGGCTCACAGTTTGAAAATGCTGCCATTATCAGCTTAGTTTTTTCCTTAAATGTAAGTGGTGGTGTTAATTGAGGCATGGGGTAAACTGGGACGGGGAAATCGTAGTCTAACCGGTAACTCATTAACAGATTAAATCTAGACATAAACTTGGCGTTTTTCATTACGGGAGCGTACAGCGGGTTTTCTTGTGTGTGAAGGATCCATGGAACAGATTCCTTCGGAGGTGTCATGTGTGAATCCCAGGCATGAACAACGAACCCGTCTGCCTCTCTGGCTCGAGAACGGTTAGATGTGAGCTGACAGGCCACTGGGCAATCACTGTCATTCCATCTCTTATCAATGTGTGGCTCAATTCCGAAAATAGTCGACCAGTAAAGAATTAAGCATGGTTCTGTTGTGTTTGAGTTCCCCCTTTCTCGGTTTATGTTACCATACCTTGGAAGCGTTAAAGTAACTTTAAGTGTTGAATAATTTCTTTCGAGTTGCCATAAAAAAACTATCCCTGCAATGACGACAAAAAACAGAACCTTTGAGCCAGAGGATTTCTTCGCCATTGTTGACGCCAATAAAGGTTTAGTGATTACCTGTCCATAAAAAGATGTACACGATAAGGCGAATGGATTTGGAAAGGGTTACAGGATGAATATAAGGAGGTCTTTTTTCTCCCATGACGAAAGTTAATGTCATGGATTTTCTTAACACAGTGGTCAACGTCTGCGCATGTGCGAGCTTTGTAATATCTAGGTGGTATGCTGCAGTAACAGGTGTGAACTTAGGGACTGAAGCAGAGCATCTGTAATATGGCTACGAGATTCTTAACGACTGCTATCGCTTTAGCTGTCTGGATACATTTAAAACAGCTTGCATTTAACTATAATTAAAAAAAGGCGCTTACCCTTCAGACCTTTCCATACGGACAAACTCCATTAAATTTTGCCCTCGATTCACATCAATAACAGTCCAAACAATTATACCATAATGTTCTGTTCGTTCCTCGATGAAATTCATTCACCATGGAGTCAGAAAACGCTCCCCGAAAGCGCCATATCCACCGTGCATGCGCACTCATTTTTCGGCTGTGTCCAAAGCTGACGTTTAACCCTTTAACTCCCAGAAGTGATTAACAAGTAACTTTTCCCTACAATATCCATTCACTCCCCAACAAACAGGTAATGAGAATACTCAACTGTATCAGGTAGAAGTTGTTATCTCGATCTAACATCAAATTCTTGTAACTTATTTACAAGGAAATGTGTAAAAGCTAGAGGGGAGAATAAACAATCAGATCTTGGGAGTTAAATGGTTAATAATGGGCAATTTTCCTGCTCGTAAAAACTACAGAGGAAAATTAAGAAACAACCGCTGCCATGCAAAACATATGCAAAAAATGAAATTTGATCGAAATCTGGAAGGAAAGAAAAGTGGAGATAAGGAAAACTCAACACTTTTCAGCGACTGGTTTGGATGCGTCCTTGTCATTTCTATCTAAGTCGCGAAGGAGTTCTCGGAATCGGTCACCAAGTCGTCTTCCTGTTTCACCAATGTATAACTTTAGGAAATAAGTGCATGCCAAGTTATGCAAATAGATGACATCATCGGAGGTGCACTTAAAATGATCAGTAATCTTAATGGATCTCTTAGGTCCGGACATTTTCTCTATGTTATGAATGAAATGAGAGGTTTTGCATCGTGAGCGAGCGCATTTGAAAGTTCCAGGTTGGTCATTAGTTTGAGATGAACTTCTACCCAAAAAGTTTGCCTTGTTTTTGTCGCATTTGAATGAAATTGGTAGAGATTGCGCAAAGATAGTACTTATCTCTGAATCACTTTGAAGTTATTAACGTTTCTAAAGACAGTACTTTCAATAACACCCAGCACCCGCTGGAGCTTCGGCGGGTATTCTGTTGTGAATCGCTGGGTATACTTTGCTCTATAAAAGTTAATCACGCTCGAAGTTGAAGTGCTCATCGTCGGTTACCTAAATAATTTTCAAACAAGTTTGTGCTGAACTAAAATCGTTAAATACTTTTAGATAAATAAAACAACAACAGTTCTTCTCAACTGCTAGTTAGTAAACAAACTTGAAAATCAAAATTAGTGAAAACAGCTCGCTTGTTGATAGCACACGTAAATCAAATTTGAAATATTTTTGCAAAGATGTTGACCTTGCTTAAGGACGCTTAACCTAGGCTTGGCTGTGAAGAGAACTACAAAAAGGCTATTAAACACTAAGCGTCTAAACTTTTATAAAAAAAACCTGCATTTGCTGAAAAATCGAAGAAGACCTTGTTCTACGCTAACACGACTATTGTTTACGATCCGATATGAAACACGGGTCGTAGGAACAACTAAATTCATTGGCTGATTGATTCAATTCAGTTATCTTATGTATAAATTTAATGAACAATTCTGCAGAAAGGAATAATCCTGAGGTTTACCCAGGAAATAGAACTGGTGGAATTCACTGCCGCAAATCTTTAATTTCACCCAGTAACAAAAAAAGAAAAAAACACAATACAACAAAAAACAAAACAAAACAAAACTAAACAAAAACCTGCAATCACAAAAAATGCATTCAGCGTTCGAAGCAGGAGACTGAGAGGTTTGTTTCCAACAGTGAACTGCAAGCAGAAGAAACCTCTGTAAACAAAGATCAGGCGAACAAAGATTTGGATCGTAGCCTCAAAATTTGAGAACATATGTAGACGGAAATTTGATGCACACAGGATATTATCTAGTTTTGCTTTTGTTGACTGCCTGTTGAAAGTGTTTAGTATTATGCGATGTTGGATGGTTAACACCATTCTGGATCTTTCTGTGACTTTCTGGAAGCTGAAGTGAGACCTCAAATACCTAGAGGTCTTTTAGATGTCTTTCAGGCGACTTTTATCTCTATAAAAAAGTTTTGAGTAAAAAACTATTGGTATTGTCTTATCATATCGTAAACCAAATTTCCTGGAAAAATAAGATTTTGAGTGTAAGAGAACATACTGACTAAAATTTCCGAAGTAACCAGTAACCACATGACCTTTCAGAGGACATTCTGTGTGAAACTCGGGCAGTAGGTTTGCAAGTCAGCAAATGGAAGATTTTGATCAGAAATAAACAATCAGTTTAACAAATGTTACAAAGGTGGAGACTAATATTAAATGATCATCTACCAAAGTTCGCCACAGAAAACTCTGTTTGAGGCAATTGTACTCCAATGGAAATTAATTTTACTCTAATGGAACTAATGGGCTAACGAGATCGAAATTTTTTTTCATATTACCTACTTCAAATCTTATTGAAAGCACTAGTGATGAATGCGAAGATGAATACAACCAGTGACTATGTGAGTCTGTAGGTTTGTAGCAAACACTTCTGTATAGACCAGTTGCATTCAACTGAAATTTTTCATGTTTAGAAACCCAAAGAAGTGTCGGAAAATTTCCAAGTATATTTCAGAGCCGGGTGAAAGGAATTAAGAGCGGTCACAAATTGAGTCAGCTCCTCTCCGGTGCAGGAGGTAGCGCCGATACTGCCGTCAATGTAACTATCGTAGAATTCAGGTTTGGGACCGTTGTATTGACGGAAAAATTAGAGCTCGATAAAAAACCAACGAAAAGATTGGCGTAGCTGGGTCCATTCTGGTGTCTATGTAATGGTTGCCACCGAATGAAGAGAAATTGAGTGTTAGGACTAGTTCGGCTAGACGGAGTAGTGTTTCAGAGCTAGATTCCTTAGCAGAAAGTTGATCAAAAAAATGACAGTATAAAGAGATTTAATATTCAGAGACGATGAGTCGCCCTGGGTTGTTAGGTTTGTAGATGTGAGGTAAAAAGTAAATACGCGAAGTTCTAGGAGTAGTGATGGCAAGATTTTTCGCAGTGGCCGGAAATTCTTGTTTAGCTAGAAGATCGTTAAACGTGTTTTAGACAGTGTTTTGGTTGATGCAGGTGACATTTTTATCAAAAACAATTCAGACGATTTAAAAAAAAATGAATTGCTGGCTTGTGTGGTTGTTCAATTTGGTCCTAATTAATTGAAAGCACACTTCCTCAGCCAGAACAGTGTTCCCAAAAGCGCTGACGTTTAACAGCTGTAGCCTAATCACAATAAAGCTTAATTCGATGAACAAAGGTGTATTCAGCGGTAAAATGCGCCGCAATTTGCATTTTTCTTTGTTCTTTATTTATTTATTTGACGTATGCAACACAGCGACAGTTACAATATTTAGAACGCTAAAAAGGCGACTTCAGAAAAATTGAGGCCTTGAGTAGTAATAACCTTTCTTACCTTAGATTATCTTTACAATCTAAAACTCGTATTTATGTTGAATTATAAAGTGTATTTCAAGTAACACAGACGTAACCGAGTGTGAATTTCTGTGCGTAATCGGCTACGAACGATAAAAAAATATACAATATACAACACTGAGTAGTGAGTGGAACAACAGAATTTCGTTGCGGAACACGAACAGTTGATTCCCGATTTTACGAGCCTTCATGGGAAATGAAAATCAGTTGGAGTAAGTGGGTTGACAAGGAGAAGGGGAACGCGACTTTTGGTTCGAGTTATGGAGTTACGATAAATCGAAGACCCGTGCAATCGGGGTTCCACTGAAGTGAAAATGATGAAAGCTTTCACGCGTTTCAAACTTTTTGTTAGCATATCTATCATTTCATTGTTCACACCTTTTTCAAGAGAATAACAAAAATCAAACGTTATCAAATTTCACAGTTCGTTTTTATTCCAGAGTTTAGCGCTTTCGCTCGGGTTAACGAAAATCCTAAGTTGTGACGAATGCTGAGAACCAGCCGGATAACATTTTTACGCATGTTTTGAATTTAAAACATAGTGTGGACTGGAAAGTAAAGTACTTTCAATTTCTACTAGGACGTTAAGGATGATGTTTTCGCTTAGTTTTGTTGGGGGGTCCATATCCGCTAGCGGATTTGGACCGGGGGATTCAAATCTAGGGAGCTCCAAATCCGCAAGGACACCGATTAGAAAAGCGGTTGGCTCGAGTTAGTAAATCATCGATGTTTATTTGAAGTTTATTTCCTAGTCGTGCTATCCATTAACTCCAATAGACCCTTTGCGAGGATGGCAACCGAAATTGAAAACGTATCGTAAAGAAACATTGGCTTCGTGGAAAGCAATGCAAACGGGAAAAATCACTTATTTGACGAATACTCTCGAAAAATCACCGACTTTCACTTGTCAACCGTGTAATGGCGCACCTCAGCTGCGAATTCCTCTGTCGCTCCGTACTACCAAACAACTACATAGATGCTTTGTGGCAAAGCTCCGGAACGCGACTGGGAGCCGAATGTCTGGTTTTCAATTGCTCGCGATCGAGGATTTAGGATTTTCCCTTATCCCACGTCCGTGATTAAATGAATACTCGACGGCCGAGCTCAACGTTAATGACAAACGCCTCACAAATAAATCGCGTTGAAGCTTACCTCTGAACAGCAAAATGAAGTGATTCCTTAATCCAGTTGTTTGCTTCAGTTTTCCCTCTCTATCTTTAGCTTCTGAAGTTTATAAACATGTGCTTTTCTATCTG